GTAAGTCTCCATGAGCTACAGGATACTATGCAATCAGAGGTTGTTTCTCAGCAAATGATCAAGTCCAAGATTCTACACGCCCAGTGGCGTAGCGTGGGTTGTCAGCACCCGGGGCAAGGCAAGTAATTTGCGCCCCCTAACCCGTGGATTTTAGCACTCGAGTCTCTTCCACTAGATTAGTTAAAGAAACCCTTACCCCCCAAGCACATGTATTGTTTGTTATGAAAATACTTATGTAATTAAAGTAAAATGCATCTAAATACAAGTTTATTTTCCAACACTTTATTGAGTGCGAACATGCATTACACACATTCTCCACATTTTCAGCAGGTCTATGAATACAAATATACAAATGTAGTAACCTAGCATGGGCCATGCTATTATATGTCGTCTCACAACCATCGTAAACGACAAAAAATATCAAGAACAAAAACTAAACATCAAAATGGAACCATACCCTGGAGATGATCCAAGACTGGGCTAGATGGAGCCAACTTCCTCAATCCTGTACCTCTAATTGTAATTCTTTAATAGAAGTGCAAGATATCAATCTGTATATAATATACAGATTAATTTAAATTCGCCTGCTTTTAATTAGTGCAAATTTTTCAACAACGGAATTGAAATCTACATTAAAGTCTCTCTCAATGGACAGTATTGCTAGATGAGTCTTTGTTGGCTCATTGTAGATCTCTGATATGTTTTAATTAGTTTAAGTTTTGAGAAACTTCTTTCACAACTCGCTGTAGAAACAGTGATAGTAAGAAAGATTCTTAATGTGACAACAAAGTTAGTTAAACTTTCTTGCAGCTTCCACTTATACACCCAGCAAAGCAAATCTAAAGCTGACCAGTTTGCAACCTGCTCATCAGGATTGACCTCCTTATACAAGATAATGTGGTGCCGAAGTCGAGTTATTTCGGTGAGCATAGATGCAGCATTCAATTCCGTGTACTGAGCACACGTGTGCTGAATTTGTTTCTTAATAAAATCAGTGTATCACTGAGCTCTACAGCAATAGAACTCACAGTAATGTGCAATTTGTAAGTGTATCACACATCACCTCATCAATACAATGCACAGGACTGGGCAGTGTTTGAGTATGTCTCAGCCAATAAACTCCTTTCCTATAGGAAAGCATTGAGATGCTATTGCGCATGCATGGCAAAATGCTGCGCTGCACCAATCAGCATCTCCCTATAGAGATGCATTGAATTAATGAATCTCTATGGGGAGTGTACAGCGTGGCGCTAATCGGCAGCGCTACACATTATGCAGCACTGACCCAGAAAGCACCTCTAGCGGCCAACTGAGGAATGGCCACTAGAGGTGTTCCTAGGCTGTAATTTAAATACTGCTTTTTCTCTGATACATTAAAATGCCTATAGGGAATGACTATATGACACCAGATGAAACAGTAGTTGTTCTGGTGATTATAGTGTCCCTTTAATATTCCTGTGTACATTACTATGCTAAAACAGTAGATTTTATTAGCTGGGATCAGTATTTCTAAATCTACATGGCTCACTTCTTAAGTAAAAAAAAAAAAAAAATTCCAAGATTTAATCTGCTAATCAAATGTCATCATCCTTACAATGATGATAGAGGGAAAAAAAAAAAGATTAAAAAAAAACAAAAAAAAAACAGCTGACCAAATTTCTAGATTTTTAACACTTTAGTTTGCAGATTATTTTTTTTTTTTATAAATGTGCACATTACAAATATTGTACTGTCCCCCACCTCCTCTTTAAAAAAAATCTTCTTCATTACAAGATTTTTCTATTTCGCAGATTTTTTTTTTTTTTACACACATATATATATATATATATATATATATATATATATATATATATATATATATATATATATAATATTGTCCAATGCTTGCACTCCTGTAAAATAGTCTATATGGCCCGGTGCTTGTCGGCATAAGTAATAGGTAGAAAATAGTGAAAAGCACTCCAGGGACTTCATATAAGGTGAAAAAAAACAACTTAGCTTTATTCAGCAACTGCGCCCCACCCAAAAACTCCCTCATTACAATCTTTTTTTAATTATTTTGCAGATTATTTTTTTTTTATCTATACACATTGCATTTACTGCCCCCCCAACCCCTCCCCCTCCCAAAAATCTCCTTATTACAATACAATACATGAACATATTGATTTACTGCCCCCACACGCCTAACTAAGAACTGGTATTTTAGTTAAAAATAGTTCTACATTTTTAAGATGCAGATTCCCATTTCAGTAAGCATTCTACATGATGAGTGCCAATTCATCTACTCACCTCTTTAGTGAACAATACTGGCAGTGGGGGTGTAATAAAGTGCAAATTATTGTGGTTTAAAAGTAAAGTTTGAATTTTAGAGCAAAATAATGACAAAATTTACTTTGAGACTTTCTATATTAGCTATTGTAGCCAAGAATTTCAAATTTGCTTTGAATTACTGACTAACTTATTTCACTCTTTAAATAGCGAACAATGCTGATCTTAGGGTTAAACCAATATGCCAAACTTTACAGTGATGGCAGCACACGTTCACGCTTACTCATTTATGGTAATTAATGATCAGCCCTGTAGGTCTACCCAATTATTCTGTGATGGAGGTAGTTCCATGCCAGAAAATAAGTCAAACCAGATTGGTAAGAGCAGGTTTGGTTTCACATGGCAAAATTCTACCAGTTTAAATCATGGAAATATTTGGTATCCTGAGGCTGAACCAGTTTGGGTTGGCAATCCAATCCTACACCACTCTCTCTCCTAGAACATAAAGGTTTTCCCAGAAGACGTGTATTACTGCTCAGATCTACAGAATATCACAGACAGCAGGCAGCCAGGTATGCTAAACTACTCCCAGAGAAGTGATTCCCAATCCAGTTTACAAAGCACACAAACAGTCCTGGATTTAGGCAATAGGATACTGACAAAATCTAGTCTGTTTTGTGTCACTTGAGGACTTGGGCCTAGATTTAATATTGCTGGATAAACTGTTTCAATTATTTTTTTTCAACATTTAAAATTATATATATATATATATATATATATATATATATATATATATATATATATATATATATATATTAAAAAAAAACAGGAAAGTATTAGCGCTATTTGAGTGAAGTGTCTTTTAATTTATATATAGTCTAAAAAGCTGCTAATCACCGTGACAATCTTTTAAACAGAAATAGTGGAAAATAGTAAGGAATACCGGTGCAGCGCTTATGTGTGAAATTGAATATGGAGATTTTTTTACCCAATTTTTTCCTTTCTACGTTATGTCAGTGATTTCTTGTTAACCTTTAGGTAAAACAGAGAAAAATACACAGCATAGTGTAGATTGTGTATATTTATATAAAATTGTCATATATAACAAAAAAAAAAAAATCTATATTTTACAAACTTTAAATGTTTCAGAATTGTTTAATCATGTTAAAGTTTATTCAGAAATATTAAATAATATATAAAACAACCCTTTTACCAGAAAAAGGATGGATTTAGAATTACTATTCATTTAACAACTTATTTTAGTAAATTAAATCCAAATGCAACAATTTAGGCTAAATGTTTAATAAAAAGAAAAAAAGATGTTCCAACTCGTTATAATGACAGTGCGGCTATGGTAGCTCAGATTTGATCATTCAGATTTAATTGGCCAAAATGTAATGTTTAGTGAATAAACCATGTAAAATACACCTTAACCTGGCTTATGTTATTTTTGTGTGACCTGATAGGTTCTCCACTTGTATTGTACATTTTGTTTTACATGGCTTGCGGCAAGATAAAGATGGCATAGATACGGTCAGCATATGTTGGACTTTTTCCTCTCTGGATGGTTCCTGCATATACAGATCGTGCTTGACAAGACCTTTCCCGTTGGTCCAATTTAGGGATACTGTGTCCCAAGGATTTTGTGGATGTAAAAATGTACGTTTTTAACAATCAAAGTGGACCTGAATTAAGAGAAATTTGAAATGGAGGGCAAGCAGTGAATATGGAAAATACTCCATAACTTGTGTTTTTTAAAATCACATAAAAGTGTAATGACTTAAAATGAACTCTGAAATTCTGCATCGTTCAAAGAAATATTAAACAATAAGGTAATATGACATTTTCTAGCTTTATAACGTTAGAAATTCTGAACTTTACAACAGGATCAAGAGAACTTTATGCTTTTTGTCGACTTTCTGGACAATTTAACCCCTTAAGGACACATGACGTGTGACATGTCATGATTCCCTTTTATTCCAGAAGTTTGGTCCTTAAGGGGTTAAATTCCAAATGTATTCGGACAGGCTAGAAGCAGCCAAACAGAATATCATAGGAGGTAGTCAGATATTCTACAAAATAGGATGAGGGAAAGAACAATGGGTGGGAGAATAACTGGAGACCAGAACAGATAATAAAAGGGACAAGTTTGCTTGAAAAGGGCACTCGACACATATAATTCCGGTCTGTTACAGTTTCTTGGAATTCTTTTGTATAACAATTGTACAGAATACGTACGTGGCTCTGTAAAAGATAACAGGGCTTGCTCTTTTTAATGCTCTGTTTAAATCCATAGACAAATAGAGGAGTCTATTGGTTTTGGAATTTGACATTTAATTAAAAAAAAGAGGGGGGGAGGGGGGAGAGAAATAATCACAACAAAATATAGAAAGAAAATGATAGCATGGTATTTATATAATATTCGTTGCATAGGAGTCACCATTAGAGGTGCCCAACAGATCCCATAAATGCTTTTTCCATATTTAACAGATATATATTTATATCTATGTATGTATGTATGTATGTATGTATGTATGTATGTATGTCAGGTCTTGTAAAGCATAAATTCCTGGTGCAAAGATATTTATATAAAAATACACATGAATTCCAAAATGCCTGTGTAATTCAATTAAAATAAATATTCCTTGGCAAATCCTGGGCCAAAAAAATAAATCATAATATTATTAAGAAAAAAAGAAAAAAAAAGAAAAAGGTGTCGTTTTGTAGCAATATTACAGTATTCGCTCATAAAACAGGAGGTAAGCTTGTGAGTTAAGAACTTTGCTTAGTGGAACTGCTTGCACATGACTGTCACTAATGTGATACCATGGTCCCCTGGTGGGCTCAATGTTCGATTCTGTGTAGGAAAAAGGGAAAGAAATGGCTTAGAATATAATTAAGACTATAAAAATATCACACACATACATGGCATATATAGTTTACCTTCAGGTATTTCACTCCGAAGTACAAGGTCATAAAATCGAGAATTTGGATTCCTCAGCTTGACGTAAGCTGTGTAATGTCCTGACCTCATGGTTCCGCTGTGTTCGATGACTCCATACAAGGAATATAATAATCTAGACTCTCCTTTGGGGATATTCTGTAGATAAATAGCACTCATTTAATCTCTTTTAGAAACAAGCTGAGCTTATCCCCTACTTACATTAAAAATAATCAGGAGGTGAGTATATTACCCACATGTATAAATTCTATATACACATTAAGTGAAAGGAGTAGCAGATTTCCTCCAGAATAAATGAGAGAAGTATACATTTGTTTATGCCAGGCACACCATGAGAATTAAGCCTTGCTTTTCTTTGACGATGTGGCAGCAATATTTACTAGCTCAACCGAGATCTTCTAAGCCTTCCGATATCCTCCATCAATTGATGAACAGTTGTTAGCTTTTAAGTTAACCCTCCCTGTGACATGTGATTTCTACTTTTAATTAACTAAATAAAAAGGAATGTTTGTTTTTATACATGTTATCTGCAAAAAAAACTACTTTTTAAAAATATTTATCATTGCGCAAAAAAATAAAATATCTATTCCTCTCCCCCACCCCAAAAAATAGAATAGAATAGAAGGATTATGAAATACTAATTTTGACTGAAATTTAAACCCTGTCAACAGATATACAGAAAAAAGTAGGGTCTACTTTGTCTCTTTACATTTCCATGCCTTCTTGACACTGGGCGGAGATACCGCTGTCGATAAGTGTCAGTCCTCTCTGTCGTCATCAGTGATGGCTGCCGGTAATGGTCTCTGTGTATGGAGGATCTTTGGGTTCCTCCATAGATCTCAATGCTGTACTCTTGCAAGGGACAGGAGCACCAGAAGCTGAAGTGGACCCACTGTTAAACCTTACCTTCACCTGCCCTGCAAACCCTAATGGCAATGTCAACATCAGGGGTCTTTTCGAATTCTTCAATGTCCCCAGACAGTGACGCTTTAAGATGACCAACACATGACTAAGTAACATTAATTACCTTCGGAACTATGAATTCTGCATTGCAGTTTTGCATTATGCTCACTCACCTTGCATTTCACCGTGCAGAAGGGTGCCAAGTCTATCAGTTCAGGAAACTTGATATGCTTGTTAATTTTGTGGAGATTGAAACCATTCTAAAAATAGAGAAAAAAAAAAAAAAAAAAGAGGAAAAATATTACAGTCCAATAGTTCAAACCATGGAAGAAAATTAGAAAAAATGTAATAAATAAATATTATAAATGACAGCAAATACTTTAAAGGAACAATATAGCGTTAGGAATACAAACATGTATTCGTAACACTATATTGTACTCCTCACTAGTTAGATGCAAGGGCGCCCTAAATTAAACCATAACGAAAATGTTTTTACTTACCTTTATCCCAGTGCCAAGACCCAATGTGTTTCTGCCCACTCCTCTTCCCGCGACGTTATCCTGGAAGCGCCACTTCCTGGCTTATTGTCCGATCCAATGCTTTTCATACAGATGTATTGGGGATGACGTGCGCAAGCATGGCAAATGCCTCACTAGTCTAATCAAATGCTTCTCATAAGGTATAACGGAATACTATGCTTACCTATGATCAGGGTTTGATGGCAAGAATGTCACAGAACGGAGTCAGACTCCTGTGGCTCTCAGGAAGACAATCACTGGTGGTGTGTTTACTAACAGATTGCAGGGCTAAAACACCAGAGGTGCTGCACCCACCTACTTCATTGAGATACAATGTTCTGGGTGCGTTTAGTACCCCCTTGTAGAATATTACATATTCTATATTCCTGTTCAAATACATATTAAGGTCTGCATGTCTAATGGGTTAAAAAGAGCAGATGGCAGTTTGCTATTCTGTACCATGAGGACTCTGAAATGTGCTGTATAGGGAGATTAGGGGTAGTGTCCTTATATGGACAGAGTTTAATTTAAAATCTATAGTGTAATTTTGCCTATAAAGAACATTATGCAAAAGGACCACGTTCTCTTCTAGTACTCTTCATTCGGCTCTCTGGGTGTGTCCCTAACTTGTTGATACAAAGACGACTACATCAAAAGATCTCTCTCGCTCTCTCATGTCGTTAAGTATATTATTGTTTGCTTTTGGAGTACAATAATTGCATATTTTTTTTATAACGAACGTCAGATTCCGTATTAGAACCTGTGGTTAATATAGATGTAAATTAACACAGCGAGCCTTTAACCCAAGAAGACACACAGACTCTTTTCAAATCACCCTTGAAAGCACAGACTTACTTGCTGAAACCGTTTCAGATGTAGAGTAAGGATTGGAGGAGGGTCAGATATCAACATTTGCTTCTTGGCATTGGTGTAAACAAATTTCTTGTCTCCTGTAACAGAATATCATTATAATGATATGTATTCACAGGATTTCCAAACATTACAATCTAACTGTGAGAACAAGAACACTGAAAGTTAAAACGTGGCACATGTGAAGCTGAGAGAACTTTAAGTTATTGAAATGGTTATCATGTAGACAGTATAATTCTCCCACTCTCCGTTCTTAGCATCTCCACCCCCACCCCCCCCCCCTCCCATGCCTCGGATATAACAAAGGACGGGTCTTTACACACTAGTGGGAAGAATCTCTCAGGATCTCTCTCCTCTTTGGAAAATGAGACAAGCCACAAGCACGTGCGATCAGTGGCTGTGCCAATCGCTGCACACAGACTGAACTGATCTATTTAGAAATTAATTACAGCTGTTATCAGTTAATAGATAGTTCAATGTGATGAGTGAGATAGGGACAGATATAACTACTTATTTCTTTAATTCTCGGTTCAGCAAGGGTTTATGGGTTAAGATCAGACTGAGTGGCTTCTGACTGATCATTCTTGTCTTTAAAATATGTAACTCTACAGGATGTAATACTACACAGGAGAAAGCGGACAACTGAACTACAACTCCCCCCCAAAAAAATTGGGATCAGCTGAGCACTGCTATGGAGAGGTAAGACAGCATTACGACTGTCTGAATCCTTTCCTGGAAAAGGCAGAGCATCACTGCAGTAACAGGTTTACATTTTTTTTATTTAATGTATTTGGCACATCAAGTAATTCCTCAATGAAAATGTATATCACTCATTTTTTCTTAAGATGTTTTGTTTCTTGTTCTGGATATATTTAGCCAAAACCAAAAAGGGAACTTGTCTTACCTTTAATATTGTTCTTTGGTTTACTTGCATGTTTTCGTGTACACATATTACAAAGCAACTGATTGTTCCCAGTCAGGTTTTCTTTGTGAGTAAACTGAGAAAGACAACGGAGCACAGTGCATTCATCCAACGGGAGATCTAGTCTGTCCGCTAGTGTACAAAAGGCAGTTTTTGGGTCCTCCATCACCACTTCGTAGACATGTGCTTCAGGCGGTTCATCAATTATCTCAAGCTCTATTTCACTTGGATTAATGACTGGACCCAAATTAAGTCTATTTAAATTTTCCGTTAATTGGTCTTCTTCATTGAATTGTTCTGTGCAAGGTTTATTGCCATCAAGCTGAACATGTGACGATTCATCTTGGAGCTCGCTGGTATCCGTGTTTAGACATCCAGTGGAACCATTTTCCAGAAACGCAGCAGATTCAGTGTTATTTTCCAGATTTCCTACAGCCATTTCTGTTCCATTTTCCAGGTTTCTTACATGGATTTCATTACCGGTTTCCAAAACCTTGACTCCCAGCTCACTGTTATTTTCCAGAATTCCTACATCCACGTCTGCTTTGCGCTCCAGATTTCCTATATCCATGTTGTTTTCTGGATTGCCTATTTCTATGTCAGTATTACTTTCCAGCTTTTCTTTGCAGAGTGCAGAACTAGCTCCCACGATTTCCTCTGATGTCACAGTGTTCTCAGCAGAATGTTCTGTCTGTCCTTTAGAATCACTTTCCAAATTAGCATTATCTTCTCGACTGACCGTATCTAAATTGTCAGAATGGCCGTTAGCATCCTGCTTTGGGTTAGTTTCCGACTCAGGCTTGTCTGAGACCGATTCTTCGTTGCCACTGTCATCTTCCTTCTGTGTGGCACACAGATTGTTGAAGAGCACTGTCTTATTTTCGAATTTCTGCTGCCGACGCTGATTCTGTAAAAATAAAAATATAAAAATTGATTCAAACTAAAAAATTATGATATTGATTTCTTTAATTATAAACATAATGCGACATATACAGACAAACAAAAAGGAGGGTCCTCACAATGACCCTTACGAAGCACGGCAGGCCAGTGGAGTGTTTTGAGCACTCTTTCACTTATGTTCCACAGTAATTATGTCATGTAATTTTCTAATCCCTTGGAAGTCCCTTCATTAGGAGTGAGTAAGATATGTAGACCTAAATTTATCAGCCAGTCAAGGTATCTCAGTAAGGGGGTGAGCTACACAGCAGGGACCGACTTTTTGCACCATTACATTAAAGGTACACTATAGGGTCAGAAATACAAAATGTGTATTCCTGACCCTATAGTGGTAAAAACACTATTTAGCTCCCTAGCCCCCCTTTAATAAGTTGAAAACTCACCTTTATTTTAGCACCAAGCTTGTCAACCGCCGCTGACCCCATCCACATTTCACCTCCTTGGCTGAGTTTATAAGAACTGACAACCTCAGCTAATCCAATGCTTTCCCAGAGAAAAGCATTGTGAGGCTATTTCGCATGCACATAAAATGCTGTGCTGGCCAATCAGCATCTCCACGTAGAGATGCATGGGCTCAATGAATCTCTATGGTGATAGTTCAGTGCCTCAATGCAGAGCATTGATGTACAACCCAGAAAGCACCTCTAATGTAGTGGAGCACTAATTTGTTCACAGGAAAAATCCTGCAGGACTGACTATACTCGCCAGCAGAACAACTACAATAAGCTGTAGTTGTTCAGGTGACTATAGTGTCCCTTTAAGTTATAGCGGTTCTGGTAGAGTTTAGAGCATTCCCCCAGGGTTTAGGATTAACAAACAGACCTAACTTGAGCAATATGTGATTCTGAATGAGTAACCGCACTCATGATGAACATTAATTATTCCTAACCAGGTTTGTAAGAGGTCATATTCTTCTCACAGGAAGTCATGTCTCTACCTGCTTTTCATAGTTCCTAATTACCAACCTTTGCCTGCTTTTTAGCTTGTTTCTTGGCCTTTTTCTGAAGATGTTTACTTGTTCCAGTCCCTTCACTTTTCTCTTTCACATAGCTATCGTCGTCATCCTCATCATCATCATCTTCTTCTTGAGGCTTCTTTCCCCCAAAATTTTTTGAGGTTTTAGGAGAAACCTTTCTTGAGAGCTGCAATAAGTAAAGTTGTGTTTTTGAAAGACTGATTCCGCACCCTCTAACATAGGAGCCTCAATATTTCACCCACACAACAAGTGCTGCATTAATCTCAGAATTGTAGTGAACTTAGATTTAAACTGCAGAATGTAGGCAACAATACAGAACCAAAATCTCCAATTCCATCACAGCTTGGCTACTTTAATCTAAATTTTGTAATTACGTTTTAAATGATTCGGTTTATTAGATTATTTGGTATTTATAGAGTACCTACATCTTCCGTAGTGCTGTACAATAGAGGAAAGGGCTACTAAACTAGTTCATAGATTGCGGGATAAAACTTACCAGAAAAGGTTAAAGGATCTTAACATGTATAGCTTGGAGGAAAGACGAGACAGGGGAGATATGATAGAAACATTTAAATACATAAAGGGAATCAACACAGTAAAGGAGGAGACTATATTTAAAAGACGGAGAACTACCACAACAAGAGGACATAGTCTTAAATTAGAGGGACAAAGGTTTAAAAATAATATCAGGAAGTATTACTTTACGAAGAGGGTAGTGGATGCATAGACTAGCCTTCCAGCTGAAGTGGTAGAGGTTAACACAGTGAAGGAGTTTAAGCATGCGTGGGATAGGCATAAGGCTATCCTAACTATAAGATAAGGCTAGGGACTAATGAAAGTATTTTAAAAAATTGGGCAGACTAGATTGGCTGAATATTCTTATCTGCCGTCACATTCTATGTTTCTATATACAGATAAATAATGAATACATACTGATACAAAGTGCTTATAATTATATAGTGTAAATAAGTGTGTCAGTAGTGCTTTACAATATAGGACAGTAATGGCTTAACACAGTTAGCGCATCTCTTACCACATCATCCAAAACAGGAAGGGAAAGGTCAAGAAATGGTTCATGCACCAGTGACACCTTGGAAAAGATGAAAAAAATAAATAAATAAATAAATTAACATTAATTTTCATTTTAATTGTGTATGTTAACCTATTATAGTATAGTTCAAGAAAAAAATATATAATAATATCATTGTTTAAACAGGAAATATTGGGGATGTGTACTTTTGCCTCTTGTACTTATTTTATCTACCTCAGAAGGATTAAGGGCTGAGTCAACCTTCCAGGTTGAACAGATTCTATTCATGATGCATTAGCCCATTGAGCTATCTCGACCGCATAGATATAGATATATTCACAGAAAGTTAGATAATGTTTTTTAATTGACAGTTATTAACCTTATCTCTCTTCATAGCAGGCAGGACCTTTAGGGTTTGTTATGTCATTATATAAATTTTCTATTTCAACTAAATTGGATTAAATTCCCTGGCAAATTGCCAACCGTTTTTGTTTAACGAGTAACCAGGCTGTAAAACCCGCACCCCCATATCTACTTCGAAACACTAGAACACTGATGCCCCATGCTAAACCAGCACTCCAATGTCTACTCTGAGTCGCCATCACATCAATACAGACAATTTTAATTTCAGAGTAAAATGTAATGCATGCATTTGAAAACGCAAAGTATTGTAATGGTGAATTTTAATGATACATAGTATAGTATATATTGTTCTTTCGAACATAGCAGATGACGACACGTTGAGAACTCCAACGACAGGAAATATGTTTTCGCTTACCGTATGACATTCCTCACACATAATTGTACTAGTGAGCTCTCCTCCAAATAAACGGTCCACAAAGTTTGGGAACGCTCTTCGTTTTTCACAGTCTGGAGAAGGCAAATAGAAATAGTCGCTTATAGGGAGCTCGATGTAAAGTTCATGTTGCCTAGAGAGCGCCTGGATGCTGACCCCCATTTATTACGAGTCCGTTCAGGAATGCTTTGATGTAACGTGTCTATTCTCAGCAGCAATGAGAATGCAGAACCAGCACCTTTTATCAATGCCAATTTGGATAAAAATACTGGGATAACCCACCTCCACCACCCTCAACCAATTCTGTCTGGGTTGAATGAAAACAGACAATAATATTGTCAAAGTGTTAACTTTGTATTTTCACAGCTGCCGCACTTTAGAATGGGTCATTATGGAGTCATTCCTTTAACAGCTTAGTATTAACATATAGTTTACTTTCAAGTTACCTTTTATTTTCTTTTTAATTTCCTCCTCATCTTGGTTTTCAGAGATACCGTGCAGCTCCTTGGTCATTGCAACACGTATTCTCTAGAGTGTACGAGGAAAATCATTAGGAGACTACCTTCAAATAAATGTGTTTTTGATTGAACAGTTTTTTTGCATTACAGTTCCATTACATGGATCATTGTTAGTTTATTAAAATATGAAGGTGCCAGAAAATTGTATACAGGGTCATTAACTAAAGTAAGACTTTGCAGGAATTCAAACTGAATTTTTAGATTTAAGGCCAAATGAGCTGAACGGAAATCACAGCTGACTTGGAGGTTTTTGTAGTTCGGCTAATTTAGTCTAAAAATTAAAATTCTTTTTGAAATCCTGACAATTCTCACTGTAGTGAATAACCCTGATAACGTGTAATTAGAGATTTCAAAGCTGTCACAAATGTATAACAAAAAAGGTAGAGAGAGCTTTTCCTGCACGCTTACAGACTGCTTGGAACATAAGACACATGAAACAGAAAGGAGTGTATTCAGAAAACACTTCATTGCAGTAAATTGAGATCAAATGAAAAAATAAAAAGTCACAGCTTCAATTCAAGACAAATTAGAACAGCATTAGATACATAGGTAGAATCAGTGATGGATAAAAGTTTTCTAATTGCAAGCTTATTTTAACAGGTAGCGTCTTATGGATATTGTGCTAATTGAGAAACCGTGAGACAGAGAGAGCCGGAATGTACAGAATAGAAAGTGACACCAACACATCAGGGGTGACTGGTTTGAGTGGCGAGACACAAAGCGGTAGGTTTCTTCAATATAGTCAGGAGAAAAAACAAAACAAAACACACACCTTTCACATTACCATGCTAAGATGGCTGAGAGCAGTATTCAAAGTGCAACTCTTGCAAGGCAATCAAGATAGCTGGAAACCACAGCCACATGTGCAAGCAGTTACTTATTTTATTTATTTTTGTGTGAAGTGAATGAGAAGATGCTCATGGCTTTTTTGGTGGAATGAGAAATAACTAATCTCTGCATTTTCCTTGACAATATGAGGACTAGGATCGGGTCCAGAATTTCCTCAGGAGGTATGTAATATTTTACTATATGTTTTTATTTTTAAACCCTGCGATGCATTAACAGTGGGTGGTGTATCCATGCTAGATTGTCATCCGTTTGGAACATATATCGTCTACATACATTCGGCAACGTTAACAATCCTAAGCAGCTCGCCTTCTTTCAGCAGTAGTACCTGGATCTCCTCGCCTCTCATGCCGTCCAGGAGGTAACGAAGCAGTTCCTGACTATCTTGCTGCTGGTATCCTTTAAAACGTATAGCTCTGTAAAAAATACAATGTTCACCAAAAAAATCAAACAAACTATTGTTAACAAAAAGGCGTAACGGAGAAAGAAGCTACAAAATCACTAAATTATTGACTGCAGTGAACTGAAAACCAAAACCTTTCGGAGACTAGAACGCCGACTGAGACAAAGAACCCCAAATCTCCCCGACGGCAAATAGCACAACTATCCAAATGAAAAGTGACCGAGCCACATGGCTTAAAGAAGATTTTTTTATTTTAATGAAGACAATTTTACATAAGCAAGACACAGCAGGAGGATGTTCGGATTTTAAAGCACTGAGCACCAAATCAACTTTAGCTTATTGAAGTGGCTTTGGTGCATAGATCATGCCCTTGCAGCCCTGCTGCTCCACCCTCTGCCATTTAGGAGTTAAATCACGTATCACTGTTTCTGCAGTCTTAGTTACATCTCAACTAGCTATGACTTGCAAAGTCCCTTTAGTTTTTTTTTTTCTAAGCAGGCTGTGTGGGTCACAGCCATGGAAGGCATTCAGCATCAGTATAAAACGTCTATGGATGTCTATATCATTTTCAAGACCTAACAAAAGCGTATATTTCTTAAAATATATACGGGAGGGGTAAGCGAATATAAATAAATACAGCAACGTGACAGTTCCATTTTAAGCGAGGATCTCGGCAAGTTGCAGTAATGCCATGGTGGCTAGCAGATCCAATGGGAACATCTACGTTCCTAACCCAGATAAAGGCAAAGCAGGAGATGATGATCTCTATACGAACAAGCATAATTTTATCAAGACATTGAAACTCTTCCATGAGACGTTTAAACCTGTACTTTAAAGACAGCTGGGCAACTCTGGTACATACTCACTTTTTACAGACCTGAGTGAAGACCTCTTTTGGGGTCACCACCCCTTTCTTGGTTTCCTGCATTTCTGTCAGGAACTGGGACATTGCTAAGGTCAGGGGTCCAGGTGACTGATTTAAATTCAACTCTTGAAGAGACTGGAAATAGATGAATTAGCAGATTTAATAATAAACCCAAAATAACTTTTAATGACAGAGCAGGACATCCAGTACTAGTTCTAGTGTATGCCACAAGTTTTAATGAACGTCACATTTAATACGTGCGTTATGCTGGCGGCGAAATTGCCACCACACGTATAAATTCCCATGTTAGTTACAATTCCCTGCTAACCGGAGATACAAAATAGAAACGCTCCTGTAAAACAGACGTACTTGTTTGTTATGTGTGTATACCATCGCATATCAGAACTATGTCAGAACTATGTTTTTTTTTATTTTGTCAATCATGTTAAAAAGTGTGACTGCTTCTTTAATCCTATGCCAGTACCAGAAAGGGGAGGAGGCGGGGAGACAGTGTGATTTTCTCGCCAACTTCTCTCCCAGCTTATCATTAAAGGAGAGAGCTGAAATAATGTCAGCGGCTGCTGCCCAATCAATGCAACTACCACTATTCTCAGGCAGACAGACACATGGATGTCCCAGTATTCCCCGACATTAGGGATTCCCACATTGCACATTGTCAATCACACTGTTCAATACAGGAATTGAAAACCTGATCTACACAGATTTTTTACAATTTATCTTGATAAGCAGAAACGTGAGATTAAAGGAGAGCCGTCTCTTCTCTTGAACCTACACCACTGAATACAACCTATAAGTTGTGTTAACTGTTTGTTCATGAAACACTCTGTTTACTTTTCAATTTGTATTTAAGTTTTAAAAAACATTTTTCTTCTTCTCTGTATTTTTTCCCTACGCTGACTGCGACGTGCAAACAGACAGAGCTTAGAACAAGGAGTTAAAATGGAAGCAGGATAAAAAAAATAAAAAAAAAGTATTGCACTTACTTTTCACAACTCACAAATACATTTTTGTTTAGTACAGGCATACTCAAGTACAATATAAAAAAAATGATTTTTTTTTTGAAGTGATAGTTCCCCTTTAAATGTAATATTTAGCTTGTTGCGTACAGGCTCATACATTTCGGTACGGTGACATTAAAAAAAAGACATTGTAATATAGGTTCCCACTTACAGAATCCGGGAGTGCAACAGTAACACTCTGGGGTAATTTTACTTCAGTCAGAAGCTCCCTTAAGGTAGGGGTCTGTGATAAATTCTTCATAAAAAGAAAGAAAAACAAAAAACATAAAGTGCATTAGAATCTCAATTTATAGTCTATGTATCCAGAATATTCACTGCGTTAGTCACATCGCTAACACACATGCATAAAATATGAATTCTAAGTTATGATATTAGTTATTCTGTTTACGCTAACATAATGGTTTGTAAAAAAAACAAACATTAAACGACAAGAACTTTTTGACTCACTTGCATCACAGCATTAAAGAAGCACGTGTTCCCCAAATTACTGAGCCCCTTTACAGTGGGTTCTTGATTGTTACTCAAGGTGTGGACCGCTTTGTCCCCTTTAGAAATTTTATTGGGATCTTCTTCCATGTTCTCGCTTGTTCTACTTTTAATTGTCTCTTCCACCTTTTCAGATGTACACACATCTTGCTCTGTTAATACTGACATAAACAAAATAAAACAAATAACAGACACAAAGACATTATTTAAAGTATCAGGGGTGGGTTCTCTCCTAATTAACATTTTTAATTATAGAGGCTACTCGTCCACCTTAAAGGGAAACTATAGTACCAGGAAAACAAACTAGTTTTCCTGGCACTGTAGCTTTACCTTCTGTCAAGGCCCCCTGCTGTAGCGCTTACCTGGTTCCAGCACCGATGTCCCTCAACACTGCCTTAGCTCCGCCCACACTCCTCCCCCGACGCCGGCTGCTGGCAGGGGAGACCTAATGCGCACACGCGCATTAAACCTCCCAATAGGAAAGCAATATTCGATGCTTTACTATGGGGATTCCGGCGATGCTCGACGTCCTCATGCAGAGCGTGGGGATGTCAAACATCATTTAAAACCACTTTTGGTGCTGTAAGAATCCGAAAAAAAAACATGTAGCGGCTGTCTGAGAGACAGCAACTAGACTTGGGATAAGCCCTGTAATCAAAACACTGCGGTTTCTCCAAAACCGCTGTGTTTTGACTAACAGGGTTAAGGGGAGAGGCGCAAGGCACCCAGACCACTCCAATTGGCAGAAGTGGTCTGGGTGTCCATAGTGTCCCTTTAAGGAAGAACATCCTTCTTGTACTGACACTATACATCAGGAAAATAAAAAAATAAATAAGTAAATACACAAATACTATCATGACTTCCCTGGTGCTCCCAAATGTTTAAAGGAACCCTATCTCTACCCCAAACATAATCCTAACTGAAGAAAAAAAAAATCATAATAGAATCATATAAGATGGAAAAAGAATGCAGAATTCTGGAGCCATCATGAATCACTTCGAAGGTCCCCAAAACCCCTAGATGGAATCATTTACACAACGTATTAATATAAATCCATAACCCTCTCAGGAAGGTTGGTGTTATTCTAAAATATGGCAAAACTTTAAATGGCCCAACATATTCATCAAGGAAGTTGCCCGGGAATACAATATTTCATATTTGCACAGGTGTCTGGGTCAGATGTGAACGCCAACAATAACAGCTTTCTCTTATGAAACAAAAGACAAAACAAATGAAACAATTCCAAAATAGACCATTTTACAAGTAAAGGCCTTGATATAGCCCTAGACGTTGGCCATATATGCAAAGCAAAGCTGGTCTTTGAAGTCAGCGTTGTTTAAAATGGCACAGACACTGTCACAAGAAATGATCAGTAAATATTGATATACAAAATGTCTTCAGAAATCTAAAACTACGAGTACAAACTGTTCTGCAATATTTTTAGAATAGGATACAGAGTTAAAGAGAAATTCGGTTTTCCTTTTTTGTATCATGCATGTTGTACTATATTGTCTGCGTACGGTCCTGACTGCTTTTATCCATTGCCATATATTTTTTCTGCTCACTGATCCTTTTGAATAATAGCCAAGGTTTTTTCCCTTCTTTCTTTTTTTCTCTAAAAGCTGTGTTTAAAACAATGTCTATTGCTAGGGGTATCTGCAACAATGCAGAAGGAAGTATGAAACACAATGTTTGCCTGTGCTCATTTGCATATCAAGCAGGGAACTCTGGGATAACTGTGGAAACACGATATCGCAACTTTTGACACCCAAGAAGGACCCTCAAATTCAAACTTGAGATATGCGGGGGATGCATAACAATAAATATATATTTTTTTAAATGGCTGCTTAATTGTAACACTACTGCTTAAAGTGAAGTACGCTACCCACTAGTGCAAAATGCACACAGCAGGTTTTAATTTGTTTTCCTCTACAAATGTATTTTGCAGTTTTTTTCATTATGACCATATTTACTGAGAATGTGTTTTCAAAGATGGTTTAATACAGTTGACATATTTGAATACACTAAACCGACAAAATATAATTTCCGTTGAGATTATCTACATATTCTTTGCTGCTTCACTTTGCTCACTCAGGTGAAACCATACAAACAAGGGAAAAGGTCGAATTAAAGCTTTATCAAGATAAAGGCCAGTAGGTCGAAATGTTAATTTTTGCAAAGTGTATTAAGGTTGGCAAAAATCAACGTTTCGATGTTTAATACATTTATAGTTTAAAAAAAAATATACAAGTTTTGTTTTGAAAAATCTAGAGAGAGATAGATATATGCTGAATTTGTTTGCAATTCATGTGATTTCACAAGATTCGAGGTTTAGTGAATACCAAACAGTATTGGAGTGTAGAGTCCCGTTAAGTACAAACCTGAATTGAGAGTTTTGACACTTGATTTGGATTTTCGTTGGATATATTCCACCAGCTGACCTAATCGACTAGTGTTAGTGAATGGAACTTCAACATCACATGCATAGCACCTATTAAAATGAGAAGAGAAAAGATTTGGAATAAATAGATATATAAGACTAACATAGTTATTTACTAAAATGAGAACTGTTGAGAATTTAAAGGAAATGTCAAATTTACTGCAAAATTAAGATTATTTTATTCACCTTTTTTTAGGAAAGCACTGGGAGGCTATTGTGCATGCACGGCAAAACGCTGCACCAGTCAGCATCTCCTTATAGAGATGCAATGCATCTCTACGGGGAATGTTCAGCACCTCCTTGCAGAGCGTGGAGATGCTGAACACAAGTGCTGCACAGTGTGCACCACTGGACTAAGAAGCACCTCTAGTGGCCATCTGAATGACTGCACCTAGAGATGTTACTAGGCACCTGTGTACAGACTGCCTTTTCTCTGAAAAGTCTGCGTTTATATAAAAAATCTTGCAGGGACACGCTACAGACATTAAATTGTAGTGTTCTGGTGACAATAGTGTCCCTTAAAAAAACCAAAAAAAAAACCCAACAACAACTATGTTTTAAGCAAAATGTTATTAACCTAGTGTGTTCTGGAGTTAGAATGATATCAGCTACAACTCCTAGAACATAAGGACAGCACGGAGTATTACTATAGCAGGATGGGATAAAGAGAAGGCAAAGTGTAAGAAAAAAAAAAAAAAAAAAGATTTGGGTGGGGGTGGGGGGGTGGACAATAATAACCTACATATTGCAAGTGTGGGTACAGGGTGAGCCCTTGAACTAACTTTTTTTTTTTAAAGCAGCCATCAAACCAAAGTCCAGTTAAATGCGCTGTAGGTACAGGAGAAGAATCCTAGATATGCCATCACTATGCGGTACAGCAATATAAGCCTTGCATTTTCAGTTTACAGTAAATGCTAAACACTGAATTCGATATCCAGACAAGCTGAAGATTAACATACCATACACCCCACGTCTCCATACTGAGCACCACGCAGTGAGGGACTGATCTTGGCTTGTTATAATGGTTTAATGCGTGCTGGTGTGTCGAATACCTCCCACAACCCTTCAAAGAGACAAAAAAAAAAAAAAAAAAAAGGATATATAAGAAGTTGTGCCACACATGGAATAAAATTAAAATAGATCAGTGCACATATTCTGCAGCACAGTACAATGTTTCCAATAGAAACACTTAGAATGTCATGTGATAGAATCTAGCCTTAAAGGGTCAGGAACTTTGTATCCAAGGTTCCTTACTCAAATAAAGGAACAATTTAAAAAAACATTTTTTTTTTTAAGGAGGATAAATCATGTGGTGTATCAACTTTCAATTGTACAGTTATAGGGTCAGTCTAAGCACCAAATGTGCTTTGCATTATTGCAAAGTGCTTGGTTCTTAGAATACCCTGAGTGCACTCATTGTCATCAGGACTATCAATCAAGCTGGTTGCTTATATCAGGAACAGTAGGAAAGCCTTTATCTTCCCTGGAGAGAAAGCAAAGCCTCAGACTCTGAATGTGCAGCTCTCACACACAGCCCATTGCACTAAACAGTATGGCTGCTATCAGTTTAAAAAGCAGTTCATATCAGCTTATGTGACGATTGAAATTGCTCTTTAAGGAAAAACTACTCATCCCATTTTTTGCTGGTAAAGAATTATAGGATACGATCTGTCCTCATAGATCAGAATGAAAGTTTGAAACATTGTGATATCTCGACTAATATACTTGTACTATACCCGATTTCCACATTTGAGACACAGCCAAATCTGAGAGCTTTCTACAGACTCCTCCTCAGAACCATCCTTCTCCTTGTTGTCCACTGGACAATCCTGACAAATAGTCCAATCGACATTCACCAAAGCTTTTTTAACTGGTCCTTCTTCGACTGCTTTCCGGAGATGACTGCAAGCTGGTCCTGTCATAGAAAATAATACGTTTGTAATTATCAGGATCTGTGCAAGGGAGCAGGTCTACAACTCCAGGTACATAGCCATCAGAAAACTGGCAGGACATTCCTATTACAGACAAAATTTAAAACAAGGATTTTTCCACAGAGCTTACTGTACTATTTCCAGACTTTCTTTTAATCCCCATCCTTATTTTTTTTAAATCTTGCCAACACTATTTGTCCTGATGTTTCTTTCTCATGCAGGATAGCACATCGTTTGCCATGTTCACGTGTGATATAAACCCTTATACAGACAGCTTAGCGTTACAGTAAGATATGCTTCTTTGGGCCTATTCTGGCAAAGCCTGAGACAATGCATAGTAAACAGAAATCTAACAATTGTAAGACACAGTCCTGTTAAAAGACAAAAGGCAGCCTACGAAAAAAGGAAGAGTATTATTAAGTCATGGATTCACTATGGCTCGATGACCCATTATGCCAACGTGAGATAACATGTGCACTGACCTGTAAGATATGTAATGATGTCATCGAATTATGTAATTCAATGGATAGAATGGGGCACTTACTGTGATCACTCCCTATTCAGGACAGCCACAAAGATATTGTAAGTAGATACAGGACATTCTATTCATTAAACTAAGTCGGACTCACCAAATTGTGCTTGCTGAGCAGAATGTAATTGCTTCAGTGTGTGAATTCAAGCTAAAAAATACAGAAGCTGTCCCCACTTCCCAGAGATACATTTACAGTCCATGATATAAAACCCTCATCAAATTAACCATACCGGTATCTGACGAATCTTGTACAGGAATGTTTTTTACTTTTTTCTTCACCATAATGCCGTTACACAGTAACTGAAAGAGAAGACAATAGATTTATATAAATATAGATCAGTCACAAATGTGATCTTATTCCCTCCACAAATAAACACTTACTACTCTGATGGCTTTACTTGGAAAGAAGGAAGACTTTCGCGCAGTACTTTCAGGGTTAAAGAGTAAAGTAAGGATTTTGGAGCATGTAAAAAGGAATCTGAAAATATAAAATTTTAGGACAAAACTGATTAATTGGAACAAAAACTCAAAAACAATTCAACTATATTTTTAGTTTTAATTCTCAAAAAAATCCCACTTTAGTTAATCAGCCAATGTCTATCTCTACAAATTATTTATGATTCATATGATCTAGTCAAAACTGAATTAAAACTAAAAAATAAATTGTACAATGAGTAGTACATTCATACTTTATACCCACATACAAAGCAGTGCAAGGAGACAAGTAATGGTCTGGTTGAAGCATTAATTATCATATTTTAAGGGACTGAAAATGGAGCTGCAAAATTTAGGCAAAAAGTTATGATTTGTAAAATGATTCAACTCTTCTATTATTATTGTTATTATTATAATAATCATTTATATTGTTCCAACATATTCTGCAACACTTTATAATTATACAATGGGAATATTTAGAGGCAAAGAAGGCCCTGCTCAGACAAGCTCACAATCTATAACCATTTCAAGTAGGCAGATATATATCGTTTGGATAAGATAAGGTCTGATTGGGAATTGAACCTCGGTTTCCCACTTCTAAGTAGTGACATTACCACTGCGTTTGGCTATTTCAGCGCACATTTTGGCTTTCAATTCACTAAAATTCTGTGTTAAATTAACAGTAAAGCGTTATGAGTACTCAGTATTCCTAACGCTTTAGTGCCCCTGTCTCTGGGTATATTCAGGCCTCCCCACTAAACAGCACACTAGGCTACGCAGTACATTTCACAACAGTGTTTAGAACTTTAGAATAAAATTCTTAAAATGTACAGTAGATAAAAAGGTCAGTCAATAGGAAATCCCTCATTAAAATGGTAAGCACAAGGAAGCACGAGGGAGCTGCAATCTCCCTGCTCTACTCCCTTGCACGCCCTCCCGTGATGCCGGGAGCCGGAATGACCTTATTCCGGCACTGCAATAATAAAAAGAACTCTAGGCAGGAGAGCAGGGAGATGACAGCAGTCCCACTGGACCCCAGGGAAAGCTGATCAACTCCAGCTCTCCCAAAGGTCCCTACCTAGTTGGGAGGATTTTAAAATAAAAAAAGTAATGATTTGTGAGTGTGTGTGTCAAATCAGTGTGTGTGTGTGTGTGTGTGTGTGTGTGTGTGTGTGTGTCAGTGAGTGTACGTTTAGGTGACTTGCCTCCTCCAATCACATGGGAAAGATGTTTTTACTCACGCCTTGGCTGGCCCCACCTCAATGGCTGATATCATCAATCTCAGCCAATCCAATGCTTCCTCAGAGAAAAACATTGGGAGACATTTGTGCATGCGCGACAAAAACACCATGCTGCGCAATCAACTACTCCTCATAGAGATACATTGAATCAACGCTTTCTTATGGAAAGCTTTAACGTAGGTGCTTCACACTGTGCAGTAGCAACCCATGAAGCACTTCTAGAGGCCGTCTGAATGACTGTCACTAGAGGTTTTACCAGAAAGCAATGTAAACACTGTCTGGAAAGTCAGTGTTTACATTGAAAAGCATGCAGGGGCAGTATATAGACTTCAGAACAACTACAATAAGCTGTAGTGGTGACGGGTTAAAACCCCTTCAGTGACTCATCTAAATCCAGCGCCGAGGGACATGTCCCTCGGCGCTGGGTCAGGCTCTACCCGTGATCCTCCCCCGCTGACGGGGGAGACCTAATGCGCGGCAATGGCCGTACACACATTAGACCTCCCCATAGGAAAACATTATTCAGTGCTTTCCTATGGGGATTCCGGTGACGCTGGAGGTCCTCATGCATAGCGTGAGGACGTCCAGCGTTGTTTAAGACACTTTCATGTTCTAAGAACATGGAAGTCCCTCTAGTGGCTATCTGATCGACTAGAGAAGGACTTAACCCTGCAAGGCATTTATTGCAGTTTATAAAAACTGCAATAATTACACTTGCAGGGTTAAGGGTGGTGGGAGTTGGCACCCAGACCACTCCAATGGGCAGAAGTGGTCTGGGTGTCTGGAGTGTCCCTTTAAATCTCAACTGTGAAATTAAGCTGGCTATTTTAGTCTGAATTTACAATTCAGAAATGATTTGCTAAGATTGGAGGTTTAGTGAATAATAAGAACAGATTCTGATTGCTCAAGATAACAAATACTGGTATACAAGCAAAAAATGCAATTTTTCTTACATACATTACCTGTGACAATAATAAATTAAACTGGTCAAATATCTTGTTTTTAGGTGTTTTTAAAGACTAGCAGTGCGGCTTAATGAAAATGGCCACAGAATATAAAAGAATGTCTGCAATTATGTTGACACCTACATTTAGTAAATACAGTTAAATCATATATACTTCTAAAATAAATTGTATTTAAAACAGCTAATGTAATGCAAACAGTGAAATGGTAGGGTCCATTCACTCCTTCCCTCTCTCTTACTGAAAGAATTATGTGATCCATCGAAACTTCCTGTACTGTTTGAAAGCAGGGGGTGAACTTACATTTTCAACAGATTTACAGGCATATCAGTGACTAGTGGCTTTTAGCAAAATAAATCCATACCGCTACAGGCTGGCAATCATACCTGTAGTATACAGGAGGGTGAGTAAGGCTTTATGGACTAGATTTCATTATGAAGAAAAAACAAACATGAAAATAAAAACATTTATACTGGCTCCAAGCATCATGTTCAAATCAGTGATTTGATGTGGTCATGGTGCCTGAAGTCTGTATGTGCAGTGTTTTGCTATGAACTCCACCTCATTAGCCACCCTGAAATAAGAATTGCTCTGTAACATTGTTCCCCCAGTGTGGAGGAGTGACGTCAGCATAGGAGGATCAGGCTCCAAGGAGAACTTGCGCAGGCCTCTGGAATGGAGGTACGTTTTAAATGTATTTTATTGAGATATATATATATATAAAATTTAAACAGGCGAGGGGGTTGTCAGACTAGCACACCATGAGTTATTCTAACCAAAGCTAAAATTTTATGAAAACAATGTTTTTCGATTGGATTAATTAGGCTTGGGATGCTCAATTCCATAGCTTAGAATCTTTAAATAGGATTTTGTCCATAGTTATGTTTAGAAACGTAGAATGTTAGACCCCCCAAAAACAGACTAGAAACACAATTCTACAAACCCCAACCAATGAAAAAGTATAACTGGCAGAAGGCATTCGGAAATCTGGCAACCATTTAATGCTGTCATAGGAGCGCCTGAGGCTATACGGATACTCCTGCATTGACATGAGCAGGGAATGCAACCTCCCTTTCACTATAGGGCAGGTTTTTGGCACTCCACCTGTCATGGACTACATTCCCCATAATTCTCCACATTTTCCCTTATGATTCTTTACGTATCTGATTATTAATTCAGAGCAGGTTTAAAAGTAAAATGAAATGATCCTAACACCCGCAGGCCTGGTTTAAAGAACTAGCGGAGCTTTTTTTTTTAGGGACAATACTGGGTCACCAAGCAGTAGTGATGGCTACTGCTTGCCATACCAGCTGTTGTGGTGAGTGGGCAACCTGCTCCATGATGTGAAGTCAGCCAATCCCCCAGGGGGGGAGAGGGGAGGGTGCAGCACCCTTTACAATGCCTACATATATGTCTGATGAGAGTATTGATGGTGGCATTGCCAGGTCCATGGGGGGTACATACCTCTCTCCCTGGCCGAAGGGCACCTTCAGCAGAGAGGACTAGGTCTATGGCCATAAAGTTGGGTTATTGGGGTTTCTGATACCTGGGTCTCAATAAAACACGTGTGGCTAGCTCTCCTGGCGAGCAGTCCCTCCACTCAGCTGCAATGCTTCCTCTCCACGTTACCAGTGTGTTCTCCTTGCCCCTCCACCCAGCGGCTTCACGCCCACACCTGTACGTCATCATCAGCCGCCGCCGCCGCCGCGCAGATAAAGCGTTCTATGTCTATGGGGGGGGAACTGCCAACGTTCCAGGATAGGATGAGCAACGCAGCATCAGCGGTTACAGCCCATGGCGGCCATTTTGGAAACTGGCAAACCGTCACAACAGGTTTTCTATTCATTAACTCATTATACTGGTAATATGTATAAACAATGCTTGGAATGCAACAAAACACAACAAAAACCGATTAGAATAGCAGGTACAAGGTGAATGGGGATTTCAAGAATTGTTAGAGTTTTGCCCAAAGTAAAGATGGCGGTCTCCTGCCTAGACAGTTTGTGCAGACGTTGGTTTCCACCTGGATCTTTGGACTTTCATTGATCTGCAGGTAGAATTGGATTTTATAAGCATTTTAGTTGGGAGACCTGCTTCAGGTAAGTGGTGTAACATTCATGGACGTTGGTTTTGTTGTAAGGGATAATTAACCCATCAGGTTAGGTATCAGGGATAGATGGTTAGGGTTTTTTTTTTATTAAAAAGTAATATTTAGTCAATTGAAAGCCAAATTCTAAGATTTATGTTATTTATATTAAGCAAGCCGCGACTCTATGTAAAAATCCTTTAAAAGGTTAGTTTGGTTAGAGTTCTCCCCGCAGCCCAATTCTCCTCCAAGTATGTCACTCTCCCTCGCTGTAGGGGGGACAGATGGCAGCGAGGTGGGCTGAGGGGTGGACGTGAGCGACACGAAGAGTGGGAACTGCACGGCTCCGCCAAGAGACGCCTGTCGCCAGCATGGGTGCCGACATCACATGTCCAATATGCACATAATTCACATTAGCCACCTGGACTCTTGTTCCTTCCGGACTGGCTAAGGATGCCCTAGCGATGCCAGCCAGAGGGGAGCTACACCTCCGGCATTAAAAGGATTAATCTCTGTAAGTGCAAGGTGTAATAGTGAAACTCAAAACAACATGAACAGGTCAAATCACTGAAGTGGTCATGGTGCTTGTGGTATCCCTTTAACTCCGCTATACAGGGTTATTCACTATAGTGTGACTTGTCTTATTATGTCAATTACTTCCTGCTCACCCAACTTCTTATTCAGTTTGACTTCTTCTTCAAGAAAGTAAGTATCTATTAAGCAACCATCTGAAAAACTGGACATCTCTGCATCAATTTCACAGCTTCTTGATTCAAGTAGATTGAATCTGCCACTTTGGGGTAGAGAAGGAATTTTTTTCTAGTTTGTTTGCAAAATTGGAAAGCATTTTTTTTTTTGGGATCAACCATAACCACAGATGCGAGAAAAGCTGAACTTTTTATACTATGTAACTGCGTCACATGATGAACTGATCATGAAAAGTGTCACAAAACCTTATTGTCCACGTGTTTTTAACTGGAATAACTGAACTGTTATCTTGGTATCATATTTGCTTTTGTTTTTATTGTAGGTGTTCACAAATGTAAGTGCCCACTGGATGCTGTCTGAAAATGTTGAGTCAAGAAGAAGCTGAGGCCCAGTTGTCTGAACTGGATTTGCTCTCTAGTATGTTCCCGAACAATGATGAATTTGTGGTTACTGACCAGGTTGCTCTGGCAGAGCTAAGGCATTATGTAGAAAATCATACCACGGATGCACCATCTTCTACAATTCAGTTTATTGTAAATATGAAACTGGAAGACAACACTAATTCTAAGGTAATGTTAAACTATGTGGTGTCTTTCCTTGTGAGACAGCAAATGTATTTAAAATATAACCTATCTCAGATTTTATCATTGTTACAGGGACACTCTAGGCCCTCAGAATGTTTCATCCCCTGAATTGGTTGTAGTGTTCGGATTTGTTCACCGCTGTCCCTCCATTGAGTGTTAAACCATATTCAAGCTGTTTAAAACTAAATGAGGGTCCGTGTCCACCCTCGGCTTGGCTCCCACTGGAGATATGACTAAGGCAGAGATTACACACTTCCTTCTAGCTGTACTATTTAAATGCCGGCTGTGATAGATTGAAAGGGGACAGCATATTATTAACCAATCCCCATTGATGCTCAGAATTATGCTTCCTCTTTAGTCCAAGCAGCACAAAGGGGATATATTGTTGGATACTCTCATTTGACATCAACTGGTGGAGCTTCTGCCCATATAGCCAAGTTAAACTTGGCTATTTCAATCAGATCGTCTCATAGAGACCAGTTTTCTTATGGGAAAGTACTGATTGGCTGAGATTAGCAAGATTCATGATCTCAGCCTAGGAGGCGGAAACCGGCAGCCGAGGGAGCACAGCGGTGTAGGAGAAAGCAAATTAAACAACTTTTTTTTTTACCTCTTACAAGAAGGGGGGATGTAGTCACCTAAACAGTGACTAGCATTAGGAATGCATATTTGTATTCTTAATGCTATAGTGTTCATTTAAAGTGGGCTGTTACATTGGTCTACATTGTGATTGCTCCACTTTTAGAACTTTGCTTCAAAACTGATTTTGTATAAAAAATATTTTAATCATTTTTATAAATATTTTTGAGTCACTAAAGCTTATTTTGTCCATTATTACAGCATTGTCTTTCTTTGCATTGCTCATACCCGGTACACTATCCAACAGTTCCACCTGAAATCGTGGTCAGGTAAAGTGTACACTTTTTTCCTTATAGAAAATTGTTACCTTTTTCCTTTGCGCATTCTCTAAAATGGCTTCTGGAAAGGCTACCTAGTCCACAGATGGCTTATGTGGTATCCCACCATTCCTATTATATAGTTTGACACAGACTTGTTTAACAAATTTAAGATATTGGAGAGATCATGTCAATGAGTACCTTCCCCATTATCCAAGCAACAGCAAATTGGTACACTTTTTTTTTTTTTTTTAAATGAAAGTTGTAAAGTGTTGAAATAAAATACATGTGACATCCCTTAGACCAGGGTACCATAAGGGAAATGATAACCATACATTAATAAAACTGCCCAGTAAAGTGTTTCTACTAATTTCCTTGGTTTTGGGGATAAAATGGAGTTAATAGAACTGTGTGTATGAGAAATGAAACAAGGAACGTGAAACTAATAAATGGAGTATATGGAGGAAGACAGAGGGGTTGATTGTGCGCAGTTCAAGAATGGGGAAGAAGGCATGAAAACTAGGGAGAAGTTGGGTGGTCACAAAGAACAAGTATACATTTTTCTAATTCTTGTGGGGCCCCCAACTCTAATTAATTTAGTTATATGCGAGGTTTTTATAGGACATATTGTATTTGTAAATATGTAATATTAGAGCTACTGTGAAAATGTAGCTACCGGAAAGTGTATTATATTTTTACTTTAATCTTTTATTTAATTTTTATTTTAACAGATCTCCATCTTTAATCCGTTCCCAGCAAGCACAGCTAAATTCTGATCTCAGCACCTATTTACACAAGGGTTGTAGTGGAGACGCATGCCTACTAACAGCTACAGAATGGGTGAAAGATAATGCTTTGCCATATCTAAACAAGGACCCTTTATCTTCCCCTGAGTTACAGCAAGCATGCTTAGCCACCCCTGAAAAAGCCGTATTCACTAGACTGTGGATATACAGTCATCACATATATAATAAACAGAAAAGAAAACATATTTTAGAATGGTCTAAGGAGCTGGAGCTTTCGGGATTCAGCATGCCTGGAAAACCTGGGATTGTCTGTGTGGAGGGACTGCAAGACTTGTGTGAAGAGTTTTGGTCTAGGTGTGTGATTATAGATATAATGCTTTAGTTTTTCAAACACATAGTGACGCAATCGCTGTTCTAAGCATATCGACACAGGGTTTTAAATTACACTTTCTAATGTGCTCTGGCCAATCTATGTTCCATATACTATTGCACAGCAGATAAGAAAGTAAAATCTCCTTGTATATGTGACCTTTATACAAAGCAAATACTGCAATGTTTAGGTGATAAGCCACCACCTTAAAACATCAAAGTGCGAGTGCAGCACTTACAGTATGTTGAACTTACCCCTATATATGGACTTAGGGTAGCAGTGTCTCATGTACATATAAAACGAGAGAAGAGAACACAATAGTGCAACAGAGTAAACACTAGAAATAGTATATAAATATAAGGTGGACATATGCTCACAATATTCTGAGCCTTTTGAACGGTATGGCTCTGAACGTGCACGTATGTGTGCCCTTCTCGCGGCAACTGTACCTCTAATAAAGTGCATATAGGAAATGAACACACAAAAGGAGCACACAATAGTGAAAGTACCTCTGAGGTAGTGTTAAAGTTAAATACAGATATATTGGTTTTGTTCACCTTTACCTGGAGCCCATAAAATACTGACTCCAAGTTTAAACACTACTAAGCTCTCAGATTTTTCATCATCACTCACTCATGAAAAAAAAAGAATACTGTGTTTTCATAATGCTGGCTACTGTACAGCAGTTTGCAGTTATTCAGCACAACATAACCTATAAACCGAAAACCTTTGCTTTGCATTGTAAATTGGATCTGAAACATCACCTAGGGAGATTTATTTCTTGACAGATGTATTTTTTTTTTTTTTTTTTTAAATATTCTTTATTTAGATTTTCTCATCACATAAAAAATGTGACATGAATTTACAAACATACCATATAGACCATGGGTCCTCAAACTCCGCCACCCTAGATGTTGCTGAACTACAACTTCCATGATTCTTTGAATTACTTAGATAGCCAGAGAATCATGGGAGTTGTAGTTCAGCAACATCTGGGGGCAGTGGTGTATCCTGGTTTTGTGCTGCCCTAGGCACGACAAAACTCAGGAGCCCCCACCCCGTCTCGCCTTCTAAATACACATACACACTCACTGACAGACACATATACACTAGCTAACAGACATACACACTCACTAACAGACACATACAGTCACTAGCAGACATACAGTCACTAACAGACACACATACTAACACACTAACAGACACACGCATAAACTCGCACTAACAGGCATACATACACACTCCCTAACAGAAACACAAACTAACACACACACACATAGTATGTCCCTTCTCGGTCTCTCCGCTCTGCCCGTGACCACCTCCTGTCCGTTGTTCGCACCCGTACGGCCAACTCGCGCTTGCAGGACTTCTCGCGGGCGGCTCCCTTCCTATGGAATAGCCTGCCTACCGCCATCCGACTCTCCCCTAGTCTTGCATCTTTTAAGAAGTGCCTTAAAACCCATCTCTTTAGGAAAGCTTATGGCCTCCAAGACTAACCCCTACCTCACATACCCGTCTCTTGCCCTCTCCTAAAGGGCAGCCCACCTTATTTGATTGCATTCCTGTCCTAATGTGTCTTACACCCCACCTCCTATAGAATGTAAGCTCGACTGAGCAGGGTCCTCTTCAACCTATTGTTCCTGTAAGTTTATTTGTAATTGTCCTATTTATAGTTAAATCCCCTTTCATAATATTGTAAAGCGCTACGGAATCTGTTGGCGCTATATAAATGGCAATAATAATAATAATAATAACATAGTAACACACTCACTAACAGACACACATACACTCACTAACAGAGACACACTCACTAACAGAGAGACACACTAACACACTCACATTTTTTTTTTTTCAATTCAATCCCCCCAGCCTCCCTACCTTTGGGAGTGCTGGGGTGGATTATCACTCTCCCTGGGGTAAAGTGGGGCTGCTGGGCAGCCGGCCGGTAACTGCAGCCGGCGAGGGAGCACTGATCCTCCTGTTCATTGTGTATATTCAATTTCTGTGAGTTGTTTCCAATTTCTCGCTATCAAAATCTTAACAGTCATAAAACCATGTGTGGCCAGATAGTATTGAGATGCTCCTACGGACGACCAACCTAAGTGTAATATTGCTGCCTTAGGAATTTTATCAATTTTAATCTTATCCATATTGTATAAAGTACTATAAACCTGATCCCACAATTTTTTAATTTTCGGGCAGCTCCACCATATATGCAAATAACTTCTGACCACTTCCATACATCTCCAACAGATCTTGGAAGCATTAGGATTGATTCTGTTTAACCTAATTGGTAGAATATACATAGTTTATAAGACAGATGTATTTTTCTATAGCAAATTTCGTTAGGCATCAAGTAATTTTTTTGTGTGTTTGAAAACCGATTATTACATAAAACTTCTAATCCTTTCTACAATTCACAGAATAAGAAAATTAACATGGAAGCGCATTTTAATTAGACACCGAGAAGACATCAGTTTGCCCTGCGGTACTTTAGAATCCAGTAAAGAAATCCAGAAACTGAGGAAATTCCCGGCCTTAGAAGAAAAAGCATTTGATGTTCACGGAACCAGGGGAAATCACATGGACCTGGGTCAACTTTATCAGTTCCTCAATGAAAATGGATGTTCAAATGTCTTCCCTATGTACTTTGGAATCGAAGGAAAATAGCTGTCATTTTAAGCTTAAACAACTTCTTTTACATTTAACATTTAAAGGAATGTCCTACAAACACAAATATTCCTGCATTTGTACAACCAACCCTTTTTAAAGTAAAATGCCATTATTTTTAAACTGGTAAAAGTAAATTGTATGTTTTGTGTAGCGGAGAGCTGGTCTTTCACAGGTTAACTCCACTAAAGATCCCAGTGAGGCTCAGGAACAAGTAATAAAATACCATAGAGCAATAATCCCAGCAAGCAAGGTAATCCACGAATATTCCCATAAAGATCCCAATGACTGGACGACACACAGCATCAGGAGCAGAACTGACTTTTAATCCACACAACCTCCTTTTAAAGCATTCCCCCATGCAAGGGAGGGATTCACCATAATTAGTACAGTAGCCAATAATGCAACAGTTACCTCCCACACATCTCCTCCCCACATTGTGACATATAATCCCATTAAACATACTGTAGTTTTCCCCGAATTCTGGATGTACTCCAAAACAGTTAGGTACAATTAGCTAAGTGGCACCCCCTGGTAGCCCTGATCTGGGTGACTAACATATCCAAAATTCACCCAGATCGGACCAGGGGTTCGGGAGTTAGGTGGAAGAGACAATTTGACCGACCGCACACGAGGTGGTAGCCGAAAAGGGTTCCAGGTGTTTTGGCCCTGCGGTCGGTCTCCGTTCAGGAGATACAATACATAGAAATACATGCCATCCACCATTAAAACGGTATTCGCATGAATAGCCTTGTACTTTTAATTCACCGAACGAGGGGCTGATTAGCCCTTCCGTTCGGGAGTTACGGAGCTCTGGAGGTCTCAGTGGTGTTCGGGTAATTGAGTGTCCGATTTGAGTTCCAGACACTCAACGACCAAACACTGCTGAGGGTTTCGTGCGTAAGATGGGCGAACGGCGGCCACCCAGATACATGCACAAAGCACCGATCGTACCAATTAACCTGCGGTTAGAGAAGTGTGAAAGCCTAATAAGGTGCACGCTTCTCTCTGGAGTGGTCTAATGGTTCGGTAGTTTTCATTCGTATGGAATACGGATGAAAACTACCGAACAATCATACGAATACTACATACAATTTTAGCTATACAGGAAAATAAACACACAAATTGAATTTTTAACACAGCCTTTGAGGACAGCCCTAATACCCTCCGCTACATTTTGATTCTAGGAATTAACTTGGCCAGACATTATCAACGGGTATTTATTAATGTATTTTGAGTTCCATTAATCAGAAAATGTGAATGTAACTGCAGCAACATCAGATAAACAGTATATCAATAGCCGTATTCATGAAGTTACGAGTGAGAAAGTACAGTTCCATATCCTTCACAGAATGATGTGAGAGGTTCGAACATATATAGTGCTCACCTACCCAATGAACATTCTGTACAAATACTTGGAAATCTTCCTGCTCGGAGGTCTATTACTGGGGGATTGGCTTTTAGCTACACTGATTCGAGTTGTTTACACTGCTTAAAATAATACTTTGGTGTTAGAAATACAAAGATGTATCCTAACACTAACGTACCTCAGCCCCCGTGTGTCCCACAGCGATGTAAAAGGTTAAAATATCCTTTATTCACTTACCCGATTCTAACACCGAGGTCCGCCTCCTTCAACGTCGACGAATGGGGGTGACCTAATGGACATGCGTGGCAAGTGCCGCACACGTATTAGGCATTCCCCATAGGAAAGCATTGCCTGAATGATTTCCTAAGGTGATTTCTCTGACGTTGGATATCCCTATGCAGAGTGAGAAAACGTCCAGCGTCGTTTCACTGAGTCAAACCCCATGAAACTCCCTGGAGTGCCACTAGAGGCAGTCTTAGTACTGCAATGAAAACATTGCAGATCCTCTAAAACTTCAATGTTTTACATTGTAGGATTAAGGGGTGCACGGACACTGCACCCAGACCACTTCAATGAGATGTGTCTATTTAAGTTGTTACATTTCTTTACAATAGTATTATTATGAAACAGTGATAGCTGCTAAATCTTTCATAATATAATTATGTGGAATGTACTCTCCAACATAGCAGTTTATTAGTGCTGAATATTCCTCCCAACGGAAGTATGAATGTGGCACTCTGCTGGACCAATAATGAATATGCAAATTAACCCCTTAAGGACACAACTTCTGAAATAAAAGGGAATTGTGACGAGATATTTCCGTCATGTGTCCTTAAGGGGCTAATTTGTTTCCATTGGTGACATGGGAGAGGCATTGTGGGTCAGTCCCACTCATGGCTGAGGACTGAATGACTACGAGATTTCACCTATGATAGAGAAAAGGATTCTTTACAAACAGAATGATAAAAATGTTGAAATCTCTAACTTTGTACAGATTTCTAAACATCTGGATGTCTCTTTAGGAAAAACATTATATACAAGGATATAATCGTTAAAGCAGAAGTCTAAGCACCAAAACAACTTTTGCTTAGTTGTTAGCAGATTTGGTGTATAGATCTTGCCCCTGCAGTGTCACTGCTAAATTCTTTGCCGTCTAGGAGTTTAATCATTTTGTTTATGCAGTCCTAACCACACCTTGATCTATACACCAAAACCACTTCATTAGGTTAATGAATGTAACAGCTTCTTGATCCAAGTAGAAATCTGAATACCACTTTGGAGTGAAGACATATTTTTCTCATTTTGTGGCAAAATTGGAAAATGCTTCAAATTGTCCAGTTTTCCCCCCCTATCTAATGGATCAACAGTATAATACAGATTTGTTGTCGGAAACATAATCGTTATATGCATAATTCGTATTTGGGCAAAGTTGGTTGATGTGTGCCGAAACCAACGTGCGGGTAGGCCTGTAATAAAGAGGGCAAAAGGTTAACCAAGAAATACACTTTACTGCAATATATTTACAGTGCCAACTAGCGATGGCTTAGGTTAATAGTCTGCGTCTTTGGGGAATCCTACAAAGACCTGAGTATTGTATTATTGCACAAGAAAGAAAATGGCAGCGGCGGCGGCAAAGGACTGGTTTAGGTAAGTGTAGCTCATTTTCCCTTGCACCCTGCGGCAACCAGACACACAGTGGCAGAGTCGCTATCAGGCAACTTTGCAAATCTGGCAATGAACCGGATGGTGTCAGAGACACTTTAAGATGATGGGTTTGAGGGTTTTTTTTCAGGCTATGCGTGCTGCAATGTCTGCATTTATTGGGAGGACTAGAGTGTTAAACAGGGACAGTCACTGCAGGCTGTTATTCCCCCCCCCCCCCTAAACAAATGGCCATTCTGGTTTTATTAAAATGACATGAATTGAAAACAGAAAATAAACTTAAATTCACTAAATTTTGCAAAGTACAGAAATTAATATTCTCCTCTATATGAGAATTATCCACACTAAACCTTTATTATGGCCACCAGATAAAAGGTACTCTTCTAATCATATTTTCATACATTCAAATTTTTTTTGTAATAAAATGTTTCGTCATCACACCAAAAAAGAACAAAAGCAATTTTACTCCTTTATACAAAATTCACACACATTGTAGTGACATTTCCCAGGAAGCCGAGCGCCGATCGAGTCGCTGGAGAGAGGGCGGAAGCCTGGCATGGACGCAGCCAGACAGCACCACGTGGGAACCTTGCTGACGCGCTCTCTTGGTTGCAGGGGGAGTAATCGATCGCCGATTGGAGATCTGAGTCGGTAGGTCGGTTCCAGGCAGTCCCGGAACAAAGATGGGGGGCAAGAACAAACAGCGAACGAAGGGAAATGTCCGGGTGAGTGACTCCCTATAACACAGAGACGGGGCCCTGTGCTAACACGTGGGAACGGGGCTTCAAGCTGATTGGGGCCACAGGGCTCTATCCCATAACAGGGGCCACAGGGCTCTATCCCATAACAGGGGCCACAGGGCTCTATCCCATAACAGGGGCCACAGGGCTCTATCCCATAACAGGGGCCACAGGGCTCTATCCCATAACAGGGGCCACAGGGCTCTATCCCATAACAGGGGCCACAGGGCTCTATCCCCTAACAGGGGCCACAGGGCTCTATCATAATAGGGGCCACAGGGTATCCCATAACAGGGTCACAGAGCCTAATCAGGGGCCACAGGGCTCTATCCCATAGGGGCCACAGGGCTCTATCCCCTAACAGGGGCCACAGGGCTGTATCCCCTAACAGGGGCCACAGGGCTGTATCCCCTAACAGGGGCCACAGGGCTGTATCCCCTAACAGGGGCCACAGGGCTGTATCCCCTAACAGGGGCCACAGGGCTGTATCCCCTAAGAGGGGCCACAGGGCTGTATCCCCTAAGAGGGGCCACAGGGCTGTATCCCCTAAGAGGGGCCACAGGGCTGTATCCCCTAACCACAGGGCTGTATCCCCTAAGAGGGGCCACAGGGCTGTATCCCCTAAGAGGGGCCACAGGGCTGTATCCCCTAAGAGGGGCCACAGGGCTGTATCCCCTAACAGGGGCCAGGGCTGTATCCCCTACCAGGGCTGTATCCCCTAAGAGGGGCCACAGGGCTGTATCCCCTAAGAGGGGCCACAGGGCTGTATCCCCTAAGAGGGGCCACAGGGCTGTATCCCCTAAGAGGGGCCACAGGGCTGTAGCCACAGGGCTGTAACAGGGCTGCCACAGGGCTGTAGCCCCTAACAGGGGCCACAGGGCTGTAGCCCCTAACAGGGGCCACAGGGCTGTATCCCCTAACAGGGGCCACAGGGCTTTATCGCAAAAGAAGGGCCACAGGGCTCTATCGCATAACAAGCCTCGATCACACAACTGGGGCCACAGGGCTCTATCACATAACATAGACCACAGGACTCTATCATATATAGGTGCTGTCATATCAGGGGTCTAAAGCTACCCCATATTAACTGAAATCACAAGGTTTCCTAATGCTAACAGTGGCCTCAGGCTGACAGGGACCACATGGCTCTGTCATAATAGGGGCTGCAGGGCTCTATCACATGACAGGGCACTATCCCATAACAGGGGCCACAGGGCTCTATCACATAAGAGGCCACATGGCTGTATAGCATAACAGGGGCCACATGGCTGTATAGCATAACGGGCCATAGGGCTCTATCACGTAGCTGGGGGCCACAGGGCTCTATCACGTAGCTGGGGGCCACAGGGCTCTATCACGTAGCTGGGGGCCACAGGGCTCTATCACGTAGCTGGGGGCCACAGGGCTCTATCACGTAGCTGGGGGCCACAGGGCTCTATCACGTAGCTGGGGGCCACAGGGCTCTATCACGTAACGGGGGCCACAGGGCTCTATCACGTAACGGGGGCCACAGGGCTCTATCACGTAACTGGGGCCACAGGGCTCTATCACGTAACTGGGGCCTCAGGGCTCTATCACATAACAGGGGTCTAAAGCTTCCCACATTAACTGACATCACAAGATTTCCTAATGCTAACAGTGGCCCCAGGCCGACAGGGCTCTATCATAATAGGGGCCGCAGGGCTCTATCACATGACAGGGCCCTATCACATAACGGGGGCCACAGGGCTCTATCACGTAACTGGGGCCACAGGGCTCTATCACATAACAGGGGTCTAAAGCTACCCCACATTAACTGACATCACAAGGTTTCCTAATGCTAACAGTGGCCCCAGGCTGACAGGGACCACATGGCTCTATCATAATAGGGGCCGCAGGGCTCTATCACGTAACAGGGGCCACAGGGCTCTATCACATAACTGTGGTCTAAAGCTACCCCACATCAACTTAAATCACAAGGTGTCCTAATGCTGGCACTGGCCCCCGGGCTAACAATTTGCATTTCCTGGCATGTTTAATATTTACGCATTATAAAGCATTCTGAGAGGAAGCTCTTTTGTTAGTTTGCATTATTTTTTTGAAGGATTTCCACACATCACAAACACCTTTAATAATATTTGTCCTCTAATTAGCTTTGCTACCTTTGCCATATTTTCCTGGATAGCGGTATGTTCGAGCACAGCCACCGTATGTTCCCAGTTTGCACTCTGACACGTTGAATTCCAAACTGTGAGGGAACGATTACTGAGATCTGCATCATCCAGTGGTGCAAACCTTACTCCCCCGCTAGACCATCAGAGACACACGATCCCCAATAGACTACCAGGAAGAGCTAACACCTTCTGGACCACCAGGAGCATGACCCCTTCATTGGACCACAATGGATCATAGCTCCCCCTTATTTAAAGAAAGCCAAGCAGGAGGGTGCTACATTGAGCACCACCACACACTTTATATACAGCTCAAATTTGTCAGCTGATTTTATTGTAAAGTTATCTGGAAGATGGGTGTCAGATGTTTGGAGAGGGGCGCAATTTCAGTGCTTGCAATAGGCGCTATCTTCAGTAGATACGCCTCTGCCTACAGGGTCATTTGAGGCCAGCGGTAGGCACCCTTCAGCACTCCAGATGTTGTGGATTACATCTCCCATAATGCACTTACAGCAATACTACTGGCAAGCATCAGGGGGGATGTAGTCCACACAATCAGTTTGCCAACCCCTGTTCTAGATGTGACTCATTGATTCCCTCTGGCAGCATATAAATTTGATTGAAATTTGTTATGTACAAAGCCTAACTTGAAACATCACCTTTTATTGTTGGTGTAAGAAAGCACCACTAAATTGACAGTTGTGTTGGATCTAATTCTATACAGTTATTGATTCCCCTTTGGGTATGATTTACCCAATCCATCAAGTTTTCAAGGGTGTATTTCACCACTACATGATAGTGAGCAGTGTGCAAAAGTGGTGCCATGTAATAAGTAAAAACCTACATGCTGCAGAAGGTAATCAGTCAGGTGATCAATCCCAAAAGATCTGCCAAGTGATTTATCTCTGGCTATGTGTATGATTGCTGCTGCAAAATAGAAAATATGTGAAGGAGATAATTTAATTGTTCATATTCTTTGACCTTTAGTAATGTTTAATGTAAAATATGAGCTATATTTTTTCCCTACATTCTTTGCTGCCTTGCTTATACCTGTTGATGCACATGTGAACTATTTTGGTGTGTACCTTTGTTGCAGCCCTCAAGCAGCGGACAGGCAGCAGAGCTTCTTGCTAAGGAAAGTGGCACAGTGCCTGGTTTTATTGGCTTTGGCTCATCACAGAGTGATCTTGGCTATGTTCCTGCAATCCAGGGGGCAGAAGAAGTCGATAGCCTTGTCGATGCCGATTTTCGTATGGTGCTTCGCAAACTCTCCAAGAGAGACGTTACTACAAAACTAAAAGTAAGGGTTCTTATGGTTCTATATAGAATGTAATGTCGTAAGATTAGACTATATGTGCTAACGTGAATAAATCAGCAGTGAAGATACATATCTTAAGGAGTGCAGAGTTCTTCATTTATTTGTATACATTTGGGCCTTGACCAAGAACCCTGTACCATTTAGCATTCCAATAGCATTTTATTTTAATTAGTTAAAGACTATTGCAAATAATATTGCCTCTACCATGTACTCTAAGTAACATATAAAAAAAGGCAAAGTTAAAAAATATCCGCTTTTAATTTTTCTTCTACTCTGATAAGGTTATAATTGCTTGCCTGTGTGTGTGTGTGTGTGTGTGCGCATATGTGTGTCTATATATGTGTATATTATTTAATTTTTGTTTTCTGGCTTGTAGTTCACTGTTTTAAATGTAATAATTCAGCACTTTTTAATGATATATCAGCTTGAGGGAATATGGACCTCGATTTAGCTTACTTCGCTTTTCTTCTTTTTAAGAATATATTGGTCATACCTAGCCATAAAAAAAAGTGCATTAGAACATTTAGTTCCTAAACATTACTGACTACTGACACTACAATTATTTCTCAATGCCATTGTTAAATTTGTTCGATAGCTAGTTTGATTTGTTTATTTTATTTAGTTTTATTCCTACTAACTGTACCTGTCAATACAACTTTACTACGACATAGTGCACACAGTTAATTCCTGATTATTTTTCAGGCCATGCAAGAGTTTGGTGCAATGTGCAAGGAGAGAGAGGTCACGACTGTTCGAGGTGTGCTTCCGTACTGGCCAAGGAACTATTGCAAGATCTCACTGGTAATCATGCTTTATCATACTGTTTTTTTTCCTCTCTGAGATTACAACTAATGTAAATATAAAGTATTTTTAAATAAGAAAAGCCATGATTTGTCTGTCCATTTAGTTCCTTTGGGGTACATTAAAGTAATTTAGAAAAGTGACAGGGTTAAAGGGGCTCCAATCACTATAATTACTCTTGACTAATTGTAGTGGTTATTGTGCTAGGGATCACCCCCCCTAAAATGTACCTTTTTAAAAGATTTTTTTTTTTTAAAGTACCACTCCAGGAACATTAACATCATTATCGCAATGACGTTGTTATGATGTATGGCGGTCTTATGCCTTTCTAAAACATTCTCTCGATGGGAGGCCAGTGATAGGTTGAGATTGTCAGCTGACATTCTCAACCTATCACATATCTGAAATAAGAGATGTGTACAGGCACTCTTCCATCCAAATAGGTGCTGGATATCTAGGTAGCCCACTCTTGATACCTCAAAAATATATACATATGATACCGTACTCACAATTGCTCAGATACGTTTCTATAGGTATGTATTACCACACTAAGTAAATGCTTGAAAAAAAGCCAGATTTTTATTCAATTTACCATATCAAAATTGAATATTTACTTAAAACAATGTAATTTCTACAATAGGTTATATACACCTCGTTCTACCGTAACCACTGTGGTTATCTTTGATACCCCTAACACAAAATAAATATACCCCAATAAAGTCCGACAATGCCAGTAGTACTAGTGCCTGTTTGCACTGTTTAGTTGAGAACCCTCTATACAATCAGGATCAGATATTCTTTCTGGCAGGGAGACCAAATATATATCCATCTGGAAAAAATGAAAAAAATCTAAATAATGCTTGGATAGAGCTCACCAATATTCTGGCTGATATCTGTACTGTAGAGGATGAAGTAATCAGAAGCTGTGGCTTATCCAGGTCTGCATGAGTAAAAAGACTCCTCTATGTGCCTCTACAGGATAATGATATTTCCCAATAGGATCTTCCTGGTGTGTCCACCTGTATCTGCTGCCCAAGATAGGCGTCGGTGGGGTGCTCGGGCTGCGCGCTCGGGACCTGATAGTCCCTTCAATGGCCCTGTTGGGAAGAAATGCAGTGTGTTTTTATTTCCTATTTGGCACACGATTCCTTTTTTCAAGCATTTACTTAGTGTGGTAATACATACCTATAGAAATGTATCTGAGCAATTGTGAGTGCGGTATCATATGTTCATGTATATCACATATCTGGACTGGAGGAGGAGGCAGATGGGTTGAGAGGATAAGCGAACTTTGGGTTTAATAATGGTTTGTCCTCATAAGGTAAGAAGGCTCTCAGGACCTCCAGACACCATAATGACATTGAGATAAAGTTGTAATGGTCTCTGCTGTGTGCTTTTAATCTGTGATGCTGAAGGTCCACATGCTTCCCACTAATGTCAAATGGAGCCATAAGGTTACTTGGACAGTGTGAGCATGCTCCCTTGCTGGAGCTGTGTTGTTAACGAGCATAGACACTGCACAATAGTCTGTTTGGTATCGTGCTGTGTGAGTGCTTGTCCACAGCACAGCTCCAGCATTGAAAGAGATTGCAGGGAACCCCCCCTCCTCCCCCCCCCCAGTGTTTTCTGAATAACAAGATATTAAAGGAGTCAAAGTAGAGCGTGGGGAAGACATTGCATTGATACGCATCTGCAAACAATTTTATTTTATGCTATAAATGAGTGGGAAAAAAAACTGTGAAAACACATCCACAACATTACCATTCATTTTATTTACCAGGATCATGATCGCAGAGTCCGAGAAGCCACTCAACAAGCTTTTGAGCAGCTGATCTTGAAAGTGAAGAAATATCTGGCACCTCATTTGAAAAGTCTTATGGGTTACTGGCTCCTTGCTCAGTGTGACACATACTCACCTGCCGCTAGCGCAGCCAAAGTGGCCTTCGAAGCCGCGTTCCCTCCACACAAGCAACCCGAAGCCTTGGCTTTCTGCAAAGAAGAAATTTTGAATGTAAGTAATATGTAAATGAAGATTGGGTTTCCCACTACAATATGTATGTCCTGCAGACCTAATGCAACATTTAATAAAATACTGATAAAACAGTAAGGGTACTGAACCATTTCTCTGATGTCTGCTTTAGGTAGTGAGTACAAGTGTAGCAGACCCCCTTGGTGACCCGACTGGTTACCTCTGCTAATTCCTTCCTTAGCCGTTCAGGAACCCTTACAACAAGCAGGCATCCATCCCCGGAACTGGGCGACACACAGCTCTGGAGGTACAACTCTGACTGACTCTTTATTTCTTCACAAAAGGCTTTACATGCACAGACCCCTACATGGGGTCTCTAACACAAAACAACAGGGGTTTCAATCTTAATAAGCTGATGGGAGAGGGATGGAAGAGGGACACAGCAGCCCCTGCAACCTGAGCTGGCAGTGTCCCTGTGTCCACGTCCTGCTGTGACAGGAAAAGGGAGGAGGAGAGATACAGGCAGACCATACATTCTCGAGGGGGAGAGGCACAGAGCAATCCATTTCACTTAACTCTACTCTACAGAGCTGTTGCCCCCCCTTTGTTGACCCACAGCTGCATATACAGACACATGTAAGACAGTCACAAAAATGACGCCGCAAGCTTGTGGCCCGCGCCAAATAAATCAGGTCAGCCATCACTCCCTATCTCTCCCCATAGAATAAGACCGCGGGCACATGAGGATATGGCACTCCGTGACTGCGTTCCGTCACACATCTCCCCCTTGTCCACCTCCGGCAGCCGCAGCATGACTCACAAGGGTCAGCTTGATGCTGCCAGGAGGGGACACATAGTCCATTTGTGCCATGCCCACAACAGTACTTGTCCCCGGCCAGCCCCTACAGTCCTGGTGTCGGGCCGGTGTTGCACTCTGCACCCTCCTGGGTACAGGGTGACTTAAACATAAAGTGCCTTTAGCCCGGGAGGCCATCCATCCAAGGCTCCAGTACACAGAGGTCTCTGAGCCTGTAAAACCCCCCACCCAAGCTAATGTGATACCCCGACTCTCGGAGCCGGTAGCAACCCCCACCCAAACAAATGTGCCCCCCCGGCTCTTCCATCAACTGGGTCTCTTAGGTTTCTCCGACTAGCCGAGGATGAGTTGTCTGCTGGATCTGTCGCGGCTCTGTTTCCCGGGGATCGTTGGGGTTGTGGCTGCCCTCTGTGGAGGGGAGCTGGCTGGGCTCTCCCCCTGGGAGGCACCTGTCCCACTAATTGCTGGGTAGTGGGACAGGTGCCACCCGCGCTGGTGCCATCTCTTCCTATGTGCCCTCGGCCCAGAGACCCGCGCCTCGGCTCCTACTCTCTTTTAGGGCCCTGCACGGCTGCCAGGGCTCTGCCTAGGCCCCAAGGGTGGGCAAAGGCTATCTGCCCTCGGCTCGGAGGCCTGCGCCTCCATCCTTATTCGATTCTGGGGAAGAGGAGAGCAGAGACTGGCTGTGCTCTGCTCGAAAGCAGATGCATCCTTAAGGGAAGGGGTAGCGGCGGCCGTAGTTTCGCCTGCTCCCCACTAACCAGACGATAGCAGGTCGGTGGGGTCAGCCTACGGAAGCGTCGGAGGAACCAACTCTTCCACCTGCTGGGTGCTCGTGGCGACCGACGTCTCAGCCATTACACTCGCGGTACCAGTGGTTATCCCTCCCGATAACTCACTGCCGCTGGGGTACGAGACCGGTTGTCTCCGTTCCCTGGTCCTCACTCTGCCGCTGGGGAGGAAGGATGGAACGCTTCTCTCCCTGGACCTCACACTACTGCTGGGGAACGAGACCGGTTATCTCTGTTTCCTAAACTTCATGCTGCCGCTGGGGAGGAAGGAGAGAACGATTCTCCCCCTGGACCTCACACTGCCGCTGGGGAACGAGACTGGTTGTCTCCGTTCCCTGGACTTCACACTGTCGCTAGGGAACAAAATCGATTGTCTACATTCCCATGAACTCACACTGCCGCTGGAGAGGAAGGACGGAACACTTCTCTCCCTGAGACTCACGCTGGGGAACGGGACTGGTTGTCTCCGTTCCCATGAACTCACACTGACGCTGGAGAGAAAGGACGGAACACTTCTCTCCAAGGGACTCACACTGCTGCTGGGGAGGAAGGACGGAACACTTCTCCCCCTGTGCCCGCCTATCTGCTTGGCGCTGCAGGTACTCGGCCACTAGTTTCCTCATGTGCTGTACGTATTTCTCGGCGGGGGGGAATTCTTAAAATTCATTATGGACACTTCATTGTCCGGTAATCTCCTTATCTCACTACTTAGAACCAAAGGTTTTCTCACTTACCTAAAGGGTTAATTTGAGGTTCATGAGTCACTCCTTCACATTAACTATTATCCTTCAATCTATTTCTATCAGATAACAGCACTAATTCCGAACAGATAATGGCGCTATAATGCCATCCAGCAACGCTGGCAATGCTAATATAGATAAGGATAATCAGCCTGTCTCTCTTTTTCCTGATTACCATATTATGTAGTTATATCTTCTAGGATTATTGTATTTCCTACTGTCACTCAATTTATCAAATACTTAAGTATTCCTCAAGTCTAATTCAACATGACTAGTAAATGATTTTTTCCAAAATAATCCAATAAAATTGATTCTTCAATAAGTATGTACATTTGACTGTCCGGTTAATGTTCCATCCCATACAAAGCTTCTACCGTATTTAAAGTTTAATCTAGTGGTTCAATACTTCTAGACTGATCATGCATTATCCAAATATTTCTCCCTATAATTTTGGCGACATAGTATTACGTTGTAGCGTTCACCTCTGTGGAGTATCAAAAGACCTAGATAATCAGCTTGTTTTACTTTATTTCTATTTCTATTCTCTTGATTATTCAATGACTTTATGCAGTATCACTACATCCCAGTTAGTCATTTAATTTACCCTATGGTTTCTTCTCACACTGTATAGGGTTAACTATAACATCATTAGTAACTAATGTGATTGACCAATCACCATAATGGGCGCGTTATTTAAACCTCCACGTACCTGGGATACGGTTCCTCCTTGAAGAGCCACCTTACTGGCGAAACGCACGCCAGGGCTCAGCTGAACTGCTCATCCTTAGCTTTAAACTATTCCTCTTCGACTCCTACCTTGTCCACATACTTACCTTGGATTTGTTGACAATATTTCTTTTTGTGGGGTTAGGCAGTCTTGAGTTCAGAGGTTATGCTAGAGTTATGTTGAGACAGTGCATCTTAGTTATTGGTATTTTTGTTAACTCTTAGCTCAGTTTAGAATTAGGTGCCCTTGAAGGCACAGTTGTAGGGTTATGGCCAAACGATTAGTAATTGCCATATATTTATGTAAAACTTCTAGTATTAAGCAATTAACCATTAGACAGATTGGGACTTCATTGCATGACACTTACTGATCAGAACAAGTGATTTTCTCTTGCTAACCCTCATAATTCTAAGCTGTAACACTTTAAGTGTATACTACAGGTCTTATGCTATAACTATATGCACTACTTTTCTTTATTTAATTTGCCATTAGAGGTTTGAGATAGGAATTCACTACAAGTTCAGTTTCACTGAACTAGACATTTAGGTGATCTCCCCCTTCTCCCTCTATGATCTAAATCTTTGCAACTAAAGAGATCTTTACCTTTCCTATAACTGCTACTATCACATTAGATACTTTCAGATAGTTACCTTTTTGGAGTCATTACTTCATGATTAAAGGACTACTATAGTGCCAGGAAAACATACTCGTTATAGTGCCCCCACCCTCAGGGTCCCCATCCTGCCGGGCTCTGGGGAGAGGAAGGGGTTAAACACTTACCTTTCTCCAGCGCCGGGCGGGGAGCTTTCCTCCTCCTCTCCTCCTTCCTAGCGACGTCATCGGCTGAATGCACATGCGCGGCAGGAGCCGCGCATGCGCATTCAGCCAGTTCATAGGAAAGCATTTACAATGCTATCCTATGGACGCTGGCATCTTTTCACTGTGATTTTTCACAGTGAGAAGCACGCAAGCGCCTCTAGCGGCTGTCAATGAGAGCCTCTAGAGGCTGGATTAACCCTCAGTGTAAACATAGCAGTTTCTCTGAAACTGATATTTTTATAAAAAAAATAAAATAAAAAAAAAGGGTTAACCCTAGCTGGACCAGGCACCCAGACCACTTCATTAAGCTGAAGTGGTCTGGGTGCCTATAGTGGTCCTTTTAAGTATCTTTTTGTTAAAGTAGCTCAGTGAAAGGTATGAGAAAGGTGTTTGTATATATCGTTATCCCTTGCATATATTTGTCACGATATAGCCTATGGCATTGGTTCTCATGTTGTGGTATGGGTACTTCTAGGGTACTCCTGCTGTGGATCTAATGTGCTATTTACATGGTATGGATACTCCTAGGGTACTCCTGCTGTGGATCTAATGTGCTATTCACATGGTATGGGTACTCCTAGGGTACTCCTGCTGTGGATCTAATGTACTATTCACATGGTATGGGTACTCCTAGGGTACTCCTGCTGTGGATCTAATGTGCTATTCACATGGTATGGGTACTCCTAGGGTACTCCTGCTGTGGATCTAATGTGCTATTCACATGGTATGGGTACTCCTAGGGTACCCCTGCTGGGGTATATTTACATGGGATGTGTATTCTTAAGGTACTCCTGCTGGGGCATATTTACATGGTATGTGTACTCCTAGGGTACTCCTGCTGGGGCCTAATGTGCTATTTACATGATATGGGTACTCCTAGGGTACTCCTGCTGTGGGCCTATTGTGCTATTTCCATGGTATGGGTACTTCTAGGGTACTCCTGCTGTGGGTCTATTGTGCTATTTCCATGGTATGGGTACTCCTAGGGAACTTCTGCTGGGGCATATTGTGCTATTTACATGGTATGGGTACTCCTAGGGTACTTCTGTTGGGGCCTAATGTGCTATTTACATGTTATGGGTACTCCTAGGGTACTCCTGCTGGGCCTAATGTGCTATTCACAGGGCAGACTTTCTTTTCCTTTCTGTAAGGTTTTCCTGCAGCTGTTTTACCTGATATCAGGGGTGGCTCGGTAATATTGTAACCACAATATTCTTTCTGGGAACTGCCATCATTAACTCATTTACACATCTGTTAATATCATTAGAAAAATACTTTAGCTGTTAAAAATGAAAACGTAGACTTTTGTTGGCACAAAGCCTCTCTCATTGAAACTCCTAATTACATGAGGTTGTGATCCCAACATCTGCTACGGTTTAGCAATTTATACCTTATGTACCTTAACCCTTTAGACGAAAGAAACTTTGCGTATCTAAAATATTATAAAAAAGTGCGAGTTTGTAGTGTCTGTATTTGTTTTTGTTTCCTTATGGGTAAAATGCAACATTAATGACAGAAATTTTGGATTTTTTCCCCCTGAAATTAGATAGTCCAAAGGTGCATACTATATAACACATTGTACTAGCAATTGGCACTATTTGGGCTTTGTAGGTATGCACGAGAAGTTCTTCTCGATGAGCTCTTGTTGTTTGACCTGTCAGGTACACAGTATGGAGTGTTATGGAACAGCTTGAGAATTTCTTCATTCACCATGGTATTATCCTCCTTTGTCTGTGCGATCTAATGATATTTTTTGACTGTATTTTCCCTTTTGTTGCTCGCCATGTGGATATTAGCAAAGACACTGTTATGACATGTTCCTCGAATTGACTTGGCTGGACAAAGTATGACATGGTTTAATGCTCTAACCATTTTATCCATATTGATCTTATGTTATGCAGACTGCTAGCAAATCTATTTAGAATTTAATCATGCTTCCCGACACACTGATCTTTTATGCCAAACTATAGTTCCCGTGTGGCAGTCCCTTGTGGGGTACAAGCATGAGCAGAGGCGTAGTTTTACCCAAACCTACATATGCAATCTTCTAGACCAGGCATAGGCAGCCTTCGGCACTCTAGATGTTTTGGACTACATCTCTCATGATGCTTTTCCAGCATTATGGGTGCAAGAGCATTATGGGGGATGAAGTCCACAACATCTGGTGTGCCGAAGGTTGCCTATCCATGTTCTAGACATTTATTTAGCCTAGTGGCCACATATGGTACTGCTGGCACAAAGTAACTAAAGCTTGCAAACCAATTTCTTCAAAATTATGGTAGAACAGACAGCCCATACCTACTTGCTGTACTTGGTACCCGGTCCCTGTTTCAATTCGTGCTGCACCACTGTACAATGCCTTGGCATGGTGCTGTTTTTTTATGACTCAAATGTAAGAATTTGTTAGTCTTTGGTATTTGATATGTTGAATTAATATTGAATTTAGAATTAAAGGGACACTATAGTCACCAGAACAACTAGAGCTTATTGAATTTGTTCTGGTGAGTAGAATCATTCCCTTCAGGCTTTTTGCTGTAAACACTGTCTTTTCAAAGAAAATGCAGTGTTTACATTACGGCCTAGTGATAACTTCACTGGCCACTCCTCAGATGGCTGTTAGAGATCCTTCCTGGGTCATGGCTGCCTAATATGCATCCAAACATTCAGTATCTCCTCCCTCTGCATGCAGACTGAACTTTCCTCATAGGGATACATTGATTCAATTCATCTCTATGGGGAGATGCTGATTGGCCAGGGCTGTGTTTAAATCATGCTGGCTCTGCCCCTGATCTGCCTCCTTGTCAGTCTCAGCCTATCCTATGGGAAGCACTGTGATTGGATCAGGCCACCACTTCTGATGATGTCAGCAGACTGCTTGTTTGTTTTTTTAGGCAAACAGCATGCAGAGTTACAGCTTCAGGCTTGAATACAGTAAGATGTTGCTATATTTATGGAGGCATGAGGGGCCCAGGGGGGCTAGATGGTGGTGTTAACACTATAGGGTCAGGAATACATGTTTGTGTTCCTGACCCTATAGTGATCCTTTAAAAAAATAATCATTTTACATGCTATGAATTAAAATAATTTTTTACAATATTTTATACAATTATTTAATTAGCTGTGTTACTGTTTTCAGGTTTTGCTGGATCACTTGTTGAAAGAAACTCCCGACACACTGAGCGATCCCCAGTAAGTGATGCATTCCGGATTCTCTGTATGTAGTTTGTGCAGTAAATCTAGATCCTGGCGTGTTCTTGTTTGGAAATGTATGCAATTTATCTTTATTAATACATGAGGTCTCAAAAAAACAGTTTATATTGTTTATCATGATCAAATTGAAGTGAATTCAAAATCAGATTAATAAAACAAGGTTAAAATGATTTGATTTGGAAAAAAAGATCTCTAATTCCGCTACATGTACGTAAATGTAGAAAATTGGCCTCCAAACGCAGATCGAATTTTGGTGCCGGTGCTTGACCAGACCTCAATAGATGAATAAATGAAGAAAATCCTCAGCACACAGCAGTGATTTGTGGTTTATTGAGCTCAAAAAAATAAAAGGCAACGTTTCAACACATTTATGGCTTGACAAATACAGAACTAAAGACATTGTATGTCATATGTATGTTTCTGTGGATTACATGGAAGGAAAGCCTATGTTTAATTGCTGTATTCAAATCTCTCCCAGGACTGTGCCACCTGAAGAACGGGAGTCCAAATACTATCGAGTTGTTACTTGCTCTTTATTGGCATTGAAGAGGCTTCTCTGTATGCTGCCAAGCAGCGAGACTGGCTCCCTGTCTGAGAGACTGGCACATCTACTGTCACAGGGCAAGTTCTGGAAGTTCAGCAAGCATACAACTCCAACTGTGAGTTCCTTTTATTGATCATTTTATGCAGTAATTATTAAATATGTATTAAAACTTAAAGGACCACTCTATGCACCCAGACCACTTCAGCTTAATTAAGTGGTCTGGGTGCCAGGTCCAGCTAGGGTTAACCCATTATTTTATAAACATAGCAGTTTCAGAGAAACTGCTATGTTTATGAATGGGTTTAGCCTTCCCCCAAAGCCTCTAGCGGCTGTCTCATTAACAGCCGCTAGAGGCGCTTGCGTGCTTCTCACTGTGATTTTCACAGTGAGAGCACGCCAGCGTCCATAGGAAAGCATTGTAAATGCTTTTCTATGCGACCGGCTAAATGCGCGCGCAGCTCTTGCTGCGCGTGCGCATTCAGCCGACGGGGAGGAACGGAGGAGGAGAGCTCCCCGCCCAGCGCTGGAAAAAGTTACGTTTTAACAGTTTTCCCCTTTCCAGAGCCAGGTGGGAGGGGGACCCTGAGGGTGGGGGCACCCTCAGGGCACTATAGTGCCAGGAAAACAAGTATGTTTTCCTGGCACTATAGTGGTTCTTTAAGGCAGACATGTCACCTCATCAAAACTATGAATCTTGATGCAAACTTCCATAAATTGCAATCAAAGGTAAAATACGAGCTGTTTTGTCTTAGTTAAACATCAGATTTTAAACAATTTAACAAAAAAGGAAGTAATGAGCTTTTCCTTCCTGTTGCTTGCCGCTTTCCATAAGCCATGAGATATGCGATAGATGCTTATAATATCTATGAGCAATCCTGTTAGGTGTCAAAGATGTTGTGGCTACTGATAGCTTTAACTGAGACGAGCTGAAGAGAGGAAAATGGTGGAACCAGGAGGGAGAATTTCAGGTAAGTATATCGCCCTTTTTCTTCTCAATCCAATCTCCACGATGCAGTGAATGTGTCCACTGGAGAGGTGGGGACAGTGCTGCTTTAATACATATTTTATATACATATCGCATACATTTTAATAACAGATTCTTATCAGCTCCCTTGACATCCCACTTTTCCGTGCTAGCTGAGTTGGTTACTTGACACTCATTTATCATTTGTTAAAAGGAACACATAACCACTAAGGTGTTCCATACTGGTTATGGTGCGAGGAGTTCCCTCGTGTCCCCTACCTCCATTGTTAGTAGTGAAACCATTGTAGAACAAGGACCTGTGGTTTGCCAGTTACTGCTCTCCACCTCTCCTCGCTCCTCTCTGCAGCCTTTGAGCTCATCCCTGCACTGCCTCTTGCTCTCTAAAGGCCATAATGGAGGTGGGGAGTTGTGCCTGGCACACCACAGGTTAGAAGTTGTCAAAATTTCCAAAAACGTATTGACTGACTATTTTGGTGGGGTGTTCACACATGCATCACTCAAAAGACCACAGACCCACACTGAGGTAAAATTATTGGGAGTTTAGTTTAGTCCGTTTAATAAAGGTCACTAAACTATGTAATAAGATAGCACAAACTCTCCACTCCATTTATTGATTAGCTAGCAAAATGCATTGTGACCAAGTTTATTGCTCCATTTGACATCACCCATAAAGGTGACTGGTGAGATGTTTAATGATTTACTAAAAGTGTAAGTGCATGTCTCAAGTAGATACCTGTCAGCAGCATTCCATTTCACACAAAAGGAAGAAGGCCCTGGAATATACATGTAAAAAATGTGTTCAGGAAGTACAACTTGCTTGTATTTTTCTTTTTTCTGCTTATGAAGAAAACACACACTTTTTTCACTTTTCATTCCATTACTAAAAGTGGCTAGAAACATTTGAAACGATTGCCATACTTTATTCCCAATTGCATTTTAGAAAAGGCAAATAATATATAAAGCTAATCTGTATATACGACTATATGACCTTGTTTACTGACTTTAACATATCCTAAATACAAGTTCAAATGTTTAGATAACGTTTTCTCTCGACCTGTGTGATTCAATGAAATGTATCAGGAGTGAATCAATAAAAGGCGTTCCAAATATTTGCTAATCTCCTTTCATAAAATTAATACTTGGCATCTCCTTTATTTAATATGCCTAGTAAGGCATCAATAGTACCCTTTTTAAAAAAAAATGTTTTATATATCTTAGTTTATTTTTCTTTTGAACATGTTTTCCTTTTAGCCAGTCCCTGACTATGGTTGTCGAAATCTTGATTAGAAACAAATAATTGCAGTTTAAGATAATGGTGGATATAAAAAAAATAAATACAGTACAAACTATACTATTAATGCAAGCGGTTAAGTCCCCACAATGGGCATTTAACCCACATGGTTTTCTTTTTGTTCATAGTTAATTTTTTTATTTGAAGATATGTTCAAGTACTTGCAGTAAATACTATGAGATCGTTGTTTGCTTCCAATTTGTTCCTGGCTGGATTTGGCAGAGTTATGTTCCTATCCCTTTTCAGCAGATAGGAGTTTCTCATTATATGATAAACTGTGTTACTGTTCCATTTTATTACATCTTTTTAATTCTTTTTTTTTGCCAATACTGTTATTGTGGCTTATTGATTTTTGCATACAAGTCAGTGATGTGTTTTTTTTTGTTTTTTTTTACACAGTGGATCAGAAACACTTCTTCTGAGTTCTCAATCCCTAGTTGCCGTTTTTGGAGTCCTTTCTGTGGACCGTTGGGTCTGTGGAAAGCAATTTCCTACTCTAGAACCATGTGTTCTTTAGGCATGACATCATATGTTCTAAACCACATGTGAAAGCATCATGACAAGCATTCTGTTCTTTTTGTTTTTTTTGTCAGGCAAGCCCTTCAATCAGCAGTTAACTTTGAAAGCTCAAATGGATGCAGTTATTTGATGTTTGTAGTCGTCCCAATGTATTTACTGCTTGTTTGCAATCCAGATGTTATGTATTGTCGGGAAAAGATAATTTTCTGTAATTTTCTTTAGTTTATGGTCTATTTATGAAGCTGTTCAAAAGTAACGTCCAACCATCTGGAAATTCAGTAAATAGCCACGTAACCATTAAATTCACTTATTATTTTTTAATAATTACCGTTTGTATTTTCAGAGCTAGTTAAAGACGAACTAAGAAATAAGAACAATTTCTATTTTTATTACATATAAAAAAACAAAACAAAAAAAACAAACATGGGAAGAATATTCTGGTATAATACAATTGCGTCATTGCGCATGAATTGCGAATTTCCAAATTTTTGCTGAAATTCTCGGTCTGTTATGTGAAGTGTAGGAGTCCAGCTCTTGGAAATCTTCTGCAGACAGACCCCCTCCCCCCGTGGGTCGTGAATGTCTACATTTGGCCATCTAACCTGACATTGTGCCTCAAATAAACCTTACAATATCTGTAACATTATGGTGCTAAAGCTATTTTTTGTGCTGTTTAAAGAATACCCTTATTGAATACATTAACACCTTTTTTTTGCCATAGATCCGATCTGCTTTCTTTGAACTGATGTCCTGTCTGTGCCAGCATCTGCCCACTGTTTTAATTACTGAGGCTTCCCGCGTATGCACTTCAGTACTCCTCAGTATCGATGACAGTGATGCTGTGGTGTGTCCTGCCCTCTGGGAGGCTGTCCTTTACACCGTAACCACCATTGAGGTATGCTTGTATATTATATAGGTTGTATTTTGAATGACAGAGGAATTGTTACTTTGGTGCTGAAGGCACATGCTAAGAGCTAACTAGAAATGTAGATATGTTGTATTTTAACATTTTTTTTTTTTTTGGTGCATAGAACAAATTTGGAACTACTTCTTATTATGAAATTGCTAAATATGTGGGGAAGAGAATTGTTAATCTGCCTTAGTCAGCACATCTTCTCATTTCCATCAGACTTCTTGTGTGATGCCCTATAAATGTAGATATATAAGCCATGGCGCGTACATAGAATCGATTTGAAGATCTTCGGTCTTGTGAAATCTTCCATAAACACCCATTAAATACTGTCACACACGATTTTGTAAATTACGAATACAAGCTTCTCACAGGTGACGCCACCATGAGGAAAGCAGTATTAAGTATTTCCCACCCCCCTTCACCTGGTGATGCTGTAGAAGATGACGTGTTGCCCAAAAAATATGAAGACCTCACAAGACTAAAAAAAAAACAAGTTTCTTCTGGTTTACATTTAAAATGTTTGTCTGTTCTTGCGAGACTGTTGTTGGTAATAACCACTAAAGGTCTGAATTGTCAAAAGAACTAATTAGAGGCTTAAACATTTTGAAAATAAAATGACATTGATAGGTCACTATACAAGCAGATTGGGCAATATAACCGCAAATAAGTGCATTCTGCTAACTAACCAAATAGACTTGAAAACCCCCAAAAAAGCTGAGAGAGCTAGTATTTGTCATTTGAAGAAAAAAAAAAAGCAAAGATCAAAGAAATTCTGAAATGGAATATTTATTACAACTGTAAAAGGATAATTAAAGACGGCACCAGATGATTCCCGCAAGAGGCCTTCCCTCTTCCAGTTATCAAATTATTAACATTGTTAAGGTATTATAGAATTAAAAAAAACCTCTAGATCTCTAGAGTGGAGATGTTATCAACATTCTAGGACACAATGTACCCAATTATCACAAGGAACCAGTACGCATAAATAAACAGCAGACCCATAAATATAAAGAGACATGAACTTGTGTCCCTGCTGGGGTAAACATTAAGACAGTGATACATTTTAAACAAGTAATACTGTTCATTGAATGTATTTATTTATAGAAAGTGTCACGGGTGTATTGTATATCTTGATAGTCAATTATTCTACATGTTAAGCATCTGTTAAAGGGGCTTAATTTTCTGAGCATTGGTAGAATATGCTGTCGTTTCCTGCTTAAATGAACTGTACAAGCAAGATCTCAAGTAAACCTTATATTTTTTTTTTTAAAGTCTTCTTTCCAGCATTTAGGTCAAGACTAAAGTTAACTGAATATGGTGTATAACAATTATAGATTATTAAAGTGAATAGATGTAATGAAGGGCTGCATCACAAAAGAATGAGCGACTTATAAATGGACATAAAGTATAAACCAAAAACTGATATGTGAGCGCTCCAAATAGATGTCACCACCAATCTTAATCTGCACTCCAGCAGTAAGCGTAAAAAGCAAATACTATCGTATATGATACAGTGAAAATACCATAAATCAGTGATTATATGAGAACCACCTGATCTATTATCACATAATAATGAATGTCATCAAATATTCTCCAACTACAATATACCATATATAAAAATAGGCTTTTATAAAACCTATAGAATATTATTAAAATAGGGTTAAAAGTGTGCATCAAAGGTATATCATAAATAGACAGAATTCATAAGATAATGTGCAGTCACAATGAAACATAAAAGTAATAAATATGACACATGTAAATAGACACAAAGTATCTGGACAAGGGTTTATAGGACAGTGTGGAGCCCCTACACTGATCGTAGTCCGTGGCCCAATTTGATGATATTCATTATTATAGGATAATAGTTTAAGTGCAGATTAAGATTGGTGGTGACATCTATTTGGAGCGCTCACTTCAGTTTTTGGTTTATACTCCTAGCAATTAAAATGGTCAGAGATAGACACTTAGCATTTTAGAGGGTTTGGCTGGTTGGAACACCAGGTGAGGAGCTTATCGAAGACCCTTACATGTAACTCAAAATGTAAATTAGAACAGAGTTTTTTACTTGTGCAGTCATGTACAAAAACATGTATTTTAAAGACTTGAATTTCTTTTTGTTTTATAATATTTATTGAAAGTTGTAATATGAATGTATCAAGTACAAATCTGACAAGCTGAGATAAAAGTCGTCTTCTAGAACGAGGCGTCCAAAATGAACTTTACAGAGCCAGTAATAACAATGAGCATTCAACAATTCCAAAAGGCATATTATTTTTAAGTTCTGTTTCTGAGCCCATTTATATAATACACACCAAAAACAATGGGGTTTGGGTCAGAGATTAAGGATTATCCTTCTTAAACCGGCAGCAGTTTAAAATTCACTACAACTCACAGTTTATTGAATAATTCCCTGATGTTTGTTCAGTATCTCATCTCTTTTATATTGTGCTCGGCAGACTGAAATCATTACACTTATCTCTAAGAAAAGCTAAGACAAAACAGTACAATAGAAATTCTAAATTCTTGCTGAGTCCAACTTTCTTTTTCTATTTGTATCGGTGTGTGTATATTGTTGCTGTGTAACACTTTTCACAGAAACTTTTCCAGCTGGAGCATTGAATACAGTCTCCGTGTTAAAAATAGCTTGTACGTACAATGTACAGGGTTTCTTTAACCCCTTAAGGACACATGACATGTCGTGATTCCCTTTTATTCCAGAAGTTTGGTCCTTAAGGGGTTAAATAGGCAGATTTATTGAAAACTGTGCAACGTTTCGACATACACAGAGGCCTTTGTCAAGGCTTGACAAAGGCCTCTGTGTAGGTCAAAATGATGCACATTCAGTTTTCAATAAATCTGCCTTTTTGAAGTAACTTTGAGCGCCTGGACCTACTTTCTACTAATATCTACTAAATTGGGTTTTGCCAGCCCGGTCTTTGGTGTACCTGGTTTTCACTGTGAGAGTGTGGTATCCTTTATCTTTGAATCATTAAATTGTAGAATAGACAGAGATGGTGTAGGTCAGGAGTGCCCAAACGGTAGATCACCTGATGTTTTAAAACTACAGTTTCCATGATGCTTTGTCATTCTAAAGGAGTTCTAAAGTCATGCGAAACATCATTGGAATTGTAATTCTGGGGATCTACCTATTGGGCACCCCTGGTGTAGGTTGATATGAATAGGTGATCTGTTATCTGCCTTTAACATCATGTATAATCTGTCAGTCAGTCTCTCAAGGACAGTGACTATATCGGTTGATTATGATTCAGTAAAGTTTAAAATAGCTTATTGCCTTCTAGATTGTCTGCCTGCATCAATGCTAATTAAAATGGAACTAAATAGATGTAAATTGTCTTTTTTTCAGGACTGTTGGGTTCATGTGAATGCCAAGAAGGGGGTCTTGCCCAAGTTATGGGCTGTGTTGAGAGAGGGAGGTCGAGGACTGGCTATTGTAATCTTCCCAAACCTGCTACCGTTTATCAGCAGAGTTCCTCAACAAATTACAGATTCTAGGCTGGACTTTTACACTAACCTCTTTGAAGCATTTGTTCAAGGGTAAGTTTCTTGTTGCCGTTTGGGTAAAAAATAATTCCAAATGCTGCTATTATTATTCATATTTTTGGTCAGGCATTCAGTTAAGTTATATAGCATGTAAAATTGCTTGTATGCACACATGGGGAGACGTCTCAAATTCTTCTGTTGTCTAAACTGGTGCACAGTTAAAAAAGAGGGGCAATCACTATGAATTTTTGCTGAGCATCATGGAATTTGTAGTTTAATCCCAGCAGAGTGGAGTATGTGCTGATAATCCCAGATCTATAAGGTGTTAGATTAATTAAACTAAATTTGCAGGCCTTAGAAGTAACAATAAAAATGCGTTTGTCCTGTCTACAATTCTATCACCTTATTTTGCACTGGTTCACAGCTTCTCTAACTGTAAATTAATGATAATAATCATGTTTTTACTGGAATTTACACCATTATATACGCAGAGTCCTGTACAGGCTGCGGAATGTGAGAATTGTTTAGAAGCTTTATATACCGGTAACTGGAAATGATCTGTTTCCAGCATTGCTACCGATGTTTTGAATACTGTATTATTTTCCTACATTAATAGTATCTCTAGTGAGCGGGCCATCACAAGCCCTGCAGAATGTTCTGCCATTATATCTGCCTACATGGAATGCCTACGCTTTGCCATGCATGAAAACGCCGGAGAGGGAGAGGAACAGCGGAAAATTCGGCAAATGCTCATCACTGACCAAGTATGGAAAACTTTTTAATGTGAATCTGAGATTACCGTTCCAAAGCATTGTATAATTAGTCTTTGTTTGAAGTGGATGCGGCTGAATAATAGTTTCTGGTAATTCCATGTAGTTCATCCAACTGCATTTGTACAAGAGAGGGGAATTATGTACTTTTTTGATGAACTGCTAAAACTGCACATAAACCTTATACGTAAAACTGAAATAACACTGGGAATAATGTCCAATTATGGTGTCTTAAAGTACATTGCTTTTATTTTATTTGGAGATCCCCATAAATTCTCAAAAAACTATTTTATTACTGCTGGTGGATTTAATTTTTTTGGGTGGATTTTGTTTTGGGTGGATTTTTGTAAGTAATACATTTTTATGTATGTATGTTGATTACAGCAGTTTTCTGGAATAGTTAATAATGGGAGCCCTTCTGATTGCCAGGGGAAACATCAGTTGGTTAGACAGATGGTTAAACGGAATACAAGCTCCCGAAACCGTGTATTAATTGCTTTAATGATAATGATATTGTGCAGCAGCACAGAGAACAGTCAGTAATCTTAAGATGTGTTGTAAGTGGCGGTAACAAATATATTTAGAGCATCACAAGGCTTTGTGTGATTGAGACTAGACTTCTAGATTTTGCTCATCATTTTGTTTTTTGAAACAGAAGTCAGATTAGAAGATTTAAAGGAGACTCCAAGCACTATAACAGCTCTGGTGCCTCACCCCGTCCCCCATTGTAAGTGGGCAAACTGTTTTAGAACTCTACAATGTGCGAGATGGTGCCAGGACAATTCTGGGGCCATAACCACTTTAATGAGCTATTATGGTTATGGTACTTGGAGTGTTTCTTTAAAGGAGTCCATTTATGTACCTTATCCAGGCTGAAAAACACCCAATATTCTTTGTTGACCGGGAAAGACATTCAAAGTAGCTCTGTCACCCTGAAACTGCCTGGGGAAAATACCCCAGAAGGTGACAGAACCTCTTTAATCACATGGTTTATAGATTCCATGAACGTGAGGGGTGGGGTACGTATGCAGAGTCGATTAATTAGATCAGGTCGCAGTGATAAACAGTTAATGGTTTGGGATATAATAGAGCTTTGTTACAAGGTACTGCCTAGTCCCCATTTCACATATAAACTATTGTATCAATAAGCACAAAGGCATTTTTTAAGGAATTACAATGTTTAGTTAGATTGATTGTATAGTTAATTGGTTACATTCTAAAAAAATGTTCTCTTGTTCTCTTTTTTCAAGCTGATACCTCTTATTGACTCTTCTTTAAAAGACTACAAACTTCAGAACAGCCCATTTTATGGCCACGTGGAGGAAACAATATATTCCTGGGAGAAGAAAGCAGAGAATGAACGTCTTGGAGAAGATGTTTCTTGTATACATTCCACCATATTATCTGGATTTTGGGAGAGCTTATCAAATGTATGCGTTGCTAATGTGGATACATTAGACGCTGCAGAAAAGGATCTAGCAGGTGTTTCTGGGCTTTTACATATTCTTCAGAACCCAAACACTTGCATGAAAGTAAACAAAAAGAAAAAAGCAAAGATACGATTTGCTGACGAAGAGGAAAGTGCTGGTGGTAGCATTAGACCAGAGCCACCTACAAGAGATACCAAGAGTGTGTCTAGAGACCTGGAAAACATTGTTTCTGTAAGGAACAGAGAGCCAACCATCAGTCGATTGAGGCAGGAATTCCTGGAAGAATTGGTGTGCAAGTTGGCTGAACTCAGCATGGTTTACATTTCTGAACAGGGGTCCAAACGTCATCTGAAATTCTTGGCTGCTCTCCTTAGGGCATTTTGTTCTGCTAAGGTTTTTCAGGTTCTTGTAGAACAAAGTTTTGATGAAGCCCCCACAAATGCAGAGCTTCTTGGGCAGGGGATGGTACTCAAAAACGAAAACCCAGCAGTGCAGTTCCTTTATCGAAAATTAACAAACTGGTTAAGAGAAGGAAGCGAAGAGGATTCTGATTTCTTGGTGGACATTTTGTATAGTGTCCTGGTGTGCTGTTCTGATCCTTTGGAAAGAAAAAGTCTCATGGACAACATGACAAAGGTAACACTACATGTTTTATTTACACAGATGTGTTCTCTCTCAAAATTATTCCTGGGTTCAGATTGCAATACATATGTTAAAAGGAACCAGTCATCCGAGAATTGTGTGGTTTAGAGGTTCACATTCATTTGGATATATATTCTAGCTTCTGAATGAATGTTTAGAAACAGATAGTAGAACTACAACTGCCTTCACACTTTGTCTGATCTGTTGGCAATTGCCCTGGCTCAGTATATTTGAACATTTCTTCCTTACATGAGCACCCTTTCTTTAGCACTCTGTATAGTGTATTGTAGGATTGCCATTTTTTTTTCTGGACACGCAACATTTTTTCTTGCTGTTGGGCAGTAGATGAAAACATGGTTCCTTGCAGTAGGTATAATTTACCTACCGAAGGAGAGCTATCGTCTTGGAGTGTTCAATTAAAAGTGAATGTTAATGAAGTGGAATCTTATATGAAAAAGAACAAAAGACTGCTGTCAAATAGAATAATGCAAACTATTAGGTGAGTACATCTCTGTATGTTTATTGAGGGGAATGTAGATAACAAAGTAATAGGCAAAGATAGATCCCTGAAGTTGGTGTGTTTGCAGTCAGGCAATAAAAACGTGGAGGGGGGGAGAAAAGCGGATTTCGTTTTTCTGAACACACTTATACTCATTGACTTTGATGATTCCTGTTTGAAATGCTTATTCTGTTTCATTTTATTTCCATCTCCTGCTTTTGTCCAAGTAATAGTCCAGATGCAGTATTATAGTTGTTGTGTGGTCTCCAAGCTGGCTAGGTTTTATTTTCCTCTGTAATATTTTGTTTTATGACATTATGTCTAATGTGCTCTTGTGGGTCTTAAAAATAATATGACTTGCACAATGAAATGTTGGCTTGCACTTGTCACCTGTGGAAATGTCTTAAAATAAACTTTTTTTTTTTTTTTTAAATATTCTTTTTTTTTTTTTACTTTTCCTGGTTTTAGATGGACTTTAAATGGAGCGTTTTTCTTCACATCATTCAAAAGGTAATGCACAGATCATAACTAATCTGCGGCTCCTAATTTTACTAGCCACGTGTAAAAGTCACTCGCCACTGCAAGCCCGAAGGGTCAATGGCCAATTTACAATTGCCTCTGGCTAGTGAGAGAGTAGAAGTTTTGAGCCCTGACTAATCTTTGGTTTGTTTTCCTTTTGGTAAGGGTTTGATTACTTAGTCGAGTAATAGATTCAATTGTTTTCTTAGATAATATATTTTTTTGCGGTGGTCCATGCCATTCTTTTACCCAGGAGTAGTTCTTTTGAGTCTTGTCAGGATACAAAGAAAGTAAACCCTGGCCCTGAGCATGCTTGGTTAGTGATGTGTAAGCAATTCACAGAGAGTAATGTCAAGCTTAACCAGAAAATGTGTAACATTGATACAGGAACTGTGACTTTTATACCAAAATGGTTGATTTCAATTCTCCATTTGAGCTATACTTCCAACTTGACTGTTTTGATTTAACGTTTGCTTTGCAAAATTCATTACAATTCCAAGTATTAGTGAATATGTCAGGTCTGATATGAGTGAGTTCACAACTCACATAAAGGTTTTAGTGTTCTTTGTTAAATGCCTTTTTTTTATTTTCATCACTCCTCCAACAGGCATGTTCAGATTCCATGAAGCATTCTCTTGTCTGTGATTGGCTGACCGGTGATGTTCTAGGTGACAAGTTGATCTCTCTTGCAAATGATCTTTGCGCGAGTGGGCTAAGAGATAGAGCAACACAATCAGAATCCTATTGTTCAAATAATTGGGCTCTTTTGAGTTTGGTGTTGTCAGAGCATGTGAAAAATGGTGAGTTATTCATTTATTTATTCATTTATTTTTATTCATAACAGTCGTACATACAGGATGAGCTGATATTCAGGCCTGTGATCTTGTTATCTGACGTTTGTATCAGTAGTACACAATATGAAGATTCATTACGGATTTTCTTTATATTATACTGTTAAGGAAACTCTGTCCAAATATTGCTTTACTTGACTTGCATCAGAATTAGTCTGACAAAGCAAAACACATTAAAAAGAAATAAATTCAGGCAAAATGTAGGTACTCATCATGGAAGTTGAAAAGCTGTTCTCCTTTTAGGCAGGAAATGTAATACATAGATTTTAGAGAACTCTCCTTGCACATGCTGGTAAAGACTATTCACGTGGGACGCATATAAATTGGTATTTTCCACTAAATCTTTTCCGCTCTAACTATTTATTTTACTTTTCCATACACAGAATCATTGATTGGTGAAACCTACGTGGAAAGAATCATCGATCAGCTGCATTCGGCTCTCTCTAAAGCCAGGGATCTTTCTGAAGCTGGAGATGTCGAACAGTCCGTTTCATTCATATGCGACGTGGCGTCTAACTTTTTTAGCTCAGTGAAGGGCTGTTTTCTGATGCCCTCAGCGGAAGATCTGCTTCTGACCATCTTCCAGCTCTGTGCCCAAACACCTGATACAGCCCACCTGTCAGGTATAATTTCAGTCTGGATAGTGAAAGTAGTGCATTAGGAAAGATCACATAAGGCTGGTGAGATAGCTCAATGAGCTAATGCACCATCGGTAGAATCGCAGGTGGTCACAGTTTCAAATCCTGTCAGGGTTGATTCAACCCTTTATCCTTGTGAGGTAGATAAAATGAGTACCATTAGATTGGGTAATAATAACAACCCCTGGATGTTGGGCAAAAGTAATATCCCCAGGACGTACTTGGAAACAAGAGTAACCCCAATGCACCTTTCCTTGTTACTTTGTTATTAATTTAGTCCTGTTATGCTAACCCCGTTATAGCAAATTAGTTATTACTTGCATTGTATGCAGGAAAGTAAATGGCACTGTTTATGTTTGATGTTTATTATAGTAGCCTGTACCAGTTTATAATGTATGTTAAATTCTCATTGTGCTTTTTCTATGTGTGTGTGTAATGGTTTTTTCCAACATGAACATTAACATCAGCTAATTTGTGTATTTACTGCTAGATTCGCTGGTGCTCAAGCTGGAGCATACCTGGCTGTGTGGCCTAAATTCATTGGTCTGCCATTTTGACAGTATACCTCAAGGAAGCATGTTCTTGAATAGATCTGCTCAGTGGGTTAAGAATCAGATTCAGAAGTCGCAGCTCAGTGTTCAGAGGTAAGTTAAATTTTAAGTGTTGAGAGGGATCATAGAGCAGAGTGTTCACTGTGTGATTTTGAATTTGACAGTGGAGAAGATACTTGGCCTAGACTGGCACAGCGCTCTTTAAAGTGCCCTTGAGCAGCCTCCACCAGCTTACCAAAGCAGACTGCAGGACACATAATAAACTAGGCAAAGTATCACCTCTAAAAGGCCAGTAACAGCCCAATGCAGACTTTGATAGAGACGGGATGATGGGGAGGTAGTGCAATGCTCATGGGCAATTTATTATGGATATTAATTAATATTATTTATATTTGCAATATTTGGCTACATTGGTTTCCATGAAGGGTAGACCTGCCACATTCATTTCTTTTTTTGTTACCAGATTTACAGTGCGTATTTACTGGACTCCACTGTTACACTTTTTATGTTGCTTATGTACTCAATTTATATGATATATTGTTTTTTTCTTTAATCTTTCTCGCAGCCTTCAGTCTTTAATTGGTGCTGTTAACAATCTGTACTGCAAAATCCTGGAGGCAGGTTCTTTGGCTGTCCCCCTTCTAGAAGGACATCTAACATTAATGATTCCAGACACGGAACAGTGGCAAAAGATGCGTCAGTGTCTCTCTAATCAGGTATGGCTATAAAAAGCAAAACGAAAAAAAAAAAAAAATAACCACTGAGCTAATAGATTGAAATTGTATAGGTATGATTAAGGAGCTTGGCTATATATCTAATTACCTAAATGAGTTAATTTAGCTGCACTTAAACCTATTGCAGTATATGATACTGTATCTCCTTAGCAACTTATTGTGAGGTTCAATAGCAGAGTATAGTCAGGAGACAGTGGATTTATAAAAGTGGTGATTTCCCTTGTAATCAGCATTTGTATTAAATATTGCAGAGTTATGCTTTTAATCTGTTTTGGTTAGATACAAAGACTGGAATTTTACTGGAAATGCAGGAACTTCAAATGTATTTTTTTTTTTTTTTTTTACTTCTAATCTATTGTTTTCGCTTTGATATATTGAATGCATTATTTCTATAAACCCACCTCGGATCCAGGCAGGAGTGTTCCATTTTCATGTCCTGGGGTTTAGCTGCTGTTGATATTAAGATATCTTTTTTTGAACAGAGGTTAGTAATTCGTGTTAAGTGACTCACCTTAAGCAAGATCATACTAAAAACCCATGTTATTAACAGGGACCTTACTTGTTAACAAGACAACTGATGGTTGTTGGTCCAGACCAGACAAAGAACTACCTTGTTGGTACTTGGGCATACTTGGGAGAGATAGATGGTTTGATAGTGCTTGAGAACTAGAGGGTGAGACTTGGAATTAGATGGTTGGTGGTACCTCTGGGTGGTCTTGGAAAGTAGGTAGTTTGAAGCTTACTTTTTTGGTGGTACCTGGTGGCAGACTTGGGAAATATATGATGGAATGTGTTTAGGGTTAGACTAGGGAGATGATTTAAACATACACTCCGGACACCAAAAGCAGTTTAGCTTGCTGAAAAGTTTTGTGTGTGAAGAGTGTGTCCTCTCTTTTTTTCATTTTGCAAAATGTTCAGTAGAAATTGACACTTGAAGAAACCTGGTTCCCACCCCCTTGGCTTTCAAGCATACAACAGGTAATGTTACTTCCTGGCTTGGTTAGCTCAGTAGAGCTAAACTAAAGAGGCAGCGATTGTACAGAGCACCTGCTTTACAAAGACTTTTCATTGAGCTGAATTGGGAAGTCTGTGATTGGACAGCCCCAGAACATCTGGGCGGGGTTAAAAGGTGAGGACTTGCAAAGGCTGCAGACAAAAGATCAGCACGTTTTGCAGCTGTTTTTAGAAATTCCCCTTTTGGAAACATGCAATGTTTCATTTAGGGTAAATCAACTGAACTGTTTTTTTTTCTTTCAATTTTGCATTTGGGCAGTGGAGTGTCCCTTTAAGTTATGTAGATGCAAGCATGAGACCTAGATGGTTGGCGGGTACTTGGGGCAGATATGTGAACTCTTAACATTGTGGTATTATTTCGACTCGCTTGTGTTAAGTTTTTTGCCCATAATAATACTGGAAGAGAACAAGTTCACAGCCCATAATAATACTGAAAGAGAACAAGTTCACATTTAAATGTACAATGAAATTTAAATTTAGATGAATTGTTGAAAATACACCGTTCCCTTATTGTGACAGTTGTGTTCTATTACAGTGGTTGAGCAAACCGCTTTTGGAAGGACGGCTGAGCATGAACTCGGAAACATCTGGGATAGATCTTAAAACTTTCTCTAAAAATTGGCTTCCAAATCATCTCTGCACGACCTCTTTATTGAGCAAAATGGCTTTTCAAATGTTGGAGAGACGTGCACTTTTTAAAGAAAAGGAAATTGCAACAAAAATAAGCGTAATCGGTAAGCATGTTTTAATTGTAACTAAATGTAGTTTTCCTTTTTTTTCCTGTCACTATTCACATTTACATCTACTATAAGCAAATCATTATTTCAAGTCTTCTTGGCATGATATCTATCTTTGTCTTGACTTTTTATCATTTTTTTTTTTGCTCTCACTCTCTCTTGGAATTCCCTTTCGTCAATGTTGGGGCTGCCAAAACTCCATCTCATTTCTAGGACAGAACAACTTATGTTTAGATTAAAGCCAATTAGTGTCTATTAATTGGCCAGCTGGAAGGTTCTAAGAACATTGTGGATTGATCCACCCACGCACTAGCTAAAAAGCTTTCCAATCAACATATTTCTCACTTGCTTAGTGGATGCGGTGTATAATTGGGCATTATGGAGTCTAAGCAATGTGCGAGGCTCACTGAGACATATAACTCAACAAGAAACATTCTTTTTTTCCACATTTTGCTTTCTTCAGATTGATCACAGGGTCATTAAAAGGCACTGGTAACTACACTGAAAAAAACACGGACTATCACCTGTAACTTGTGTTAACTATCATTTTTCATATGATGCTCAGTTTACTAGGGATCGACCGATATTGATTTTTTTAGAGCCGATACCAATAATCTGGGAACTTTCAGGCCGATTACTTTCCGATACCGATACTCTGTACATTTACCATTTAAAAAAACAAAAAAAACTATTTCTACACAAATCTACTGTTAACTGAACATGTTTCTTATTTTATTTTTTTTGCTAATCTTTTTTATTAAGTTAAATGCACAAAATATACATGCCAGTCAGAATTATTTTATGTTTTCAAGAATATATGTGTGTGTAGTTAATGCAGTGAAAGTATTTGATTAGTGAATGCAGTGTGTGTTTGTGTAGTGGATGCAGAGTGTGTGTTTGTGTAGTGTGTGTATAGTGAATGCAGTGTGTGTTTGTGTAGTGTGTGTATAGTGAATGCAGTGTGTGTTTGTGTAGTGTGTGTATAGTGAATGCAGTGTTTGTGTAGTGTGTGTATAGTGAATGCAGTGTGTGTTTGTGTAGTGTGTACAGTGAATGCAGTGTGTGTTTGTGTAGTGTGTACAGTGAATGCAGTGTCTGTTTGTGTAGTGTGTATATAATGGATGCAGTGTGTGTAATGTGTATATAGTGAATTCAGAGTGTGTGTTTGTGTTTGTGTAGTGTGTATATTATGAATGCAGTGTGTGTGTGTGTGTTTGTGTAGTGTGTGTATAGTCAATGCAGTGTGTTTGTATAGTGAATGCAGAGTGTGTGTTTGTATAGTGAATGCAGTGTGTTTGTGGCGTGTGTGTATATAATGAATGCAGAGTGTGTGTGTTTGTGTAGATATGTTAAGTGTGTAAAATGGGGGGTAAGGCATTTTTTTTTTCTTTTTTTAAATATTACATTTTATTAAATTAGGTTTTAGTCCCCTCTCCCTGCTTCTTACCTGGCCAGGGAGGGGGATATGGAATTCCCTGGTGGTCTGGTGGCATGGACTGTGCAGAGAAGGCCCAGCACACTCTTACTTACCTTCCCAGTAGTTCCCTTCAGCTCCCCTGTCTAACTCTCGCGGCCTATGTGACGCGCAGAGCTTTGCCTTGGTAACTCGTGGCAACACTCTGACTCCGCGGGACTCGCGAGAGTTAGACAGGGGAGCTGCTGGGAAGGTAAGTAAGAGTGTGCTGGGCCCCCCAGGACCCTAATGGCGGCCCTGGTCTGCATTATCTGCAATATCGTTATCTTTATTGGCCAATACCGATATTGCTGAAAATACAGAATGTCGGCCAATAATATTGGTCAGACCGATAATCGATCGATCCCTACCATTTACTTTAAACATTTTGTCATTGGCATCACCACACAATTCAGTTCGGGTAGAGCAAGAGCACGTAATGTATTGTAGAAAGAGAAACAGAATCATTGCGTGGGAAGCACCACACTTCTCAAGTCAAATGCTTCTCATAAAGAAGCATTGAATCCGATTTCTATGAGAAGCATTGATTGGATATTCAATTTCCTCATGCAATGCGTGACTACGTTGAACGTCGAGAACCGAATCTGACAGCGTTCTCACTGCTGAAGCAACATCTAGATCAGTGGTTCCCAAACCAGTCCTCAATGAACCCCTACCAGTCCAGGATTTAGGGATTACTCAGTTGTGTCCAAAAAGTTTTTTTTCTCTTATCTCTAAAAACACCTTAGATAAAACTGGGTAATCCCTGAATCCTGCACTGGTAGGGGTTCCTTGAGGACTGGTTTGGGAACCACTGATCTAGAGGCTTTCCGTGTGACAGAGTTGTGTTTCAAACATGTATTTGATACAAATGGAGAGTAATAATAATAACAAAGCATTTAATTGCTGGATATTGCTTTGCTGCAGAGGGATTTGGATAGATTGGGGCACTAAAATGGCAAATTAAATTTAACGTCGAGAAATGCAAAGTTATGCACTTCGGGGTTAAGAATGCACAAGCAACTTACACCCTAAATGGTAGTGAATTAGGAATAACCACACACGAGAAGGATTTGGGAATTGTTATAGACAACAAATTAGGCAGCAATATGCAATGTCAATCTGCAGTTGCTAAGGCCAGTAAGATTTTGTCATGTATAAATAGGGACATAAATTCTCAGGATGAAAATATAATTTTGCCTCTTTATAAATCGCTGGTAAGACCACACCTTGAATATGCTGTGCAATTTTGGGCACCTGTTCTAAAGAAGGATATCATGGAATTATAAAAAGTGCAGAGACGAGCTACAAAATTGATAAAAGGAATGGAGCATTTTAGTTACGAAGAAAGGTTAAAAAATGAAACCTGTTTAGTTTGGAAAAACGGCTCCTGAGAGGGGAAATGATAACATTATACAAATATATTCGGGGCCAGTACAAACCTTTATCTGGAAATCTATTCATAAACAGGGCTATATATAGGACACGAGGTCACACATTTAGGCTGGAAGAAAGGAGAAAAGATAAGATAAGGCAAAGAAAAGGTTGTTGTTTTTTTTTTACAGTAAGAGCAATAAGGATATGGAATTCTCTGCCTGAAGAGGTGGTTTTGTCAGAGTCATTACAGAGGTTTAAACTGCAATACTTGAAAAAACATAACATACAGGGATATAATTTCTAATTACTGGGGTAATAGCTGCTTGATCCAAGGAGAAATCTGACTGCTATTTTGGGGTCAAGAAGGCATTTTTTCCTAGTTTGTTGCAAAATTGGAAGCGCTTCAGACCAGGTTTTTGCCTTCTTTTGGATCAACAGCAAAAACGTAGGTACCCAATTTAATGGTACTCATTTTATCTACCTCGGAAGGATGAAGGGCTAAGTCAACCCTGAAAATGCTTACCAGAAGTGGTGTAAATAAGTAAATATAGTATTAAAAATCTTGAAAAGTTTTTTTCTTTAAAATGGCCCACCAATTGGGGGAGATAGTATATCGATACATTTATAGATAAATTGAAGCAATGAAAAGAATGTTTGCATAAACTTTAAAAGGTCTCAAACAATTCAGAAAACTATGCTTTCTTTATTGTTGAAATCTTGAATATGCCTGCTAGAGCTTACCTACATAGCATTTAATTCCAAGGACAATATCTAGTGACCCTGCCCTGTTTCTTAGTTGCAGAAATGCTGTATTCCATGCAGTGGTGTGAAGAGCTGGAAAGGTCACCAGCCGTCATTAGTGAATACTGCGACATGCTCCGTGCATTAGACATAACCCACGAAGAAATAAAAGAATCCAGCCACCACTTACCTGCAATCTTGCAATTACTGTTTGAACGGTAGGTCATCGCACACATGCATGTTTTTGTGTGAGAGGGAGGCAGGGACACTATTTGTGTGATGATAATTGCAAGCATGTGGCTATTAATCACTGGTTATTGTTTATTTAATTAACAAGTTATTTTGTACAGTTATAAACGCCTGCAGCTTGAAACTGGGTCAGTACAATATGCTGCCGGGCACCTGTTCACTCCCATAATACTGAGCATGATATCCCACAATGCCTAGTGCCCACCATGTACTCACTGTTCAATCCCACACTCAGGTACAGTCACTGCAGACACCATATTTGCAGTTTATATCTAATGCCAATTTCACATAAGAATAAGGGAAAGTCCTGGTGATGCATGTTATTCATATGCTTGCCTAGTGATTTGGCTAACCATGGCTAGATGAAATATAGATATTTATAATTCTGTCATGTGAATCACACTGTAAGAAAAGCACCCTAGAATATATTTGTACTTATTTTACACACTTTAATTTTAGTGTGCTTGCTCAAAAATTTTTTTTTCTTCTACTGTGTTTAATTGCTACATATGGGCAAATATGGCACTTGTTCAATAAAAAATTATATTGTACACGTGTATCTTCGATGGCTGCACATTCTTTGCAATGTAATATAGTCTGTAGATTACACTGTTAAATATGTAATTTTCAATCAGGGCTGTCTTCAACGCGGGACAAACAGGGCAGCTGCCCCGGCCATGAGGCATGGTCTATGGGGGCCCTAGCAAATGCTTGCCCGGGGTCCAATCATTATTAAAGACGGCCCTGTTTTCAAAATAATGAGTTTTATGGGCACTCAACCCAACAATCTGTGTGATACTGCTTTCAACTTTTTGCCAGTTGACAAAAACCCATTAGCATACATAGACACACAGTCTTAAATTAGAGGGGCAAAGGTTTAAAAATAATATCAGGAAGTATTACTTTACTGAGATGGTAGTGGATGCATGGAATAGCCTCCCAGCTGAAGTGGTAGAGGTTAATACAGTGAAGGAGTTTAAGCATGCGTGGGATAGACATAAGGCTATCTTAGATATTAAGAAACTAATGAAAGTATTTAGAAAATTGGGCATACTAGATGCGCCGAATGGTTCTTATCTGCCGTCACATTCCATGTTTCTATGCTTTGTAAAATGAATTGCAAAATTCAGTCTAAAATAGTGAAGCATTTGTTTGCTTAAATTTAGTTTTTCAGTTATCCCTTCACTACATTTTTGTAAAAATCCTATTATTGGTTTGTCCTGTTCTTTGCTCATTTCTTGCTGTGAAACAATTCCTTTGATGAGCTTTTATGTATTTAATATTCATTCTTCCAGGTCAAAAGAGAGCGGTACACTTTGGTCCTTGGCTTGTAAAAAATTAATTCATCTGACAAATGCTGGACAAGATGAACTTAAACAACTGATTAAAAGCACAGAAGGGTAAGGCATCTATTTTAGTTTTTTACTAAAAGTGTTAAATATACATACAAGTCATTTCAGTTTTGTGAAACAGAGTAGGAAAAATGTACTAAACAGCAAAATATTATTTTTCTTGTGGGAATGCATATATTTCACTGTGCTGTCATAGCTGTAATTTGTATACTTCTGTATAATATGTATACCCTGGCTTGCTTAATGTATACATAGGATTTTGTTATCTGTAAAGGGTCACCACTACTCATTGGGGAGAAAAGATGGAACCTAAATGCATTCAATTTTAAACATTCTATTATTCTGAATGTACAGAACCCACAAACGTGTATCTAATAGAGAATCATACATACACTGATGCGTAATTTGTGCAAAAACTGTACCACTGATCTGTCACCCTTGACTTTTGCTTCTTGTCTCTTTGTATACGCCACTAGTTTAGTTCCAAGGTCAGTGTAACCTCTCTCTTTCATCACTAGGGAAAAATCAGTGCTGCTGAGAAGCAGAATCTAAGAATTGTTTTTTGGTTCCATTTTAAAGTGTCACTCTAAGCACCATCACAATCTCATGTAATTACAAATTTAATGGTGCATAGAGCACCCCGAAACAACTATCAGCTCAGAGAGTTGTTTCAGGGTTGCAGAGATTTGTAAAAAAAAAATAAAGGCAGCTTTAAGTCTGCCTCTCTGAGCTGTCAATCAGGTAGCCTAGAATGAGAGATCCGGGTTGCCTTTTTAAATTTTATCTAAGTTTTGTATGCAATACCTGCCTGCCGCACAACTTGGGCTGAGGTCCTCCAGGAGATCATGGGCAGAACTGTCGACTGGAGATGAATGCATTGCTCTTCCAAGGTCCGCATGTAGCCCTGTTCACTAAATAGTGAAGTGGTCTATGTGTCACTGATAGCATCTCAGGATACATTACTCATCACAAAAACACATTCTTTATGGCAATTAATTAGATCAGAGTTTCCTCCTGATGTCTGAGGTCTGCCTGCAGCTGCATAGAATCCCACTGGGTAGTGTGTCAAGGGGATCTTTAGTGGTAACTTTTTTTAATGCAATATTTTCATATATCATATTTTTTACTGGATTACAAAGCAAGGGGTCATTTTTACCTTATAGTTTCCCTTTAAATTACATCTCCCAAATCTGAGTGTGAAGTTTAATAGCAGAGCAGCATCTTCCATTAGAATTCTTCTGCAGTACTTCAGTTAGCTTTTAATTGGTTTCTTAGTAAGAAGGTGTTGAAAAACGGTCTATTACCTGGCGTTTTAATAAAAACTAACCTCTCTCCTATCAACTCCAAACAGATATTTTCCAATGACCCAGGGAAACCTGAACACCATACAGAGCCTCTCTCCTTTCTTAAGTAAAGAAGAAAAGGAAGACATTGTACTCCAATGTACAGCTAAGATTATGAGCTGCCCTCCATCAACTGTGTCCTTTATAGATGGTTAGTATAGCAGTTTCATTATATATTGTTTATAGTTTTACTCATTGTACTTAATGTTTCCAGATTCCATTTTTTAAATTTACATACAATATGTGTCCACTTTCTTTTTTACTCATGTACCCACGTAATACAGATATGTCGGCTTCTAGTGTATTAACAAACAAACTATATACTGTGCCATTGAAACCATCAACAAAAGTTGTGTAAACCTGGAGATGTCCTCATGCTCTAACCTAAATAATGCCACAGTGCAGGTCGTTTGTGTGAGTTTGGGGAGAAATAGCATTTTTGCTTGCAGGAACTTGTTCTTCCCATATCGGACAAATTGCTTTTTGTTTGCAAGGACAACAGTCACTACTGCAGTTCAAATAAGTCTTGCAGGAAGCAAAGTTTTAATTTCAAAATAAGAAGGAAAAAAAATGTGTTAATTAATTCGATTATCTGGCTGGCTAAATATTTTCTAGTGACTTCACAAATGACAAAGCAGTTTCAATACTAATCTATTGCGTTGGGCAACAGTAACTTTCCCCGAAATTTGTAATGGAAAATGAATGTCATTACTGTCTCCCCTGCAGTCGAATATAAATAATAACTATAAAGCATTTTTATACACACACATATATTTATATAATATGTATTCATATTCTTTTATTCAAGTACATGTCCACCCACAAACTGAGACCAAACAGGAGATATTTAAAGGACAGATAGGAGGAAGACATGTGTTCTCTTTATCTTTCACGCTTTTTGCACGATTACACAAAATAAAGTTACTATTTGTATCGACCTCTTAAAGAGGGAAATGCTGAATAAGTTGGGCCAGGATCAAACCTGTGATGCTGGAACATTATCCACTGAGCTTTCTCACCAGCAGACTCATTGACTGTTTTTGTTGTTGTTCAGGTGGCTTTGGAAATCTGGCAGTCATTAACTCTTGCTCAGATCCGGAATCTGTATCGTCTGCCGAAATACTCCCTGCAGTGTTAAAAGTCATTTTGGCGTGGAAAAATGATCAGGAGGATATCTTTCTGTTTAGCAGGTGAGTAAAGCGGTCAAGCAGTGGCAAGCTAGCCCTTTTAGCACTGGAGAGGGCAAACTGTGCTTTGCTATGTCAGTCAAGTTAACCCTATGAGATCCATGGGAGTGAAGCTGTACAGAGGTTTTTTTTTTTTTTTTAACACTTAATTGTCTTCTGATAAAATGTTCCACAGCATTATGTAAAGCAGAATTGTAATTCCAAAACCGCTAGATACCTTTTAACCATCCCTAATGTGAAACATTTACTAAGGAAGGCTGTTACCAACAGCAAATATACAAAAATAAACAATAGATAATGGTATTCAGACTCCACATTTTAACATATGAGAAGTGTGAATGACTCTTAAGTATTCTAATTAATTTTCTGGTGCATACACATTTGACAGTCTCGTGGTTTGTATATTCCTTCCATGGAAATAGGCTTACAAGTGCCATACCATATATAGAACTGAGATCCGCAAGCTGTGATGCCATAAACAAGATACAGTTGAATGTTACTCACTGTGTGTGCTCCGCAATAAAGTTTTGAACGTATGAGATGAGTGCTGGGCCATAGTGTGGTTTTCATCGCAATACTAGAATTCAGAATACATATTTTGCAAGCAGTGCACTGTCAAGCATAGATTCTTCATTTAAAGAACACATACTTTTATCTATAAGGCAGTGATTTGTGATTCACAAATGTAGTAGGAGTTTGTCTGCACTATTTTGGAATATTGCTATAGAGTTATGTTTCATGCTATTTTTTTTTTTTTTTTTTTTTGCTGAGTCTTCCCACCACCAGTTCAAAACTTCACACTTTAAAAAAGCATATTTGGCATTTCTTGAAAATTAGTTGAAAATCTAAAGTACTTTTCTGAAAGATTCTGCACTTTCTTTTTCAGCAATTTGCAAGATGTGAACCCGAATCTGATCGGTCTTAACATTGAAATGATTAGATTCTTTTCTCTTCTTCTTGATAATTTGTCATCAGCTGCAGCGTCTCTGGATGAGGCTGAGTGGGACTTCCTAATGTGCTCCATGTTATCATGGTTAGAGGTAAGATAATTCTCAAAGTGCACAACACAAATTAAACTTAGTGTGTTTTTACCAACATCTTTAACTCAAGAGCAGTGCATGATCTGTTTTTATGAATTTATTCTAGAATTGGTAATATTTATTGGACACTCCACACACCTAAAGTGTAATATGTTTTAGAAACATAGATGAACCGTGTTTGAAAAAAATAGAATAGATCCATTAAGTCATTTCCCACTTTGAGAAGGAGGTGGTGAGACAAGTTGTACGTTTTTTTTTTTCTCTTTGTGAAACAAATTTTCCACGTTTTTATGTTCACGTGCCTTTTCTAATAGTTTTTGCTATACTGCAAATAGAAACTTGGATCATTTTATAGTTTCACTGAGAAATGACAACTCCGAGAACAGATTTGAGGGCAGTGTTCTCTTTAGAACAAATACAATTTTCTGTAAGATATCATTCGTTTTTTCTTGCAGGTCATAGGACTTTGCCTGCACTCATTTTGAATATTATATTTCTAATTTAATAAACACACTAGATTTTTCTTGCTTCAGTCTCCCTTAGGGGCTTAAATCCAGCGGACATGGTCCTACAATATTAATTTCCACTTCGGGGAATACAGTTTTTAATTTAAATTTTTTTAAACTGATCTATAGGTTGTTACAACAAATTACATCACATCCATCACCCTTATCGGTTATTAAATACAGATAACCTTTCACAGAGCAGGTATGTCCCCCCTCTCATAATATTATGCCAGTGGAAGATGGCTGTTTGCTAACATTGTCCAGATCTCTTCTGAAATGATCTGCACAGTTTTATCAGAATTACTTAATAGAGCTTAGCAGACTTAACGTTGATGCCAAAATGGAGATATTGCTGCATTTTAAAGTATGTCTGACTTGCTGTTGAATGTCGAAAAAATCTTTATCAAATAGTTTTGTTGCATTCCTCTGAACTCATGCAGATAGCATAAACGTCCACATGAGGGCACCCTTGTACAAACTTTGTAATTTGGATCAGTCAAATTAATACGTTTATTAAATGTTAACCTCTCTTCTGAAGTTTACTATGCAAAACATTATTGCTAAATCAGTATTTGTGTATTTACTTAAAAGAATACCGTTTCCTGAAAAAAAATGTTTGCACTGGTATAAATTTGTAGTTCTTCGATGTAAACTATATACAATTTGAGTATAATGCACAGGTTGCGTCTGCAACAGAGATATGAATAAGGAAACATTGGCATTATCTAAAATAAAATCAAAAAACCAAAATAAATCCTTCATTCATTTTCACTTTGGATTGAGAACTATTCATTTTCATCTTCTGCTTCTCATGAATGCAATAAATATGGATTATTGGGGGAGATTTTGCTGGGCAAACACTGTTTAAGTTCATTCTTTTCAAGTTAAAGGGACACTCTAGGCAAAAATACAATTTGCGCCTTTTACATTGCATCTTTATATTAAGTAATGCACTGAAATCTTTAAAAAGGTTTTTAACTTTTCTTGTAACACTGAAACAGCCTCTTCTCCCAGAGCTGGCACACCTACCCCTGTGTGACTGTGATACTTCTCCTGGCTTGATGATAGCTGTCCAATGAAACGCTTCTCATAGAGGAGGATTATCCACACACTACATGCCTCCAATCAAATGGCTTCGCACAGAGGAGTATTGAGGATTTACTGTGCATGCCGCCAATCAAACTAGTCTCTTAGAAAAGTACTAAAGTGTTGCGTCTCCAGTGTATGTTGCAGGGAAACACAGAGCACTGTTTAGCACTTTAACCACTTCAATAAAATAAAGTGGCTGTTTTGCCTACAGTGTCCCATTTTATTCCGCAATTGATACGCTTGGAAATGACCTAAATGTACTGTTTCCTGGTTTAACTGATTGTCATTCTGTATGTTTGCATTCTCAGACAGCCTGTGAAAGTGTAGCATTGTACCATATTCCCCTCGTTCGTCTGTTTGCCTGTACCAGCTGCAACATGGCATCACATCTCTCTGCCTATTTTCAAGCTGTCACTGTAACGAAACCAGAAAATCTTCCTGCAAACCTTACGTCAGAATGGAACGAGTTTTTTTCTGAAGGCGTACACAGTTTACTCTTGCCCATGTTGGTGAAAATAACAGGTAACAAGAACAAGTATCAAATGAATAAGGTTCTATGATGTGGTGACTTAGAGATGGTTTTTAAAGAACCTTTCTGGGACAAAGATCAATAAATGGTGCAATCATCAGGGACATTCATTTGGTTTCTATGGTGATTGATCAATTTTTAGATGTATAGCACATAGTTAATTTTTGTACATAACTCCCATAAATGCTACATGCAATCGAAATTTCTCCTGGTACAGAAAACATAAACAACCTTAATGAGTTCCTTTGTGTGTTTTGTGTCATTATTCATTAAGGGCCCACTTAGCCTGAGAATAGGAAAGCATGTTTGGGGCGAATTAGAATAACTCTGATTTGAATACCAAATTAGGACCAACCAGAGGAGGAAATTCTACAAAGAATCTTGCGAACAGCTCTGAAAGTGCAAGCTTGCCTTAAAATTAATATAGTATATGTTAAAACGAAATAATATTCAGTTGTGGTCTGCTTGGGGCTGTTCTGTAATTTGCGAATTTGACAGATGCACCTGTCGGCAGACCGTGTTAGTTAGAACCTAGTGTTGAGAAAAGAATTGAGGGGAGGCACATGGATTTAGAGAGAATGGGGGTAGGTAACCAGAAAACTAAACAACTGGAAAAAGAATGGGGCAGGTTTTGTAAAGACAGGCAAATCTTTACCACAAATCCAGACTAATTAGTTGCCCTAACACATGTCTTAAATCAGTGCTTTATCTGATCACAGTTGATGCTTGGCTTTCAGAGATGATGCTCTCCCCATAAATCCTTAGAGTTGTGTAGTAGCTGCGATAGAACACAAGATCCAACAGTGTGAATCGTTGTTAAATATTTACAGTAAAATCTCCATAATATAACCATCTGTATTCATTTAAAAACTACATGGCTATTGTCTCACAACAGCTATTTTTGGTTATATATTTTAACCTCATTATTGGTACACAAAATATGCTCTCCCAGACTTTCTAATATAACAATGTAAAATTGAACATCGCTGTCTACATGTTACAAGCAAAATAAATCTAATATAACAATGTAAAATTGAACATCGCTGTCTACATGTTACAAGCAAAATAAATCTAATATAACAATGTAAAATTGAACATCGCTGTCTACATGTTACAAGCGAAATTAATCTAATATAACAATGTAAAATTAAATAACAGTGTCTACATGTTACATGTGTCTCCTAAACACCGTAAATTACATCTGGCTAGTAAGAAAGGAGTTCTGCTTTTGCCATAACAGAAATGTAAAAAATGCAAGCATGCCATTGGAATGCCTTCCCTTAAATTGTTTTACACTTTGTTTTTTTTTCCCCACTGGTGCAGGGGAGTGCAAAGCTTCGGAGACGTCCCATCTGAGCCCCGTGCTGCAGTCACTGGGTGAAGCCCTCTGTTACATTTCAAATCAACAGCTGCTGAAGCACAAACTGCCTGCCAAGTTTGTGGCTGGACAGAAGACCAACCTCCCTGACAACATACAAAGCTTGCTGAATACTCTGTCTCCACTCCTGTTGTATAGAGAGAGATCTGTGCAAATCACAATTTACCATATGCTGGATAAGTAAGAACAGAATGTATTTTTTTTTTTTTTTTTGAGTCACACAGAATGTTGATGTCTGCAGTGTGTATTGTATTGAATTGCAGTAAATGTTTCTTTAGCTTACTTTGCAAACCTCTTAAAGGAATACTGTAGGCACAGAGACCACTTAATCTCATTGAAGTGGTCTGGGTGCAGTGTCCCTGTCCCTGTTAGGCCTGTAATGTAAAATAAATGAGTGTGACTACATGAAACGACTCTGGCCCTCCTTACACTTTGCATGAGACATCCAGTGACTTTAATATCCCCATAGGAAAGCACTGAGTCAATGCTTTCCTATGGGGATGGCAGTATGCGCCTTAGGTCCCTCCATTGGCTATCGATGGAGGAGGAGGGACATCGGCACTGGGTTGGGACTGAAAGGTTGTATTTTTTTTAAAACCATTTTGCTCCTGTGGAGTGGGGTAGGCATGTGGGGGTAGAGGGACGCTTTAGTGTTAGGATTACATCTTTGTATTTCCAAGTGTTTCTTAATCCAGCTTTCCTAGCACATTATAGGCCAGCGTTGCCCAGTCATTGTGCAGCTTTTGTGCACTAAGATTCTCACGATTTCTAGGTATCAAGATTCCCCCCCCCCACACACACACATTATCCTAGAGAAAAAAAATAAATGGAAGTAACTGATATTTTAAGGGACAATCCCTTTTCATAACGATAGAATCTCTAAAAACTTAATGTAGAGTTGATTAGGATTTCTGCCATGTCACATGTATGTATTGATAAAAGTGGCATTATTTTTACTTTTATTTAATTTTTTCATTTGCATACGGTCCTGAACAAACCATGTGAAGTTCTATATAGCGTTACTCTTTGAAACACCACACCGGAAATAGTGGACATTCATTTTTTATTTTTTGTTGTTGATTCCACTGATCAGAACTTCTGACACTTATTGATTGTTGACAGAAATGTCGGATTTGCCAGCAGCTGCAGAGGGCTGACAGTAGATCTGTCCCAGTGAGAAAATTTGAACATGAAAGTATTTGATACAAGGTCTACCTTAGGTTTGTTAGTGTCTACGGAACGCTAAATAAGCATTTCAAATTCTTGCAGCATCATTGTCATTTTCCTAATATCCTTAACTTTATTTATTTAACTTTTTCTGAATGTTAAAGCATTGAAGGTCAGACTAAGTTAATTTTATGTTCCCCTGGATCTTTTTTACTTTGGAGTACATTGACTGAAATCCAATCAATGGGTCTGTTTGAACAGAACTAAACCATGTGTTTTTGTCACAGCCATCGTTCTGGTTATTCTAGAATAGGGTTTTGTTCAATATTTGCCATCCAGTTGTTTATTTACAAGTCCCATCAAGCATTTCAGGGCTATTAGCATATAATTATGTGGATCTCCAAAAGTTTCCCCAGCTGTTTTGTGGCACCATGGATCCTTCTTATTTTCCACCAACCACTGGCTGGCTGAGAATGGTTGGAATGTAATCCAACTCAGATGGATGAGGTTGGTTACTATGTTCTAATCTAGGCTAAACTCAGAATTGAGCTGTGTAACACCTTAAGGACACATGACGTGTGACATGTCATGATTCCCTTTTATTCCAGAAGTTTGGTCCTTAAGGGGTTAAACACTGCAAAACAACACAAGTGGAGGCATTTTTAGATCCAATTATTTGTAATTTACTGTAGTAGTCCATTATCTCAAAACACCAGGAGCAGCAGAGAAATTTAAAGAGCAAAGACCAGTCATCCTTATACTCTCCAGTTTTTGTTTTAAAGGAGCAATCCAGACAACAACACGTATTTAATCATTTATTTTGCTTTTAAACCTAGCGTTCCTTTAAAAATGTTACAGCATATGACGTAATATTGGCTACAAGCCTTTTACAGCAGAAAGCGAACAATTGCTTTACAATTCTCTGAAATGCTTTCTGTTCCCATAAAACCTTTCTCAGAAGTGCTAAGAGCATGATTGATCAAGTCACTTCCTGAATGGAAAGCTGACTGTGTGAACATGTACATTATTAGTTTTTTTTATTTCTTTATTTATATTTGTAATGTATTGTTTTTGCATATAATTCTGAATGTATATTATATCGAAGAATGAGTCGGCTCCGTCCTGCAGTGTCCATTTAATTATACCCATGACAGATAAGAGTTTATGCGCACAGCTGACCATCAAAACAAAGGAATACCATCTGTGAAACCAGACATTAACACATCATTAAAATGAACATTCTTTTATAGAATAATGGCTCATCTCCCTGCGTATGATAATGAGGATCTAAAATCCTATGGCGATGAAGATGAAGAGCCTGCTTTGTAAGTCACACATTTCTGCTTTACTTTTTTTTTATGTAGATTTATCTGTGTCTCTCTCTCTCTCTAATTTTTTTTTCTTCCACCTCCCCCGTACTCTGCCAAGTAACTACCATAAAATACATGCAATACACAATAAATGCCTAAATAGAAAAGGCTGATTGTGATTGGTTGCCATGTATCACAATGCTGAGTAATCTAAACGTGTTGGTTTATTCTATGGATAATAAAACACAGCATTGAAAATGAGCTGATTGGTGATATTTTAGAGTGGAATGGTCTTCCTAATTACCTAGTCATTTATCAAAAGTATTACTTCCTTTTAGACCAGTTGTCCAATTCGCAAGGGACAGTAATCCGTTCCGTTCTTAATCACTAACTGATTCATAGTAAGCGTGTTTCTCTAGTCTTCCAGTCACCTCAGCTAAAGGGGTCACTAAGCCAGCCCTCCCATGATGGCATGTCTGCAGTCAGGGATTGTAATTGTTTCCTTAAGGTAGCACTATAGCATATACATTCTACAAAACAGAAAAGCACTGAATTCAGAGTCACATGATCGAGTTTTACTCGGTTGTCCCTGCGGGGGTGCCTATAGTCGCTGTCAGGAAGACATGGTATAATCCTGCCGTGGAGGATTGCAGGGTTAAATCTACAGTGCCAGTGCACACAGACCAGGTAAATGAGATTAAATGGTGTGGGTGCCTTTAGTGGTCCTTTAAGCTTCAATGGCTTACATAACTTAGCAAGGGAGCTAATAACCAGATGATTTCAAAGTCTGTGTAATCCTTTATGTGGATTTGGACAGATACTCTTGGTATCATGAATGATGGGATAAGATTTGTCTTCAGTGAGACGGATTTCAAAGGCCATTTTGTCTAAATGCAAATTAGCATTACATTACATAGGTATATTCTGTTTACATTTTAAAAAGGTGTTTTTTTAAGGTTTTTTTTTTTAATTTAAATTTTTTTTTTTTTTTATTGGTTCCCTGTACCACATCTATTTTCACATATATAACGTAATTACTTACATGCAGGTACCAGTGTAGGGATTCCTGTAGAACCAAACAATAAAAATAAAGTAATATACAGTAATACTTTGCACTATAGTGCTTTTAAATTATATTCACTGTATAAGGTTATAATAGGAATGGTGGTAGCATTGTATTTATTATTTTTACCTTTATTTTTTTGTCTGACGTTATTGCACACCCGTCATAATATATGGTAGTGCAGACCTGTTTTAATAAAAATCATAGCAAATTGCATATAAAATAAAAAGCATGCGATTCGCTTTAAAGCAATGAGCGTAATAAGAATGACTAACTTTAACCCTTATACAAAACAAATGTAATAAAAAAGATAATGTCGAGGTGTGTATTAGAGGGAATTAAGTCGTTTTTCGCCTCTTTTCTTTTTTTCACAGTCCATTTTATCTCTTCGGTTCTCCTTGTGTTTCCAGTTTATCTTTACAGTTCTCCTTGTCTGGGTTTATTACTGATCTATCTCACTCTCTCAGTGACTCCCTTTTCTTTCTATGGTTCTCATGTTGTGTTTCTCCATATCTTCGTATGTTGCTCAGTCTCCCTCTTTATCTCTCGTACTCCTATCCTCTTCTTGAGTCTCTTTCTCAGTCCCACCCTTACAGTAGTGTGCAGTGTGTATGGGAATACGACAAAGCTAGACATTGCATTTCCTCTGGGGTGTCAGCCAGACTTTCCTAGTACCCATCTGGTGGACAGACCAGACAGGAATGCGTGGAGTTGGGACGAAGGGCTGCAAGCTTTTTGATTGTCACACCTGAGTAACATAAGCCAACCATCTCTCTATCTCTCCGCATTCTACTGAACAGAATTATTTGGTCATAGGGTAACAACAAAAAGCAAGTCGCACGTCTCACCATGCTCTATTAAATGCTCAGACAAAAAACCCTTTTTATTTTACTTTCTGTGGGACTTTTCTTTGGAGGTGAAATACTTGTTCGTTTCACCCTGACAAATTTATCCTTAAAGTAAGAACATATTTAATTTCTGAAAGATCCCAAGTGAAAACTGACTCATGTATATGAAACTTGGCATAATTGTAATGGGAATTTCTTACATTGCAATATTAAATAGTTGTGTTTATATAGCGGGGGGCGGAGGGGATAGAGAAAGTTAGAGGGAAGTGAATTTAATAACCTCAGTACAACAGATCCTTTAGGTTGAATTACCCTCAGTGTGTACCTAATGTATTCCCCCAATATTCCTATTCCCAATATGTTCCAAATTACTCCACAGAATGTATTGGTCATCCCTCAACAGGTGCCAGACATTTGTTCCCCTAATATCCACCTACAGGAACACACAGAGTCCATAGAGTTGATATGTTTAGCCTTTTATTTCCAGTCATTATATTTTCTTGCCAGAAATTCATTTTGAAACAGAATGCAGACCTTAAAATTGAGAACAAAACCAGAACTAGAATGTTAATGTATTACAGAGTTCAGATTGTTCCATGACATTGTTCGTGAAATCTCTTGCTTCGGTGACTTGTCACCTTGTGCACTTAGTGCTGTCATTAATCTTACGCAGTGCCTGCGTCCAAGCTAGATTTGACGGAGTAACCACTGTATCAGTCTGCTTTCCACTGCTAACTTTATCTTTATCCGTTTAACATCCTTGTTTGCCTCTAATGACATATCCCTTTGTTATGTCCTAATGATCATGTCAAATATACCTATGGGTTAATATTTCTTTTTTTATTACTGAGAACTTTTGCATGTTATATGCTGGGAATTTGCTGTTTACCCGTAGAGGAATGAATAATGTTTGTATTTGTAAGATAATGCATTCAGAACATAAATTCTTACATATATAAATGATATAAAACAGAACAAGACACACAGGGTTATTCATTAAAGTGAACACTGACAGAAATTCAAAGTGAATTTTAAATTTAAGGTGAAAATAGCTGAACTGCTTTCAGTTCAGCTGCTTTGGTCATAAAGGGACACTATAGCCACCAGAAAAACTACAGCTTATTGAATTTGTTCTGCTGAGTAGAATCATTCCCTTCAGGCTTTTTGCGGTGAACACGGTCTTTCCAGAGAAAATGCAGTGTTTACATTACAGCCTATGGGATTATTCCACTGGCCACTCCTCAGATGACTCCTCAGAGGTGCTTTCTGGGGCAGTGATGCACAGTGTATAGTGCTGACATTCAGTGTCTCCACCCTCTGCATGCAGACACTGAACTTTCCTCATAGAGATGCACTGATTCAATGAATATTTATGAGGAGATGCTGATTGGCCAGGGCTGTGTTTGGCTTGTGCTGGCTCTGCCCCTGATCTGCCTCTTTGACAGTCTCAGCCAATACTATGGTAAAGCGTTGTGATTGGCTCAGATAATCACTTCTGATGATGTCAGCCAAGCAGGCAGATCAGGAACAAAAGTAAGATTTTACTATATTTAGGAGGGCCAGGGGCGTTAGATCATGGTTTTAACACTATAGTGTCAGGAATGCGTGTTTGTGTTCCTTTAAATTTGAAATTCACTTTGAATTCCCTTTTCTTTCCTGGCAATCTGTCTTTCTTCTCATTTTTGTAACTTTTTTCCTTTTTCCTGTCTTATTAAGCGTGGCACTTTTGTTCATTCCTTCCATTGTGGTCACTGTAAATTCTTTAATCACTAGTTTGTTGGAATTATTGTTGCTTGGTCATTTTGGGTGTTTGCTTTAGGTCTATCAGTCTCTAAAGAGGTCAATTTAAAAAACACCACATGTAGATGTTTTGGTTATGATTCGGTTTAGGTCTCCTCCTGCCGCACTCATGTCTGTCCTGGCCGTTTTGGAAGATTTAGTGGAAAGTATTCTTCAAGGAATCCCAGTCGGAGAATATGTCATAATCCAGCCTCCAAAGGATGAATTCTGTCTTGTTCTTGGTTATCTACTGACTTGGAAATTAATACTCACCTTCTTCAAAGCTTCATCATCACAAGTATGTGCTGCATTATTATAGTTATGTGTGATACTGTTTAAATATTAAGCAAATAAAGCTCACATTATCTTACAGGTTTATGAATTGTTTTGAGGTTGCCTGTATGAGCCAAACCTATTGCCTTTTTTTTTTTAATTTTTATTATTTTCATTTTGTTATTTATCAAATTAGCTTTTTTCAGAACATGTCCACCCTCAACTGAACATGTTGCTCAGATATATCACAAAAAGATGCCCTGCATATTTTCTGACATTTACCTCAGTTACCATTCTGCCGTGAAATAATCATATATTACTCCTCTCACCTGCACACTTTCTGAAATAATCATCTGTTAATACTCTGATCTGCACACCAGCTGATACCATTTATTACCCCCACCTGTACACAACCTGCAATCATCATCTCTTACCCATCTTACCAGCACGCTACATGCAATCATCATCCCTTATCCCTCTGCCCTGAAATCATCATCTAAAGCGAGGGGAAAAAAAGTATTTGATTCCCTGCTGATTTTGAACGTTTGCCCACTGACAAAGAAATGATCAGTCTATAATTTTAATGGTGTGTGTATTTTAAAGTGAGAGACAGAATAACAAAAAAAAATAATCCAGAAAAACACATATCAAAAAAGTTATACATTGATTTGCATGTCAATGAGTAAAATAAGTATTTGACCCCTTCAATTTAGTACTTGGTGGCAAAACCCTTGTTGGCAATCATAGAGGTCAGATGTTTCTTGTAGTTAGCCACCAGGTTTACACACATCTCAGGAGGGATTTAGTCCCACTCCTCTTTGCAGATCCTCTCCAAGTCATTAAGGTTTCGAGGCTGATGTTTGGCAACTCGAACCTTCTGCTCCCTCCACAGATTTTCTATGGGATTAAGATCTGGAGACTGGCTAGGCCGCTCCAGGACTATAAGGTGCTTCTTCTTGAGCCACTCCTTTGTTGCCTTGGCTGTGTGTTTTGGGTCATTGTCATGTTGGAATACCCATGCACGACCCATTTTCAGAGCCCTGGGTAGAAGGTTCTCATCCAAGATTTGATGGTACATGGCCCCGTCCATCGTCCCTATGATTACATAGTTACATAGTTACATAGCTGAAAAGAGACTTCAGAAATGTTGTTGCTGTTGATCCAAAAGAAGGCAAAAAACCTGGTCTGAAGCACTTCCAATTTTGCCACAAACTAGGAAAAAATTCCTTCTTGACCCCAAAATAGCAGTCAGATGTCTCCTTGGATCAAGCAGCTATTACCCGGTGCAGTTGTACTGTCCCCTTAGAAGAAAAACACCCCCAAAGCAAGTTTCCACCTCCATGTTTGACGGTGCGGATGATGTTCTTGGGGTCATAGGTAGCATTCCTCCTCCAAACACGGCGAGTTGAGTTGATGCCAAAGAGCCCGATTTTGGTCTCATCTGACCACAACACTTTCACCCAGTTCTCATCTGAATCATTAAGTTGTTCATTGGCAAACTTCAGATGGGTCTGTATATGTGCTTTCTTTAGCAGGGGGACCTTGCGGGCGTTGGAGGATTTCAGTCCATCACAGCGTAGTGTGTTACCAATTGTTTTCTTGGTGACTATGGTCCCAACTGCCTTAAGATCCTTAACAAGATCCTCCTGTATAGTTCTGGGCTGATTCCTCACCGTTCTCATGATCATTGAAAGTCCACGAGGTGAGATCTTACATGGAGCACCAGACCTAGGGAGACTGACAGTTATTTTGTGTTTCTACCATTTGCGAATAATAGTACCAACTGTTGTCACCTTCTCACCAAGCTGCTTGGCGATGGTCTTGTAGCCCATTCCAGCCTTGTGTAGGTCTACAATCTTGTCCCTGACATCCTTGACAACTCTTTGGTCTTTGCCTTGGTGGAGAGTTTGGAATCTGATTGCTTCTATGGACAGGTGTCTTTGATACAGGTAACAAGCTGAGATTAGGAGCACTCCTTGCTCCTAATCTCACCTCGATACTGTATAAAAGACACCTGTGAGCCAGAAATCTTGCTGATTGATAGGTGATCAAATACTTATTTCACTCATTGACATGAAAATCAATGTATAATTTTTTTGACATGCGTTTTTCTGGATTTTTTTTTTTGTTATTCAGTCTGTCACTGTTAAAATACAAAGACCATTAAAATTATAGACTGATCATTTCTTTGTCAGTGGGCAAACGTTCAAAATCAGCAGGGGATCAAATACTTTTTTCCTTCACTGTATAACCCCTCTGCCCCGAAAAAACATCATCTATTACCCCTCTGCCCCGTCAACCACATAAAATAGTGTATCACCACTCTGCCCCGCGCACAACTAAAAATCGTATTATCTTACACCACCTGTGATCATTATCTCTCAACATTCTCACTGGATACCTACTTAAATCATCATCTGTTACCTTCCTGCCTCACACATATATGAAATCATCATCTGTTACCCCTCTGCCCGGCACTTATGCTAAAATCCTCATCAGTTACCCCTCTGCTCTGCTCTGCTCTGCTCTGCACACCACATAATATCCTCATCTATTACCACTCTGCTCTGCACACCACTTGCCGTCATCATCCGTTACTCCTCTACCCCGCACACCATATGAAAGGTTCTATTATTCTGTTCCTTGCATGTCTTCTGCAACCATCATCTATTACCCTCTTCCCTGTATGTCTTGTGATTTTCTGTGGTGCTTTTCTGCATTGCACTGTAAGGCATAGTTTGCTTCTTTTCACCACAAATATGACATTTTTGCATCCATGGTAACCCACACTTCATTCACTTAGGCATTTCAACCAATTGTATTCAACCCAGGTTAATTTCCTTCTGACAATAAGTAATGTATGCTGTTTTAGAGAAAACCAGTGCTTTGATCGATATTTGTTTTTTTTTCCCCATCAGCTGCGTGCACTATACTCCCAGTACCTTCGAAAAACAAAGAACTTAAATAAACTTTTGTGCAACCTGTTCAAACTAATGCCTCATAACCCAGTCCTTCCTGGCCAAGTCTCAGATGCAACCAACAAAGAGCTGAAAACCTTATTTACCGAGGAGCTACATCTAACTGTAAAAGGTAAGTAGCTGTGTCAGAGAAAGCCAATCCTAAGGTTAGGCTGCTCTCCTAAATGGCAGAGTTCCTGTTGTTTATGCATCATGCTCATCAAATATCCAGCATTGCACAGCTCATTTTTGTTGTCTCATAGTTTTGGTTTCACTGTGGTTATGGTTATTCACCACCAGTGACCAGTAAACTGTGAATTTACAAGCATATTTAGTAATACAAAATAAATAGCCAGTATAGATTTAGGTAGTGTAGCTAGGTAGATAGCAGAGATAAATAATGTGAATATATATAAAGAGAGCTTTTTGACGCTAGTTTATCTCCCCTGTTTCTCCTGTTTTGGGTAGTTGTACAAGATTTGGGAGTGTCCGATATATTCGGTCTGTCTGCTTCTTGTTGCTAAAGAAATTCTCTGTCAAAACAAAAGCAATCCATGTTCACTGTTCACTTTCTGCAGAATATTCCTTATGAGGATTTGGGTGGAGACCTCGAGCAGCTAAAAAATTCCTCTTGCAAGATAAGGAATCATCTGGGATATGATTCATTCCAGGCAACTATTGCACATTTGTGAAGCATCATCTTGTATGGAATTCACAGTTTATTCCATTAAACCCGTATATCTGCACTTGCCTCCAAAGGCTATAAAACACAGACCGAAATACTAATTCACGCTCGCCTCATGAGAGCGCTTTGTATTAGTGGTGTAATTCATTGTATGTAATACACTTCAGTTTACAGTAAAACCTTTAATAAAAGAGATTTCAAACTCTGTATTCTAATGATTCTGAACACGGACTTTTGACAACGCTGTTTGAATACAGCATAGTAAATACTACAAAATCAAATCCCAGGGGCTGGAGAGCCATGTTAAAGCAGGATATTTTAGCATTGTTGTTTTTTGAATTTTAGTGCATTGTAACACGAATGGGCAGCATTCCAATTGTGCTACAGTCACAGTTATGATTTTCCAACCTAATGTTTGCTATTCACATTTCATTTTGATACAATTTGAAGCTTTTAGTGAATAATCTTATCAAGAAATATACTTGTCCGTCCTAAAATTAAATAAAAAATACCCCTTAATTCTGTCATCTCTTGATATAAAGTGCTTTTCAGTGCAGTAAAATTGTCATTGTTATATTTGTCATTCGTTTGCCCTCAGTAAATGTCCTTCAAGGAATGTTTTGTTGTGCATGCCAACTATGTTTTATTGCAATTACTTACAGAAATGTATGAGAAATTGCTGAGTTTGCAGAGTGCATAGATGGATTTGCCCACCCACTGCGCTAGAATAGCGATAGCTACTTTGCTGAAATCTTCATCTTAATCCCTTAAGGACCAAACTTCTGGAATAAAAGGGAATCGTGACGTGTCACACATGTCATGTGTCCTTAAGGGGTTAAAGTGACATCTAAACAATTCATTATCTAGTGATTTGGCTAGCACAGTGCATAAAAGAAATGATGTTTTATATATATATATAAAATATACTTTCTACATCACTAATATAAAAGAAAAAAAAGAACGACTCTTTTCCAAAACGCTCGTGTTCTCACTTGTCAGTTTGTAAATTGCAGCAAATATCTGTCAACTGTTACTGCAAGTTGGATTCTCATTAAAAGAGATGTGATCTTGAAATTTACACCAACATTTCAATTTCATAAATATGCTCGTTATGGTCGTATGAGCGAATTGGCATCAGAAGATTTATACAAAGGCATTTATGACACATTCCATTTTTTGGTGGTAAGGGTTTTTAGGGATTTGATTTCAGCTTGTAGATATACCCCATTATAAAAGGCACAAGGTAAAGAAATATGAGAAAAATGATGTCGTCGGCTCAATTTTAAACACATGGTACCCGTGCTACCAATAATTACACAGCAGGTATGGTGTTTGTATGAAGGAATGCTAGAGTACATTTGAAGTATTGTCGGAAGGAAATAGAGATAAGACATGACAAAACACGGAAGGAGTAAGGATGGAAAGGAATGTGTAAGAGGTATAAAAACAAACACTAGTGAATAAAATCGAGGCAAAAGCACGTTAAAGATAAATCCTAAGTGAATTTAAGTAAAAAGAAAACAATTTATATTTTTTTAGTGCTGGATTCAAATGGTCTTGTTCTCATATGTTAATGTTCTTCATTTAATAACTCTGATATCTCACCCCTGTAATCCATTATTGGTACCTGTATGAGTGATTAGTTTTCTCCTGCCCTTTTTTGTTTATTATTATTCCAGGCTTTGCCACACTGCAGTATGAAATCCCACACTTGGCATGCTGTGTTTACCACATCACTCTAAAAGACCTTCCAGCTATGGTCAGGCTTTGGTGGAATAGCCGCGAAAAGAGGATTTTCAATGTGGTTGACCAATTCACAACCAAATATGTCAGCGGGGTTCTGTCATCCCAAGAGATCACGTCCGTCCAGTCTAGCACTCAGATTTTCGACGGCATGACTGTAAGTTTATTTGTGTGTGGTTCTGTTGTGTTTTTTTTTAAATGAATTATTGTTTGTAAATTTTATAATATATTTAAAAGAAAATATATAATCTCAATATTTATCTGAAGTACAAACTCCATTACCGAACGGTTAGTCTGCTTACAATTTGGGAGGGGGGAGGGGGGCACAAGGGCACTCTTGGCACCATAACCAGTACTGCATGCTGTAGTGGTTCTGGTCCTTGGATTATTCATTTAAGATGCCCAGCACTATAGAAACCCAAGAAAGGGTTTCTATACTTTTTAATGCTTGGCGTTGGGGAACCCAAAGCTAGGGACAGGGGCATATTATAGTGTTAGGGATACAATTTTGTATTCCTAACTCTAGTGTCCTCTTAGCAGGATTCCTTTAAGAGATATCAAACGAAGTGTCAACTTTTCTATTATTTGCTAAGATGGATATCCAGACTCCCAAGGTGGATTTCCTATAATTTTTTTATTTGTTTGTCTTGATGAGTTAAAAAAATAATTAGCATTTATAAATTAAAAAAAAAAGTGTATTTTTCATTCTCATTCCTCAGAGCATGTTTGTTGCTGTACTCCTTGAAGTGTGCCATTAATTTGACATATGTTTTATATTATTCAGGTAAAAGCTCGTTCTGCCACACGTGAGGTGGTTGCTAACTATTCCGTTGATGATATCTGTATCGAACTCAACATAAAACTTCCAATAAATTATCCCCTGGGATCTATTGCGGTAGAAAGTGGACGTCGAGTTGGAGTGTCTGTACAGCAGTGGAGGAATTGGATGCTGCAGCTAAATACATATCTCACACACCAGGTGGCTATATTAGAGAAATAAGAAACATATGTTACATCATATAACCGATAGTATGCTGATAAATTATTTCATGATTGATTGGATACAAAACTTATTCTGACTCAGACATTATGTTCCAGTCAGGATCTAATCAGCCATTCATGGTTCTGGGGTTGGTATTACATTGGGTAATATTTGTATACATTTATCACCTGCTGATTTGGTTACAATGCAGGGTTGCGTGTTACAACAAGGTGTGGTGTTTGTTCCCATTAGAGTAGAGCTCTGACACCTACAGAACGTTTTACTTGCCCTCAGCTGTCTTTTGTTAGTGCCAACAGTTTGCAGTTGGATCCTGTATTAAAAAGAATCTGTGTTCTATGCTGCCAAAATGTATTGGATTGTCTTGATAACCATTGACAGATGCATGTTAATTGGACTTTGATCACATTTTTTTATTGCTAGATTTTCTTTACTATACCATCTATTATTTTATTCCTTCTCCCAAATATTCTCAGTATAGTCAGTATTTTTTTTTCCCACAATCTTTCTTTAATACAGTGTAAGCATCTCATCACAACTGATTACAGCGCAGTGGTAGGGCATTCTGCTGTTAGTGCAGATTCACAATTTGTTCCCCAATGCTTATGGTTGGGACATATTCCCTATACCAACAAGACTGTGGGTAGACACAGACCATATACAGGGGCAGCTTCAGAACGTAATTTGGGAGGGGCAATATATATTTATTTTTATGCAAAATGTTGGTTCTTGAAACATGAACAATCCCAGACAAGCTCACTGCACACATCTCCCTACAGAAAGCTCACTGACACACACAACAAGCTTGCTATGTACAGCTCACTGATACACACACACACACAAGACCACACAGCTTACTACAGAAAAACCGCTACACACAGCTCAATTCACACAAGCTCACTGACACAAGATAACACATCTCACTACAGACAGTTTACTAACACGCACAGCTCACTACAGAGTGCTCATTGATTCACACAAACAAGCTCAATACAAAAAGCTCATTGATAAATACAACATCAATACACACAAGGTCACTAATATACACACAGCGTCACACAGCTCACTACCTACAGCTCACTGACACCACCCACCCCTACGATCTTACTACAGAAATCTCACTTACACACACAGTACACCACTGGGGAGGGAGAGAGAGAGACATCCCCACTACCCTGACTTCTAAGTCACTTACTCCCAACACCCCTAACCCACTACGCATCTCTTCGGAGTATGTAATCAATACAGGGATACCAGTGCTGGGTGCGATTTGAATCATTTATCGAGGGTGAAGGCCTTCCAGGCCTCAACTGCCTCGATATCCTCAGCCACTGTTCTTTCGTGGGTATCTCTGGGCGCATACAGAGGGGGCAGGTATTAGTAATTTTCCTGCATTGATTTTTTTGTTTGTTTATTTCGGTACATTCTCATATTCAAATAAAGGTGTGATCCCAAAATCCCCCAATCTCCACATATCCAGCGTTCCTCTTCTCATTAATTCTAAACCCATCACTTTATTTAATCTGACCTTTCTACATCACTAACATCTCTGCACCCTTAACTAGCAACGTGAAGTTCCATAATGCAACAATAACCATATTGTTGGAGTCCTGTTGGAGTCCTTGATTAGTGCTTTATTCTGTGTCTGGTAGAACGGAAGTATAATGGAAGGTCTAGCCTTGTGGAAGAACAACGTGGACAAACGATTTGAAGGTGTCGAAGACTGTATGATCTGTTTCTCAGTCATTCATGGTTCCAATTACTCTCTACCAAAGAAAGCCTGCAGGACATGCAAAAAGAAATTCCACTCTGAGTGCCTGGTAAGTGACAAGGACATTCCTCAATCTGTTCCGGAAAATGTGTGTTAATTGGAAACTTAGAACGTGTAAAAGGAGAATGTTAAGGGAACCTCTTCTTCTTCCATCCAAATGTAATATATGAGATATTTAAAAAGAAAGAAAAGCTACATAGTAAGACAATTGCCAGTAAATGTTCACTATCTTCAGAGTGTAAACCCTCGATGCATTTTAAAATGATTCATTTGGGGCAGAGGCTGGGCCTGCAGCAGTTATATGAAATGTGCCAAATCTGGGGTGGCCATGTACATGTCCAGATGTTTTGTCTCAAGCAGACATGATAAAGCTGCTTCAGCTGATATGTGACAAGCGAAGGAACCCCACAAATTAGAGAGGATCTGCATCAAGATTAAATCTTCCATTTAAATTAGCCATGTGTCAGATTGCCGTTTACATACATATATATATGACAAAGGTTATGGTGGGGAAAAAATTGTGATTGAAAACCCCTTCCACCTAAAGCCTGTGAATAGTTAATACAATGTTAAACATAATCTGCACACCAGTCAAGCCATAAGCTTTTCCCACAGAAATCACAAATTTGCAGTGATGTTACTACCGCAAAGAATTCTGGGTGGGCGTATGCAAATCAGTTTAACAAAGAAGTCTTATGGCTTGACTGGTGTGCAGACTTTTGTTTAACATTGTATTAAATATATATATATGTGTGTGTATACACACACATACAAAACAGAAATGACCGCACTCCAAGGACTTTGTAGGGATTTTCAAATAAGATTTAACTTTTATTCAATCCATTTAAAAAGTCAACGTTTCAGCTCCCACGTGGAGCTTTCATCAGGACAAAACATGCCAGACCAGCTTTGGGCACCAGAGGATTACACCAGGAGTGCAAGCCCTCACTATATATATAGTGTACTGGATGTATATTTGTGTTAGGGGCCATATAATGAGTAAGTTCCAGGATAAGTGTCGGATAGTATAAAGAGCAAGTCGGTTGTGGTGTGCCAGGACCGACAATACAGTAGGCCTGTAAATAAAGAGGGCCCACCAAGGAGTAAGAAAAGAAAAGGAAAACGTGTTGAGAATGAGGAGTGGTGGGAGGGTCATTCAAACACTGACCTCGAACTGTATGGAGCCAGGTAAGGGGTGTTCTTTAAATAGGTAAGTGTATAATCATAAACCCCTCCCACAATTACAGGCCAAACGACCTTAATACTTGTGTTAGGGTCACATAGCCGTATATGGAGTAAGTTCCAGTATAAATGTAGGATAGTATAAAGAGAAAGCCGTTTGTGGTGTGCCGGGACCGAAGATGCGGTAGGCCTGTAAATAAAGACGGCAAAGTGAATAATCAAAGATTTAATTCAGTCAACAAATACATACAAATTAACCAGACATTTCCTTAAATGCATTTCTTATCTCTTCTACTGGTTTGGGTATGTATCGTGTATAAGCAGCAGATTTCCATCGCCCCAGTGATTTGATAATGTGTACTGGTATGTTAGCGCTGGAGGCTGTGGAGGCCGCCCCTATACGGAAGGAGTGACCCGAGTAGGTAGAAGGGTTGCGATCTAGCCGGGTTAACAGAGATCTGACATATCTCATGAATGTAGCAGCGGTAAGCACTGAGCCTTGTAATACCAATGATGGTTGTGAGGTAGGGTTTTGAAGGTATGAATCTAGGACCGCAACTGGGCACCATTTATTGTGGGTAGGATAATACGTTATTTCTACTGGTGGGGCGTGTTGGCTCGTTTTGGACTGTCGTAGAGCCAATATGTAGTGATCCATGTGTTTACATAGGTGGGATCGTTGAATACATCTATCTGTCTGAGTGGTGGTGATGGTAGTGAATTCTCTTGGCCTGAGTAAACTGTAGAAGGCTATGTACATGGCCGCTTTAATTACGGAGTTGGTGGTAGAATTAAATGGGTGTAAATCTAATAGGTCAGATAGGGATTGGAAAAGTTGGTTGTAAATTGGTAATCTCTGAGAGGTACATGGGGGAATATATAACATCCAATCTTACTATGTCAGTGTTCGTGTTTGTCAGCATTGTCAGGACATTTATATTGTTTGACTTATTTCCTATTGTTTGTGTAGACTGAGCCACTATTAAATTTCCCAGAAAACTTTAGGATGAAAATTATTACCAGTGGGGGTGAATACAGAGCGCCCCGATGACTTAATTCTCATTTATATTTCAGGAACGAAAAGCAGACCACAGATCACTGCATGTAATCTCTGACCTTGTCTGCTGTGGGTAGCCCATAAACCCTGCTGCTCAGTCGGGGATTATGCTTTACGACAGCAGATTTAAATTTATCACTATAATATATTGACAAAAGTAGTATCCCTTTAATGGCAATCAAGGTAACATGCCAGCAATATGAAGTTTAAACGTTAATATCCGTTTAACTACATTCCACCATATTCCATGTAATGTTTAGGATCCTTACTTTCAGTACAGTACGTGCAGTTCTACATTGCAGGAACCCGAATGACATTTGTAGGAAGTCAGTCTGAAGTTTAAACGATAGCAGGTGTTTAACCTCTGGTTCCACTTAGCACACTTTACTTGAATGGCTGAACTTTGGAACGTTCAAGATTGGACACTGCCTTTGGAACCTTTTCAATGTTGTTGTTGTTTTGTTTCTGTCTCTGGATATTCAACGTGATTTTGAAAAGCATTTTCTCCTTTTTAACAAGTTCTAAGGTTTCTTTGTCCATTTGTATTTAAAAGACAAGTGCCATATTAACAAGAGAAATCAGGAAGTCGGTCGGTGTTTTGAAACAAACAGGAGTCATTTATTAGAAGATGATATGGTTTCTTTATGTAGAGCTTAGTATTTCATCTTTATTGTTCATAGTGATAGAAAGTATATTAATAAAAACATGTTTGTTTTTGACTTGGTTCATCAGTGTCTGCTGATACCCGGCCTCTGGGTCAACTGCTATTCTCTGGGCAAAAGGGATGGGGGCTTGTGGCTTACTATGGCTATTTTATTGGTGAACAGACCCTTTTTGTCAAGCTTTCCAGATTCTCTGTACAAATATTAATTGAAAATATTTATAAATAATAGATTGTTTAACATATATGTTATATCTATGTATTCCCATTGCATTAAATATTGTTAGACACGTTTACCATGCTAATTAAATACCCCTGGTAGAAGTGCTTACTGCATCATACATTGGTACTTGAAAAATGCAGATTTGTTTAAAAAAAGTATATGCTTTCTACTTTGTCACTATCTATTGGCCCCTGAATAACTAAATTCTCAACCAGTTTTCTTATCCAGAGTGCTGAATTACTCTGTTTATATTTTACTATAAAGACTTTTCAGAGCGGCTGTCACTGTGAATGATTTTGTATTAAAGCTATTTGAAAAGGAGTAATTTTGTAAGCGGTGTATTCCATCCCTGGCAGTATTCCACTTATATATCACTTTTCATCCAACTCCCTCTTGTGTGCAGATAAGACAACCTTTAATAGAGAGGAAAATTCTTTAGGTCTGAGATTAGATTTATGCCATCCATTAGGTGGTATTAAAGAAATAATAACATTTAGACTATTTTTCATGTGCTGAACATGTTTAAATACTTAGCAGAGCGTAATGTTCATATAGCCAGTCTCTTCTCCTGAAACTTGCGTAGGTCCACCAGCTTTAACTATCTTAAAGGAACACTATAGGATGTGGAACACAAACATGTATATAGTGTTAAAACCACCATCTAGCCCTTCTTGATCCCTCTTGCCTTCTTAAAGAGTTAAATCTTACTTGTATTTAAGTCTGCAGCTGCTGGTTCTGCCCCTGTTTGCCTCTGACCTGCCTCCTGTCTACTGACATCATCAGAAGTGGTGGTCTGAGCCAATCACAATGCTTCCCCATAGGATTGGCTGAGACTGCCAAGGAGGAAGAGCCAGCACAAGTCAAGCACAGCCCTGGCTAATCAGCATCCTCATGGATGAAAGTTTAGTGTCTGCATGCAGAGGGTGGAGACACTGAATGACAGTGCTGCTCACTGTGTAGCACTGCCCCAGGAAGCATCTCTAGCAGTCATCTGAGTGGCCACCAGTGGAGGTATCCCTAGGCTGCAATGTAAACACTGCATTTTCTCTGAAAAGACAGTGTTTACAGCAAAAAGCCTGAAGGGAATGATTATACTCACCAGAACAAATACAATAAGTTATAGTTCTGGTGACTATAGTGTCCCTTTAAGTTGCCATTTTGATTTTACTTCAGTGAAATTTTGCCATGTGCTTCAATTTCGTGCTCTATCTTTCCACTCATCTGTCATATACACATGCTGTCCTGTAGTGTTGCCTCATGACCCAGCTCCCTCTGAGAGCAATCCATTAGATTATAATAAAGCAACTTTTACTGTTTGCTACCAGCTATGCCCACCAGAACAAATGTTAGGTGACGTGGCTTTAATCAGCCTCATTGTTAGACTTCTGCTTAGGTTTGACATTATTACAGCTGTCTCCAGCCATTTTACATAATTTGGTACTTTATAGATGTTTGCAACAGCCAGAATACTCTGGTGTAACCTCCAGATTAAATATGTAAACACAGATGAAGTGGCCTGGGTGCAGTGTTTTTAACCTTGCGATGTAAAACACTGCAGCTTTATAGAAACTGTGATGTTTATATTTCAAGGTTAAATGCATCTCTAGTGGCTGTACTCCTGACAGCCCACAGAGGCACTTGGTCCTGGAATAAAATGCTGCTGTCGGGCCGTGCTGCTGTATGTCCAATCCATTGATTTGGCGTTAATGGCGGATGGCGTCAGCTGGCATGTTGATGTCTCCGAAAAGCAGAGCGGGCGGCTGTAGTGGAGGAGTCCTGGAGTTGGAAGCAATGTAAGTAATCGTTAGCCTTTATTTATAGAAGTGGAAATCACATTGCTAGAAGGGATCCTATAGTCCCCCCAAAAAACATATCTTTGGGACTATAGGTTCCCTTTAGCAAATACATTATATAATTCAATTTTATACACATATCATGAGTTGGGGACAGTGATATGTCATGCCTGTGCTCTTGTATAATATCAGTTTAACAATACGATATGCTGAATAGGAATAGATATATATATATATATAGATGTATATCTTTAGCTTGTAGTAAATTGTATTCATTATATTAGCAGTATTACAGTAAAGCTTTCATTTTGTTTTGTGTTTTTCAGTACAAATGGTTCACGTCCAGCAACAAGTCTACGTGCCCGCTTTGCAGAGAAACCTTTTTTTAAAAAGTACCAGTTATTAGGATTTTATCAAGATATGGTGTAAAGGACAGATTCTGCAAGGAAGTCACACTTCTTACAATAAAATGTTCTACTGTGTTTCACTATTGTTACAGAAAATCTTTACTTCCATTTCAGCAATAAGACAATCCCTGCTGAACACAAAGAAATGTAAATTTATAATTAAAGTATAATTTATGCTCCATTGCTGTGCTTCTGTGTTGTATTTTTTTTTTTAAATTTGTTCAGGATTTATAGCTAATTCAGCAGTCCATCTTTTGCAGACTCTGTTTTCGATTAAGTCCGAAAGGAAATCAACTAATTAAAAGGACACTGTAGGCACTGTAATTGCTTCATCTCATTGAAGTGGTTATAGTGTCTGCAGTCACCTGGCACCACCGTTCAATTCGACATTACACCAATTTTAATGCTAAGCGAAAGGTTCTTGGCTGCCTATGCCTTATGTACTAATTGGGCTAATAAGGAATCATTAGCCTATGAAGGATGAGATGTTGTGATTATCTGCTTAATTAAAAAGTACATCAATGTTTAGCAATACTAACACTTATTTTACACCATTAAATCACATAATAATTGTAAGTGAAAAAGAGGGTAAAACATGCAGCCAATCCGTAGTACTTCTCCGAAAATACTATATACAATATAAACTAAAACAAACTTGCTCTGAAGGCACCACCCCACAAAAATATTGTGACAAAGTTATAAAATATACCGCATAATACAGTATGTCAGGCGTTGGGAAATCCTCCATATGAATTGTGAAATATCAATGGCAAAAATGTATAAAATATATATATTTATCATTATACAGGGAGTGCAGAATTATTAGGCAAGTTGTATTTTTGAGGATTAATTTTATTATTGAACAACAACCATGTTCTCAATGAACCCAAAAACTCATTAATATCAAAGCTGAATATTTTTGGAAGTAGTTTTTAGTTTGTTTTTAGTTTTAGCTATGTTAGGGGATATCTGTGTGTGCAGGTGACTATTACTGTGCATAATTATTAGGCAACTTAACAAAAAACAAATATATACCCATTTCAATTATTTATTATTACCAGTGAAACCAATATAACATCTCAACATTCACAAATATACATTTCTGACATTCAAAAACAAACAAAAACAAATCAGTGACCAATATAGCCACCTTTCTTTGCAAGGACACTCAAAAGCCTGCCATCCATGGATTCTGTCAGTGTTTTGATCTGTTCACCATCAACATTGCGTGCAGCATCAACCACAGCCTCTCAGACACTGTTCAGAGAGGTGTACTGTTTTCCCTCCTTGTAAATCTCACATTTGATGATGGACCACAGGTTCTCAATGGGGTTCAGATCAGGTGAACAAGGAGGCCATGTCATTAGATTTTCTTCTTTTATACCCTTTCTTGCCAGCCACTCTGTGGAGTACTTGGACACGTGTGATGGAGCATTGTCCTGCATGAAAATCATGTTTTTCTTGAAGGATGCAGACTTCTTCCTGTACCACTGTTTGAAGAAGGTGTCTTCCAGGAACTGGCAGTAGGACTGGGAGTTGAGCTTGACTCCATCCTCAACCCGAAAAGGCCCTACAAGCTCATCTTTGATGATACCAGCCCAAACCAGTACTCCACCTCCACCTTGCTGGCGTCTGAGTCGGACTGGAGCTCTCTGCCCTTTACCAATCCAGCCACGGCCCATCCATCTGGCCCATCAAGACTCACTCTCATTTCATCGGTCCATAAAACCTTAGAAAAATCAGTCTTGAGATATTTCTTGGCCCAGTCTTGATGTTTCAGCTTGTGTGTCTTGTTCAGTGGTGGTCGTCTTTCAGCCTTTCTTACCTTGGCTATGTCTCTGAGTATTGCACACCTTGTGCTTTTGGGCACTCCAGTGATGTTGCAGCTCTGAAATATGGCCAAACTGGTGGCAAGTAGCATCGTGGCAGCTGCACGCTTGACTTTTCTCAGTTCATGGGCAGTTATTTTGCGCCTTGGTTTTTCCACACGCTTCTTGCGACCCTGCTGACTATTTTGAATGAAACGCTTGATTGTTCGATGATCACGCTTCAGAAGCTTTGCAATTTTAAGAGTGCTGCATCCCTCTGCAAGATATCTCACTATTTTTGACTTTTCTGAGCCTGTCAAGTCCTTCTTTTGACCCATTTTGCCAAAGGAAAGAAGTTGCCTAATAATTATGCACACCTGATATAGGGTGTTGATGTCATTAGACCCCACCCCTTCTCATTACAGAGATGCACATCACCTAATATGCTTAATTGGTAGTAGGCTTTCGAGCCTATACAGCTTGGAGTAAGACAACATGCATAAAGAGGATGATGTGGTCAAAATACTCATTTGCCTAATTGTGACGAGACCAATCTCGCCACATTGCATTGGAGAAGCCTGGTTGCTCGCCTGCTGCCTTTGGACTATGGCCCCCTGTTAAAAGACATCTTTTTTACCTGCAGAAAAGCTTCAGTCGTGTTTTTCTGCCTGAGTTTCAGTAGATTTGTTTGAATGTATTATACCCCAGATGGGAATCCCATGGAGCCCATTCGTATGAAACTGACTGTAAAGACTTTGGCTCCATGGTGATTAAACTGTATTTGTGTGGTCCGAGCGCCATTCACTTAATCATGTGCGCTCAGACCTGAAATGTCTGTGTTTTATGTATAAATGTGACTTTATGTATTTTAAAGTGCTTTGTGTCTTTTTGCAACCATGTGCTTAATGGAGTCTTGTGTCTATCCTGGGAGATAATTGAATTACTTATCTCCAGGATAGAAGACTCTGAAACTGGTTTGGGCCAGAAAGCCATGCTTCATTTAGTCACAAAGGACTTTTTACTAACTTTTGAACCCTTTGTCTGATTTGTGCCATTTTTGAATATGTTGTTCCCCTGAATGGATTGATTGAGAATATGTAATTTTATGTGAATGTGATGTATGGTTTTGGAGTTATGAAAGTTGGGTAGAAAGTATGTTTTAACTGTTTGTATAATTGAGTTTCCTCTCAGGATAAGGGGAGGGAATATGTGGGATGTAACCGTGATATGATTGGTTGTTTTATCCCTCCCTGTGGGTGGTCCTGTATTTGAAACACTGTAATAAAAACCAGGCTGGGTGTGCCAGCACCTCAGACCACTGCTTGACCCTCAACACGGAGCCTTGTCTCGTTCTTGGGGGGATTCACTGTATGCTGTTAGAGACTGATGCCAGGAGTGTAAGCTGTTCTTCTGCTTTTCCTGTTCGTCTGCTAGCAGCTATTTGGGAGGTTCCAGTTCGGGAGTTGGAGTGCTATTTTGTATCCAGTTCGTGAGTTTTGGTGTTCTGCAGTAGCTGTGCCTGGATCTCTGGAAAGGGGGCCGATCGCCTAAACGGTTTTTACCCCTTGTGTGCAAAACGGTCCGTTACACTAATAATTCTGCACTCCCTGTAGTATTTTATTAAACATAGAACATAAAAAAGGTAAAAAGGCACACAGTTTGTAAAGTGTACAAACACATAAGCCCGGTTGGCGCAGCAGATTTCAAATAGGAAAAGTCGCTCCGGTCGCAATTCCAGGTTAATGGTGCTGTTCTCTTTTAAATGTTGACATGAAAATCTTTGCATTATAAAGCTTGCTAACTTAACCCGTTTTGTTCTCCGTCAGTGCAGACTTTTTCATGAGCTTGTACTTTCTACTTCGGCGTCCTGTCTTTAAAAGCATCTTCAACAAATTGGCGCCAATGAAGGAAGGGGTACATGGAGCTCATCAGTAAGGCTCGAAAATGGTTTAACACTAGATGGGTGGACCATGCCAGGCACTCTAACTGATTCAATGAGATTAAATGGTTGTAGTGCCCAAAGTGTCCCTTTGATGCAATTCTGTATAAAAAAAAAAATCTATATTTCAAAAATAACACTGACTTAGACCTCAAAGGGACACACCACTGCCCAAAAACAGAATAAATAAAAATTACTGTTTAGTCGATAAACTCTAATGAAAACTTGCATATATTTAATTGTGCCTGTTTTTATTTAGGGTATATCTAAAAATCTTTCAAAATATGAAGTTATCTTGCCTGAAGCCTTTGCAAGCCCTCCCTTTCTAACCCCGCCCAGACTTTCAAAGTCTGTCCAATCACAGACTTCCCAATGCAGCTCAAGGAGAAGTCTTTACAAGACAGGTGCTCTGGGCAATTGCAGCCTCTTGAGCTTGGCTCCACTGAGCTAACCAAACTAGGAAGCAACATGATGTGTTGTCTTATTGGAAAGCCAGGGGTTGTAACCAAGTAAAATTTATAAAAGAGTCAATTTCTATTGAAATCTTCACTTTTTGTAAAATAAAATAAAAGGACACAGTCTTCACACATAAAGCTTTTCAGCAGGCTAAAATGCTTTAGGGGTCTGGAGTGCCCCTTTAATCTCAGCACTAGAGTGGATCGTACTAGTATAAATCTCAGATGGTACTTCCCCTTTAAATGGCTGATCTTGTTTCCGTTAACAATTTTCCTCACAAATGACAGATCCAGACACGTATAAAGGAAAATGGTATTAATAGTGCAATGTTGTCATAAAACAGCAGCTTGTCCTGGCTCTACGTTAGATACTATAAGAACACTTGTGTGCAGTAACCTCTACACAGAGCTAAACACGAACTACAAAATGAAAATATGAAGTTATATTTCTAAAAATTACAGTGCAATATAACTAATAAAATACTTATAGTGTTAAAATCTACTATATATATTATATAGTTTGTGTTGGGGGACTTTCTCAAAGTGTTTTATATTAAGGAATACATGCTGGCATCGATATGATCTGTCTCTGTAATGGTAAGTATTGTTATGTACGAGAGTGATTTTGCAGCTTGCATTATGTCACACAGTAGGATAGGAAGCCCGTAGGCCGAACGTTATTGTAAAGGGCAAAAGTCGCTTAAGGACAAACTTTGCTGTTGAATGCTGCCTCACACAGTCAACGTGCTCTCATTTACAAACTATCACAACTGCCTTAAAGTAAAATGAATTGTATTTAAAGACTCTTTAATTCTGCAGGAGGAGAGGTCCATTAAGTTATTGAAACAGATTACAGAATACACAAAGGGGTTCTTTTGTATGAACACTTTAAAAAAAGTATGTGAATGAATGCGTTTTTTTTTTTTTCTCCAAACAATTCTGTTTGCTGTATAAACCTCAATGTGTTCTGCTTTTCTTTCA